GTCCCAAGATTTACGAATTGTTATTGGAGCTCTACAAATGGCAAGCATTCTAATGAAAAGGCTCCCACAAGTGTTTGGAGTACACTTCCATCGCGAAGGAGTACTACATCAGATACGTCAACTAGCTGATCCTGAAGTACCTCTTGGTGTTTCACCACCTAAGTGCCCTTCTGGTAATTTATTAAATTCAGTGAAATCAAATATAATTATAAAATAAAAAAGAAAAGTAAGTTGTATTTTATACTTCTATATTTTCTAGGTACATTACCAAGTCCACAGCCGGGTCCGTCTAATACATCGCTTTCTCCCACAACGATGTTCTCTTCTACTAATGCCACATCCCCAATTGCTTCTCCATCAACGAATGGTAATATACTATTCGGTACAATTGCAACTTGTCAGCTGAAGCCAAATCTTTCTGCATCGATGGAGTCTCGCGCAAGAAATGAATTAAATTCTACCATAGATGATGTAACTACACCACAAAGTGCTCATTTGTAAGTAAACATTAAAGAATCTTCAAGCCATTATATAAACGGTACCAGGCACCAAATCTTTGTTATTTATTAGGAGAATCGGGGATGTCCTGAAAAGGAAAAGACAAAACAAGAAAGGGCGGTTTTCTAGATTAGGTGGTACTACACCACAACAAAATCAACAACCAGAATCACTTTTCACTGGTTTCGCTCCTAAAAACAATCGTTTCTTAGGAAATCTTAATCCTGCTAGATGGGGTCGAAAATCATCATCTTCGAGTTCTACTAGTGATAAAAGAGATTCAAGTTCATCTACTAATCTCTCAAAACCACCGAGTAATTCAAGTTTAACAGGAGGCAATCGAGATAAGGCTAAAGCATGGGTACGTGAACAGGCTGCTCAGTTCTTGTCACGATATCAAGATGATGCACCTTGTACACATCCTGCGATGACAGTCCTTTCGAGACTTACTGCTGCCATACAACGGTTACAATCAAATGTACGTATATTATGACACGAACAATGTGTAATTTCATATTCATCAAAACACTAATTGACTATTCTATAACACAGGAATTAGATGAAATGTTATCAGCGCTTACTGAGTTACGAGATATTGTGCTTGAAAGTGATATATCTCCGTTTGAAATGAATTATAGTGGTCTCATTAAGGCTCTGCTCAACTACCTCACTACTACAGATGCTCCTGGTAATCGTTATGATCGCCTGCGTATGTTTTGGAAATTGTTTGCAGAATCAACTGTAAGTGAAGCTAATTAACTTTTACGATACAGTTTATATTAATGATTTCTTTTATAACACCTTATTTTTATATGTACTTGTAGATACAGCAAAGCAATAATGTTATGGATATTAATCCTGGAGCATTTGGTGCTCTTGTAACAAAGCTGAATAGTTGCGTTGCCCAACTGGAACAATTCCCTGTGAAAGTACACGATTTACCAGCCGGATCTGGTGCTGGTCGCGGCGGTACTAGTGCTCTGAAATTTTTCAATACACACCAACTTAAGGTACAGTATAATTTCTATGTAAGTAGCATAAGATACATGGAGTATAGTTCATTATTATTTTATAGTGTAACCTGCAACGACATCCTGACTGTAATAATTTGAAACAATGGAAAGGAGGTACCGTCAAAATAGATCCCCTTGCGTTAGTACAAGCAATCGAACGTTATTTAATGGTTCGTGGATATGGTAGGATAAGAGAAGCGGAATCGATGGTTAGTGATGATGATAACAGCGAAGACGATATAGACGATACTTTGGTAATATTCATACGTATAATTTTAAACAGTTCAGTATAAATAATTAATATTGGCATTAAATTAAGTGTATTTAAATTTACAGGCAGCGGTAGTTATAAGTCAAGGATCAGCTAAACATAAACTTCAGTTCTTAATTGGAGATGAAGTACTGCCTTTCAACATGACTGTTTATCAAGCTGTTAGACAGTTCGGTTGTTCTGGAATTGATCATTCTGAAGCAGAAGCTGATGGTGAACCACCACTTGGCCATGATGCTGTATGGGTACAGACACATACAATTTATTACAGGTACCTATATTTCATCATTTTCATTACTGAACTATAACCAGATTTAACAGTAAATGTATTTACATCAGAATATATTCTTAAATGGTTTATTCTGTGTACTTTTAGGCCTGTACCAGAAGAAGAAACTACAACTTCGCCAAAACCAGGATCAAGTACACAGGGTAGCAGCCGCAAAGGCAAAGGAAAAAGTACAAAGATCAGTTCAAAACGAAAAGAAGATAGTTTATGGCTTGAAGGAGTAGTGCCACCACAACGATGTCCACTTGATCCTTACTTATCCCCCACTTTACCGCCTTCGGTTACGATCACTGATGCTTCATTAGACGGTTTATGCTTATTGCGTCTTTTATATGCATTGAATCGTCATTGGAGCGTTTTATTCCCCCATCTAAAGAATATAAGCTTACTTTCTCCGCAAGATTTCATCAATAACAAAATAGCTGCAAAAGCAAGTCGGCAGCTACAAGATCCTTTGGTTATTATGACTGGAAATTTGCCTTTGTGGTTACAACAAATTGCTACAGTCTGGTAAGTATTAAAATTAATTTCAGGTTGACATTAAGTGAGCAATATGAAATAAAAATGTGTTTTATTGTTTTCAGTCCATTCCTGTTTCCGTTTGAAACAAGACAATTGTTACTTTATGCAACATCATTCGATCGAGATAGAGCTTTACAACGACTTTTAGATTCTGCGCCAGAATTATCGGGATCAGATAGCCAAGAACGTGTTACTCCCCGTTTGGAACGAAGGAAAAGAACTATCTCGAGAACTGATATTCTTAAACAGGCCGAACAAGTTATACAAGACTTAGCATCTAGCAAAGCCTTGCTTGAAGTGCAATATGTCAATGAGGTTTTTCATATGATCCTAGTTTTAATAATTTTCATATAATCTCATATGGTTTAACACAATGTTCTTTTTTAGGTTGGTACTGGCCTTGGACCAACACTGGAATTTTATGCTCTAGTCTCTCAGGAATTACAGCGTGCTGATCTTGACCTTTGGCACGGTAGTTCAAATTCTACCGAAACAGGATACGTTAATGCTCCTCATGGACTTTTTTCAATGCCAATCCCATGGAGTACTAAAGTATCCCATCTCGCGAAACTTAAAACAAAGTTTAAATTCCTTGGAAAGTTCATGGCGAAGGCGATATACGACTCAAGAATGGTAACATTGTTCTAAGTGTTAATTAAATATATTCTTGAAATATCGAGTATTTTCATGTTCTTAATGTCATATTTTTACAGTTGGATTTACCATTCAGTTTAACCTTTTATCGTTGGCTATTGGGAGAAGAACATACATTAACGTTGGCTGATTTAGCGTATGTATGTCCTGATGTACATCGAACTCTTGTTAGACTACAAGAAATCGTTAGAAAGAAAGAGATGATTGAAAAAGATGAAACATTAAGACCACACGAGAAAGCACAACTAGTAGATTCATTAAATTTAGACGGTTGTCCGATTTCGGAGCTCGGTCTTGTTTTTGAATTACCAGGTTATGAGAATATTGAATTGAGGAAAGGAGGAAGTGATATACCTGTCAATATTTATAATCTGGATCAATACATTAAGGTGTGGTTTAAACATTTTGAAACAGCTGTATACGTAACATTTTTATTGTCTTGCTTAAAAATTTGTTTTCTTTCCAGTTGGTAGTACATTGGTTCTTGTACGAAGGTGTCTTCAGACAAATGGAAGCTTTTCGAGAAGGATTCGAATCTGTATTCCCGCCATCACAATTGAGACTATTCTTCCCTGAAGAACTTGAAGCCGTGTTTTGTGGACATGCACAAACAGGTTGCCAGTGGGACGTGAAAACACTTTTAGAATGTTGTAGGACTGATCATGGATACACTCCAGATTCCCGTGCTATTCGTTTCCTGTTTGAAGTTATGTCAAAATATAATAGTGAAGAGCAAAGGCAGTTCATCCAATTCGTCACAGGTTCACCGCGACTACCAGTTGGAGGTAAATATGTGATATATTGCGGTTACTATTGATAGAAGGTTTGGGAAATTTAGAAATTTTAAAATGGAATTTTTATCTTCGCAGGTTTTAAGAGTTTAACGCCACCCTTAACGATAGTGCGTAAAACTTTCGACCCCTCAATGAAAACGGACGATTTCTTACCATCCGTGATGACTTGCGTTAATTACTTAAAACTGCCTGATTACACAACGTTAGAAATAATGCGAGAAAAGTTGCGAATAGCTGCACAAGAAGGACAACATTCGTTCCACCTTTCCTAGAAACAGATGGAAAACTGGCGCGTCATTTGCTCTTTTGCTATCGCATTGTCCAGGTTGAAACTAATTATCCAAACATCATTTAAAATACGTTTAAAAATACCTGTGTTTTGTTTAAAACTCAGTAATCGCAAATTTGCACTTTATACGAATATTTTCGGAGATATCTTTTTTCTTGATTTTAGCAACAGTTCATTTAAATAAATCCTAATTTGATGTTTATGTTTTTACTTATAAATTTAGATTGTGATATGTTTTATCAGAAAAAAGAAGTGCAAAAATGATATTAGCTCTGTCATATATAAGTTTCCTCTCGTGGTATTACAGAACTAGGCTATAGCGTGAATGCAGCCTTGTTCTAGGAAACTTATCTTTAATGTGTTACAATAATTAATAAAAGCTGTAAATATAGTTTAATATGCGCAAATATATATAAATACTTTATATAATAGTAACGAGAAAATGATATTGCTATGAAACTCTATACTAATTAAATATAATTTAGTCTGAGGGGACGTCTATTAGATATAAGTGAATTTTATATCAGTGGTGCATTTAGCATCGCCATAAATCGCCAATCTCATGCCTCACAATTTGCAAAGAAATCACGTTTTGAAATCAGTAAGCGAGTGTGCGCTACAAAATAAACTAGCTCGTGTTTCATTAAAGGAAAGAAAGAATGAAAACAACTTCAAATATAAACACGTGTTTATTAACCATCATTTTATTTTCATGATCGATCTCTTGTGTTCGCTGCTTAATTTCCAGTGTTTATGAGCACTGCGCGAATTTCACGTGCAACACTCCTATATTTTAAGTTTATTCGATGTATCACCAACTAAACTTATTTGATATTTTTATTCTAGGTAAGATAGTCCAATTAATACTTTTAGCCGTGTATGAGTGCAGCCAGCATCGCCAGACAGTGTCACCGTAATGATCGAAGAAAATTACTGTCTTATATCTACTCATTTACAGGCAAAACATCTATTTATGAAAAAAAAAATGTACGAAAAATGTATAATATTGAAATAGAATGGATATAAAGTCAGCGAAGCTGGTGTATCAGATGGATTATACAAGGTACATTACTTTCTTATATCTCTGTAGAAATTGTGATTCTGTACGAAAATTGTGAGAATATGAACTGATCAAAAGTAGAAAAAAAGATAATATGCGATTACTTGTTTTACAATTATATTGTGTACCATTGCTTAAACTGATCAATATATGTATACATCACTTTCTGATTTTTAATTTGATGTATGTGAGAGTTAAATGGTGAATTGGCGATTACGTTAATTGGTATTAAATAATCACCATTCTAAGCTGACTTTTAAAATAAGCCTACAGTGTTGCTTTAAAGCTTCATTTCAACCTTGTGACATTTCTTTTTTCTTTTTAGCATTATACTATGAATTTATTTAGTCACTACAATGATACTGTTATATTTCGTAATTTTACATATTTTATTATGAACTATAAAAACATGTTACACTTATATTTTTTCATTACATTTTTAATACAATAGTGAATTATAACTGGTAATGTATACACAAAATGTAGAGAAACAAAACTTATTGATTGAACATACAATATGCAAGAATTCGGAAATGCATTGCATAATGTTTGATGGTTTGGTTGGACGGACTAAACCTGTATCAATATTATAAGTAAAACTTATATTTATATCAACTCATTAGTATAAATGAAGATTTACTTTTATTCAACGTAGATTCTGTTTCTTCGGTAGCTTTCAATAAATGAAAATATAAACATGTTGCTGAAAAAATATCTTTCCTAATCGACAATATTTTGTATAAGGTAAATATTATATTATTAAAAACAATTTCAAATTACATAAGATGATTTATTTAAAAAACAAAATTATTTTCTATGTATAATGCAACACTTCAAAATTCAATTCCTGATTATTTCTATTATTTTATGTTTTTCTTGTTTGCAATTATCACAGTCCCATGTTTTTTAGGAATCTTAAATTAACATACTTAGCCATCCTAATATGTAGCATACTCCACCAAATGGTGTCACTTTATTGTAACGTTTATCACCCGTAAGCGCATAATAATAGCAGCTACCACTAAATAAGATCATGCCCGACAGCATAAATGTGCATGTCTAAATAACATATCAATAATTAGTATTATATTTTTAATTTTGTTAATATCTCATCAACATACCAGGTAAGGTGATCTGCAAAGAGGTAATGCTAGTATCACTAGCGAGTGTACCAAATGATATCGACTTGCAGTGTCGAATATTTTTATTAGTTTCTCGTCCTTTAAATGTGGTGCTGAAATAATTAAACAAAAATAAAATGGATGATTTTTTAAATCGTTTAAAACTAAAATAATAAAAAATATATGCGATCTCGATCTTACTGTGTGCACCATACGCATTAATAACAACCGCAGATGCTCCACTTAAAGCTGCAATTTTCGTAAACGGTCCAGCAGCTGAAGCTAATTTCCACAAAGGTGACATTGTCGCTTCCACTTTAGGTTTAGAATTTGTCTAAAATGAGTAGACTCATTTATTTAATTATAATTATTTCATACATAGATAAATATTTTATTTTGTAGTCATGAGTTACAAAAAAAAAGGTAAATTTTTTTTTTAGAATTGTATATGCCGTTACTTACATTAGATATTTCCAAAGGATCGCGTTAAATATTAAAATAACTACATTGCATAGATAATAGATAACACAGTGGTATTTTGTATTAAATCATCAAATCTTTTTTGAGTATACATACGAAATAAGTAGATCAATAAAAATTACCATTTTCGAAAATGGAATATCGAAACAATGCAACTTTGGATTTTTGATACATTTGAATTTTAGGACTTTGGAAGATAGCAGTTTTGAAAGTGGTTCTCAAACCATCAAAAATGAGAATCCCTGATTTATAACAAACAACAACAAAATAACAAATGCAATAATAAAAGCTACAACAATGAAGTTATAAAATCTTGAAATATTTTTATTCGCTCATATGTATTAATATTCTGTAAATGTTTATTAACTTGCATTATATTTACATAACCACGCAAACAAAAATTAAAAAATTTTCAATGTAATTGTGCTTAGTGTTATACAATACATTATAATTTTTTTTAAATTTTATATACTGTTTCAACTATTAAAAACTGTCGATATTACCTGTACATGATAGCACGTGCCGAACTACCTTAACCTTTTATACGCATATACGAATATCATTTACTGTTATATTACTAAATGATATTTAAGTACATTAGTTACTAGTTTGAGTTTTTCAAAACTTAAAAAAATTAGAACAGTTGTTTTTTTCATATACAAATTTTTAGCATGTATGTATATCTTACCCGTGTCACGAATTTCACTGCTCCTGTTGCTGCATCTAATGACAATTGAGCACCAGATAACGCGTAATTAAGAACACTTTGCATCTTATCTTTTTATTTATTAATATATTAAATAACCACTATATGTATGGTGTTAACAATTTACGTATTAATGCTATTCTTTATTATTAGGGGCTCCCCCTGTCAGTATTATACTTTTAAGGCGGTTTTAATGTTCTTACACTAAATTGTATTTAATTCGACAATGCGAAAAAACCGGCTGATAGGTCGTGAACTTACGAAACAGGATTGATTTGCTGGAATACTTCATGTATTCTATGGCGCCTTTCCACATCCACAGTCAGAACAAGAATGCTTTTCGGCGAAATATCGACCGCGAGGTCACTAACGCCCATGGCCGTTGAAAACTATTCATTGATATTTGTTCTTGAAAAACTTATCCTTGCGATCAGGAATGCACCCTGACAAAACGCTCACTATGACTATTCACATTTATACACGCCTTAATGTTCCATATGGAAAATAATACGCAAACTATATATACGTTCATAGTTTGCATACATCAAGTTATATATATTATTTCATTGTTATTTTGTAAAAGTGCTAGCTCTTAATAGATGGAGTACAAAATTAATTGTCTAAAACAACCACATTTACATAAGTAATTATTTTTATTTCAGTTCATGTTTTTACTGCAATACATAACAGAATTTGTTTCATCCAGATGTAATAGTGTACTTATTGATTGAATAAAAATGCCGGTCTATTATTGAATTTATGTTGAAGTGCTTCCATATTATGATAAAAATAGAAATCTAATGTTCTGAATGTACTGTTAAATCAATCCAGCTGTAAAGAAGAGTAATATAATAATTAGTAATGTCATTATTGTTGAGAATATAAAAATAATTACACAAATGTAATCATACATGTAGGAAACTTTATGATACCGTACCTTTTTGAAACCAATATCAGCAGCGTACTCCCTGAAACATTGTCTGCAAATATTCAAACCATATTTGCGGATCAGTCCATGCCTGTTTGCGCAAGCTCGACTACAAAATAGAAACATATTTCATTAAGATGTTAAAAATCAAAACTTCAACAGATTAAAGAAAAAACTTCTAATAGCATATACCCATGTGCAATTTTGAGGTTATAAATACAAAATTTAAGATTAAGTTTATTTGATCCAAATGTTAAATAATAATTTATAAAAATACGACAATATGTATTGTTCTGTATTTAATTTATATAATTATACCAGGAATTATAATAAAAATATTTCGTTATTGAAATGTGTGTTGCCACGAGGTTAAATACATCGGACTTAGTTTATCGATTTCAGTTTATCGGTGCAATATATAATGAAATAAAAACTTGCATACGTACCAAGACCTAGATCCTTGTCCATACTTTCGTGGATGCGAATACCAAATGTTTTGGAAACCCATTTTTATCACACGAAGATCCTCTTAAGACGAACTCAAGAATCCAAAAGACATGTGACAATTATGTGCAACACAACGTTATGCGCAGTAGCGTACTCTATGGTCGCCGCTATCTTTTCAAAGTTTTCAAATTCATTCATATATACACATACATATTTTTACTAAACTTCTACTCACTTAATTTCATTATAAACTCATGTTTAAATGTTCATGTTCCCTTTGGTGTTTCCCTTCATGTTTAAAAACAAACGTAAGCATGTATGCTTTGTTAAAAACTGGTTCTTGAAAGCGCGCTAGCATTGGAAAAGGAGCGATATAACGGGAATGATCACAACGGTACATTTGAAACACGAATCATTGCATTGTCACACATATAATATTAAAATTGTGTTCAGTCATGACGAATACGGATGAACAAAAAAATGAAAATGAAAAACAGGTTTGTAAACCTAAACAAATGTCTATTGAATTATTTTTATTCACTGATATAATCTTTCGTTTTAGGACACTGTGTGTAACTGGATAATGAGCTTAAAAATGAAGACACTTTTAAAAGTGTTTCTCTATACCGTAGTAGGTCCATTACTCTTATATTGCCTGTTCTTTTCCCTTTCACACTATCAAGAACATTTAATCAGGATACACGCAAAAGTGTTCGAAAAAAAAGAGGGGAATCCACAGTATTTTATATACGCAAAAAGCAATGATACTGAATATTTGAAACACGTGTTTATCGTGTTAGAACGCTTAGGCTTCAAACGGACCTATAACAGCTCTAGTTGGGATTTATTGTGGGCACACGATTACCCGTTCAGAGTTTTAAGTTCTAACTTAAATAAATTACAAGCTCATCAGCGTGTTAATCATTTTCCAGGTTGTGGGTACATCACTAACAAAGTAGATTTATCCACGACAGAAGGACGCTATATTTTACCAGCATTTAAAATACCAGAACAACAAGACGAATTTTTAGAATATGCCAAAAAATATCCTGAGAAAATGTTTGTAGAGAAATCAAACGATCATCGAGGTATTAGCGTTAAAAATGTTGACAATATAAATATCACGGCAACAGGATCTTTCGTACAAGAATTCATACAACGACCATTTCTCGTAGATGGTTATAAATTTGATATAGGAGTGTATACTGTAATTACATCCGTCGATCCTCTTAGGGTATATGTATACAAAGGTGATGCTTTATTTAGATTTTGTCCTATAAAATATTATCCATTTCAACCAGACGTTTTAGACAAATATGTAGTCGGCGATGATTATTTACCAATCTGGAATGTTCCATCTTTAAAACGTTATTACAATGAATTAAAATTTTCAATGAAAGATTCGTTCGATGCATATGTAAAAACGCAAGGAAAGAATCCTGAAAAAGTCTGGCATTCTATTCATGAAGCAATTAATGAAATTATTTTGTCGAAAGAAGGTTACATTAAAGAGGCTATGAAACGTTTCGGAAATGGAAGAAATTTTTTCGAATTAGTTAGAATTGATTTTGCTCTTGATGAAGATTTAAATGTTTATACTATGGAAGCAAATATGTCTCCGAATTTATCTTCAGCACATTATCCACCAAACCAGTTACTTTATGAGCAAGTTATATATAATTTATTTGCACTAGTGGGAGTAGGGCAACGAATCAGAAAAGATTCCCTGAAAATAAGGTCACAAAAATCTAATATCAAAATTTAATTTAATTATTTTTAACTTGCAGCAAAATAAATTTAGCTTGCATTTGTATTTCAGGAATGAGATGGAAAGACAAATGGAAGTAGCAGATAAGAATTTAATGGTTCTACCAGAACTATGCACAGAGTGTGATGATTGTTTTCGTGTAGAATGTCAACTTTGTGGCCCCTGTTTTACACCTGAAACTAAATTGATTTTGTCCCAAAGTTATCTTGAACATCAGAATAAAATGGACTTTCAAAGAATCTTTCCACCACTTATAGTAAGTAACCAATAAATACCAACCCATAATTTTGTCTTTTACATGAATATTGTTACTTTCAGACAAAAGATATGGTACTAAAGGATTATACATTAAGAAATCAGTTACTGATAAGATGGTATCAAGGCAAATGTGAAGTAGATCATTCATGGTGTTCATAACTAGAACATTTTTAGTTTTAATATTTTTTACAAAAACCATACACTTTATTATAAATTAAGTTTTACATATTTTTAAATAAGTATCTAACAATCTGTAATAATATATTAAAAAATATTTGTACCTGTGTTACTGGCAGTATATTACCAGCAAGTATACTGGTGTGTCATACATTTAGTTTATATTAAGTTTTGTTTCAATTTTATGTAAATTCTTTTATTTTATTACTTATTATTTATATGTAATATCATAGAGTGTAAAAAAATAAAGATAAAAATTTGACTGTTAATTGCCTACAATGAGACAACATAAAAATGCATTTGGTACTGAATAAATTACATATTTTTTGTGTCTGTATCCTTCTGTTTACGACCTTTTTTTACTTTTGATTCAGGTGCATTTGGATTTGTACCTTTATAAAATTCCTTTAACAATGCCATTGCCTCATCGTTTTTGATACCTCCTACTATTTTTGTGTTTGAATTATAAATTTTTGGTACCTCAAAAACACTATTGCATCCACCAAAACGGTCATTTGCACAACCATATATAATATTGCGTACTTGCAACTGAAATAATGCTGATGTGCACATTATACATGGCTCAACAGTAACAATAACATCCATATCACAAAAAACCTTTTTATAATTCAAATCTTTTTCTTTACAAAACTTTAAAACTTGATCTATGCAATTTATTTCAGCATGTCTAGTTGCATTTCGTGTTTCATTGACTGTATTGCTACCTGTAGCAATGACTTCATTATTGTATACAAACAAACACCCAACTGGGACTTCATTGGCTTTTAAAGAATACTGTGCTTGTTGCAATGCAACATCCATCCAAGTCAAATTATTCATTATAATTTCTAGTTATATCACTTTTAGTCTTTTAAACTTATAATACCATAAAAACACAACACATTAAAACATAAATAGCATAATTCACAAAATCTACTAACAAAACAAACTTCACAAATTTTTCATTCTTATAAAAAATAAAATGCCTTTTGTCTTTTTTTTTAAGATACCCTAATGTAAAATATTTATGAAGTAAAATATTCAAGTAGACCAAACTCACTCAACTTTTTGGTTGCTTTTTCATCCCAATTTTTATTATTTGCAGCACGAGGGCTTGGATGTGGTAAGCATAATACCTAAAGATGCAATACAATATAAATATAAACCTACTTGTTATGAAAATAGAAAAGTATTAAACTAAATGTTTAATATACCTTTGCCTTCAGTTTATGAGATTTAACTACCAGTAGTGCTCGTTTTTCTGCATATCCACCAATACCAATAACAATTTCAGCTTTCAAAATTTTAATTGTATCTGCCAAGGTCTTGTCACAAGCAGTATGTAATATCTCCTGTTCCTTTCCCTAAAAATTAATGACATTTAATATATAAATTCAATTTTATAAACATTGTAAATATTGCCTTTAATTCTGCTGGTGTGATGTTACAGCCTTTTTTGTCCATTAATGCAATAGGACAATAATTATGTACATATGCATGTTTAAAAAATTTTTCTGGATTTCCACTTAATTCTTTAAACAGACCCCACAATCTTTTTCCACTAACTTCACTACGTTTGCAGTCAAATCCAGTTACTTGTCTACTTGATTGTTCTTTAGCAGGTTTCCCAACAGGTCCACTAATATTTAACCAGTTTTTTACCATGTTTATTTCTCCAAACGGTACACCAGTTTGAGACATACCCCAAGGACCAGGGTTCATTCCAAGAAACAATATTTTCTTAGTAGTATTACAGTATTTTTGTACATATAAAGTATGTATATTAAATGCATATTGAAGTGGACTATAAACATATTCTACAGGTAAACGGAATGTAAGTTTTCCTAAGTCATCTGCTAATTTCTTTTCGACTGATAATAATTGTTCAGCAATATCCTCATGTGCTATATCACTTTCAATCGCAATTTTATTATCTATTTCCGCATCATTTTCATCGGACACCTTTATTTTCTTATGATTAACGTTTTCTGAATCACTAATACGCCTTTTCCTACTTTTTCCTGAGTTTGACATCGTGTCAATTTATTCTTCAATTATTAATTATTAAAATCTGAAGAGAACTCTTTTTTCAACTATTCAACTTTATACGTAACGTACTAATATGTTTCTAAAAGTTATAATTTTTTATCTTGCCGGTTATCAGACACTCGAAACATACATACAAAATGAATTTTCTTTGCAGACACCTTCATATATGACAATGCAGCTGGTAAGCAGGAAGAATCTTGAGGTTATCAAATCATGCAAACTATCTCTCATTTCTTTGTTTACATTATTGTACATTAAATAAAACAATATAATATGAATTTAATTATAAACCTACCAATTATTTAGAATTGTTTCGCGAGAAAATCGTGGTAATTTCTGCGCATCTCGACTATGTTCAGAAGATTCCTTACCATATAGTGCTGCCAGTCAGGTGATTATCTACATGGCGAACAAAGATATACAAATAGTAGAATTTTTCGAGTTTGTAACTTTGAAACTTCAAAATTACAATTTATACCTACAGGATTTTGGCATTTTGGAACTCTAGTACTTTGAAATTTTAGGATTTTTGAACTTTGGGACTACAGAATTTTGAAATTTTTGAACTTTTGTCATGCTATAGCCAATCAGAATAAACCTGCGCAGTATAAGCGAAAACTCATTTGGCACTTTATGTACATTCTCTCTCAAAATAATACTTTTGACCCACGTGGTATAAACCTCGGAAAGTTTTCACAACCAATGAAAAGCTCTAAAACGATTCGCTACAAAATATAAAAGCTTTGTATGAAGACATGTGTGGTTGATAGTAGCGAATATAATTAATTGTACGAAGTGCAAATTTTATTTTATATAGAATTAGAATGAAAATAATTTAATACTTCGTGTTATAATTCAAATGTGTAAGCAGTCGATTTCATTCTGTATGTATATAGTTCATAATTTAATGGATGTGACGTTCAACTTTTAACCTTAATGTTTCAGGTTGTATTATAAACATTCAGTAATTAATAAACAATTACCATGGAAAACCAAAACGGTACAATGGTCAAAAGCAATAATCCTGCTCCAACAGTGGAACAGATTAATGCTGACCGAATAACTCAGGTATTTATTATAAATGATGCTGCTACTTTATCAATTTTGGACTTATATTATCTTTGGTAAAGAATAAAGATATTTATTTCAGCTTGCAAATAAATATTGGGCACCACACACAATGGATTCACATCTTCCTTTTAATCCTCAAATAGTAGAAGATATTTATGTTCAAGAGATATGTGCCTCTAAGTTTTCCATTCGAAGAATTATGATGCTAGAGTTTAGTCAATGTTTAGAAAACTTCCTGTGGCCAAACTATGATGCAAAAACTGCTACTCGTGCTCATACAATGTCCATTGTTGTTATGGTGAATGAAAAATTTCGAGAACGTGTGCAAGTTTGGGAAGCATTTGAAAAGAATCCAGAACATTTCCCAGAATTTTTCCAAAAGGTTTTGGAAGCATGTCTTGAAGAGAGTATAATGGACTTTGATTTAAAAGAACAGACTGCCTTGATTGTTTTTCTCAATCATTGCTTTAATTCTATGGAGGTATCATTAGTCCGAGAACAAGTAAAAAGGCTTGTATCTTTATCTATGTGGATTTCACTACAGCAAGGCCGTAGAGAATTAGAATTTAGAAAATATCCAAAATGGAGAAAATATTGGAAAGTGATAAGGAAGAAAGATAATCCTGAGTGTAAAGAAAGACTGGAATGGGATCGCAAATTCTTACACAGACTAATGATTAAATTTATGACAATATTAGAAACAATTTCAAAAGATGGTAAGATAAATCAGTATGTAATCAAATATTTTTTTACAGTCTTATAATTTGGTATCTTTTTCTTTATAGGGCCACTTTTATCTGATAAAGTGAGGTATTGTGAGAGGTTTCTCGAACTAATAATAGATTTGGAGGCCTTATTACCAACTAGACGTTTCTTTAATACTGTTATGGATGATTGCCACTTGGTAGTACGATGTCAGCTATCTAATTTGTTACATCGACCTGAAGGAGGATTGTTTGGTCAGGTAAGTTGTATTTTAAGTTCTTTCTTTAAGATAAATAAAAATATCTAATATACTTTAAAAGGGTATATTAAACTTGATTTTATGAAAATGACACATCATTTATACAAAAGTCAGATCTATACAAATATAAATACTAGATGAATATCCTAAAGGTAAAAAATCTAAAAGTTCATGTATTCTTGCCATGAAATGATGTATATGACAATACATAATGACAGCAATTATAAAATCTTATTTACATATACATTTTTTATAAATTTATTTTGCATCAATAAGTGCAAATTTTTGATAAGGCAGAAGTCATTTAGTTTCAAGGCACATAGAACCATAAACGCTAAATATTAAAATCAATATTTCAAGTTCCAATAGTTTTATGAATTCTTGTAATTAAATAAGGCTTTGTGCAATATCTTCTTGATATACTAAAATTCATACATATAGAATTATAGTCTTTTTTAATTTTTATAATTGTCATGCTTTTTGATATTAACTTCATGATATACTTAATACTGTTTATATAACTGATAATGCACTTCTTTGCATATGTCAGAATTAGAATTATGATCAGTTTAACTCATGTGGCTTGATATGTATATTTTAAGAGTATAAAATATGCAATAGGTAGAATCTTAATATCCCGCGTTAATGGCAATCATTTCTTCCCCCCAATCGAGCCCTTCAATGTTATCTTCAGAATTACAGCAATTGCACGTTTTACCAAGTAAAAATGTAACCCTTCTTTGTCCAAACACGCAAACATATAGTATAGAAATGGCTTGGAGAAGATTAATAACAATATGACAATATACAAGTGCGTTATAATTCAATCGTGACAGCAACAGCGATAACCAACCCATACTCATTATAGCAAACAAGAAAACGAACATCCTAAAGCTGTATTTCATTTTATGATGAATTCGACCATACGTGCTCATTCGTTTTATTCTATTCGCGGTCGTCAATACAAAAGATAGATCAATGATTATCGTAAACGCGATGGACGTGAATATCATGGAAATACCGAGCCAACCAATAGTTTCTTGCGGTGGATACAACGTTCCACCGATCGTGGGTTTATTAGTTTCTAAAGCAAAATGCGCAAAAATTGCTGTTCCCGCTATACAAACTGTTGAACCCCAAACGTACGAAGAATAATAACAGTATTTTCTGCCGTCAGTCACTCGTAGAAACACATTGCGTGAACGAAAAGTACTCCATACGTAATAACCCAAAGCGTTGAGCCAAAAAAATGCAGCAAGCAACGAGACATACATTACGGTATCTGCAAAAAAAAGAAATATAAATATTTTCGTAATAATCCAGTAGATTTAGGTAGAATATCTGAAATTAATGTTGCATCCATTTTTTTCTTTAATAGGAGGGCATATCATTTGTCCTTCGACAAGTTTTAATTCATTATTTGCATCGTAACTAAGAATATTGTATCGAATCACATCTCTTATCGTTATTCGTATATTTTGTTCACCGTATATATAACTCGAAGTGCAAAATGCGTGGTAGGAAACCTACTGAAATTAGCCATACCTTCCATTGACCATGCAATAAGATTGCATATCAAATAAAAAGTTACTAACGCACTCAGCGTCGCAGTCATCGTAAGACCGCATGCGCGTTACCTTTAGTTACGAAGTCCGCTAAACCAATCAGAGCCAACATGCATATAGTGAATGAAAACTCATCTTTCGAGGCTAATATCCCCTCATAAATTCATGTAAAGAAATTATAAATAATTTTAGAGAATGCATTTCGTACCGGCAACCATAAAACTGACGTGATTGCCAAATTCCGTGAAGATTCGAACTGTAGAGGCACATTGACCGGCAATAAGGCACAGAGTCATACTAGTTATCATGTTTCCCACGAGATCACGCAGTTGCGGTAAGACGAAATAGACAACCGCAACGACTAGGTAACTGGCTATCGACATTGCGTGAAAAGTAGGATCAATTCCATGTTTCATTAAATAATTCGTATCAGTCCATCTGACAATTACGTTGGGCACACAAACCATAGCGTAGGTCGCTACCAATCGATCTCTGCTTAAAACTGCTTTATCAATGCAATAATGTCCGAACAAGTAGTCATGATGATTAGAAATCGTCTCGAGATCATCGTCATCGTCATCCTCTAATCCGTAAGCACCTTGATCGTAATTTCCCCTTGTCAAATGTGTGGTATAGTGTCGCAATACACCACTGGTCAATATCGCCAATCGATCTTCGCCCGATTGAGAATGGTAGACGTTCCATTGATGCTCGTTCGACTGACACTTCGGTCTTCCGATTTTCAATTGATAATTCGGCTTGATTGGCCTGCTTCTCGAAATACCGTTGACCTTCTCCTCCACGAACTCCGGCCGCCACTCCGTCTCGTTCGTTTCCGTCAATGGCGTGCACGTGTCGTCGACGAGAAGTTCCTCGGGCTCGCAACACTTCGCAACACTGATCAAATTCGATTTACCGTTGTTGCTGGCGAGAACAACACGGGGATGATTCGTCCCCAGTGTACCGACGATGATAAACAGCGTACTCACGAGATGATACATGTCATCGAATCGGCACTGTTGTCTCTCCGTTCCCGTGCATTGATTTGCATTCGTTAACCGTTTCTTTATGTTCGAATTAGCGTTGTTGGTGATCGATTTCCTGACGGCCACACCGGTTACTTCGAGGACGTTGTTATTCACTCTCGTTCATCGCACAACGGGCGATAGACTTTGCCGTGTTGTTCATCGCCGTACCTGCAAATGCCGCCAGCGGGTGCCCGCCTAGCAAGACCTACCCCTGCCATACCCGCCGCCATCGCATCCCATTCTCTGTTTCACTATCCTTCACTCTCTCCTTTTTACGCCTGCCCGTTTCCTCTCTTTTTCTCTCTTTTGTTTCCCTCCGACTAGTTTCATCGTTTTCCTTCTTCCCCTTCTACCCGTTACTCATCCTTACCTTTCTCGTTCGCTACACATGAATCTCTGCTGCCTTCTTTCGATGATTGTGTGTTTTTGCCACTAATGGATAGGTTAAATATCGCATAAAACAGACTCCAGAAGCGTGAAACTTTTTACTTTCGCACTTCAAAATTTTTTAATAAGTATTTTCAATTTTAAAATTCGGCGAGAATTGCGACATGAAAATATACAAAATATATGCTACTCTGTACTGCACAGAATTTTTTCGATATTTACGACGCTCCACATGTTTTCAACAGTTTACTTTATATTGGAGACTTCCGTCGGAAACCAACCACTCATCTTTCCTGTTTTCCCCAGTAACGTTAAAAACAGTGCACTCTGCGAAACGTCTATTGTGCCATATTTATAGCACGATTGTTTGCAGCACCCCGTTGGTTTATCTCCCGGTGCAAAATACACACATGCGTGTCGTCGACGAGAAGTTCCTCGGGCTCGCAACACTTCGCAACACTGATCAAATTCGATTTACCGTTGTTGCTGGCGAGAACAACACGGGGATGATTCGTCCCCAGTGTACCGACGATGATAAACAGCGTACTCACGAGATGATACATGTCATCGAATCGGCACTGTTGTCTCTCCGTTCCCGTGCATTGATTTGCATTCGTTAACCGTTTCTTTATGTTCGAATTAGCGTTGTTGGTGATCGATTTCCTGACGGCCACACCGGTTACTTCGAGGACGTTGTTATTCACTCTCGTTCATCGCACAACGGGCGATAGACTTTGCCGTGTTGTTCATCGCCGTACCTGCAAATGCCGCCAGCGGGTGCCCGCCTAGCAAGACCTACCCCTGCCATACCCGCCGCCATCGCATCCCATTCTCTGTTTCACTATCCTTCACTCTCTCCTTTTTACGCCTGCCCGTTTCCTCTCTTTTTCTCTCTTTTGTTTCCCTCCGACTAGTTTCATCGTTTTCCTTCTTCCCCTTCTACCCGTTACTCATCCTTACCTTTCTCGTTCGCTACACATGAATCTCTGCTGCCTTCTTTCGATGATTGTGTGTTTTTGCCACTAATGGATAGGTTAAATATCGCATAAAACAGACTCCAGAAGCGTGAAACTTTTTACTTTCGCACTTCAAAATTTTTTAATAAGTATTTTCAATTTTAAAATTCGGCGAGAATTGCGACATGAAAATATACAAAATATATGCTACTCTGTACTGCACAGAATTTTTTCGATATTTACGACGCTCCACATGTTTTCAACAGTTTACTTTATATTGGAGACTTCCGTCGGAAACCAACCACTCATCTTTCCTGTTTTCCCCAGTAACGTTAAAAACAGTGCACTCTGCGAAACGTCTATTGTGCCATATTTATAGCACGATTGTTTGCAGCACCCCGTTGGTTTATCTCCCGGTGCAAAATACACACATGACAAATTCGCAGGAATCGATTTTTTGTTTACACACGTTCTTTCGCGTATACATACATATTGCATCATCGTCTGATCCTTGAGACTTGAGACTATCACGTCTGTTCGCTTTTACTTTTCATAATTCAATTTAGAATAATTTAGCAGTCACAAAAAAAGTGTAAATATAAATTCGAAGAAATTCACTTGTATCTTGTACCATTTATACATTTATTTATACAGGGCATTTTATTATACAAATCTTCAATATACAAACGTGGATTTAACATAGAAAGTTAAAATCGGAGGAATACAAATAATTATATCGACATAACCTTAATCTCTCGTATTTTTCAAAATCGATTATAAATTCTAGTAACACTTAAATGTAATTAGTTTGGTATCATATATATAAAGTTCGACGTACGAAATTGTTCACGATTTGAAGTGGAAAAAGAAAGGTATTACGCCGTTGCTAAGCGTTAAAAAAAAAGTTTCGCGTTTCTCACTGTAACACGTTTCGCGTTACTTCAAATATTGATCAGTAACACGTCGGTGCACGCGTTCATCGATGCACAAAGCATCTCTTTGCATTCGTATGTCACACGTGCGATTCTCTGTGTTACTCACTGTAGCATTATTCACGGTAACGTGGGCAGGATGTGTTTCTTTGACGTACTCTCGTTTATCGCGTCTTCGTTGAGCAGTCTATTTGATTACTTACGCGTAATGCTTTGTTTAATGATCGCGACGGTTTCACGCAACTAATACCTTCTTTACCGACGTCTTTTCAAATGCAAATAATTTACATATAAATTACAATTTAATTATTACAATACAATTAATTTAATAAATTACAATACAATTTAAAATGCAGTGAAAAATGATTTTCAAGTGATGACAAATTATTGTCGATAGAAGATCGATAACGTCTATTCTGAAATAATACGAGAGATAATTGAAATTACCTGCGAAATAAATCATTGTTTAATGGCACCGTATCTGAGATAAGCGACACTTAAAAATCTTATTGTTCATATTTATTCTCCCTTTCTTTTCGTTCCCACATAATTATACGTCACGGGATAAAAATTTTTCCGTCTGATAAAAAAAGGAAAACAAAAAGAGTAGTGTCCGGTGTTTTGTAACGCTTCTTCGCACGACACGTGTATCGTTCACGGTACGCCGACTGTTTTGTATCTTTTTAATGATTAAAAGACGTCAGAGGCGCGTAATTTAAGGTGAATCGTTATGAAGCGATGCCGCATGAGTCGACTAGAACGAAAGTGCGACGCAAGCGTCTCGGCAGGAAAAAATAAAGCGATTAACCGTGCAATTGCGCTGAGTCGGAATCTTGAAAAAAATGAGAGATGCGTATTTTCTTTACCTAATCTATAGAAGACCGCGTAAATACACGATCAGTCACGTGACACATGATTCTTCTCTCGCTTTCTCGCTTATATTCATAGAGATTCTTGAATAATTATTTAGTCATAATTTCTGATTATCAGCTCCTCTTACGACTAGGCGAATTAACGAATTAATCCTAAACGAGAATATACATTTAATCTTATTTAAATACTTTCAGGCAAGCGTTGCACTTAAAAGTTTTCTGTGTCATGATGGCGGCGCTATCAATTATCGATACACTATCGATTTCTTAATGATATCTAATCATCGATAATATCGCTGAGACTGAAATAGAATCTAATGCGTAATTTTACGATTCAAATCCTAACCTAACTTTCATCATTCAAACTAACCGTAAATTTAATTTCGAACAATAATTTGCACGACAAATATTTGAATAATAAAATAGCAGGTTAGGAAAAACAAGTTCGAATAAAATTCTATTTCAGTCGAACTTGTTATCAATATTTATCGATGACGGTAGGTGATGATTCGAGGTTCGATAGTCATCAAATGTTTTAACAGGGATAATAAACGATGATGATTGTGCATATTTGTTATAATGATGCAAAAACTAACAGTCCTGCTGAGATAATTCGACTTCCTCTGGTAGCACCACGTCCTCGCATTCCTCGTCTTTGTAGGCTGTCCATGATTTTGGAAATCCAATTCCACAAGGTCGTTTTTTGGCCAATAATTTCCTGACGCGTTTTCGGGTGGCGACCAATAGCAGGAATATTATGAAACCTTGCAACGCGTTCAGGATGTCGGTCGGGATCCTTTAAAGTTCAGAATTAGAATTTAAAAATACAAGCATTGGAAGCGCAGTAGACAGAGCGTCTGAATATTCATAAGTCTCGAATTTATTCTTATCTTCGAAATATTATGGAATAATACTCGAACAATTATCAGATCGCAAGCCGAAGTATTCGAACATAATTTAATAATTTCTGTCTGAAGACTTAAGATTCGAATACGATAAAATTTAATTCGAATTAGGTAAAAATTTGAAGATTACCAGAAGTTCTTAGAGCCATCCGCATACGAGAGTACCTCGAAGATCCAAGTGATGCCCATGACGAATATCAGCTTGACGTAAAGTAGAAACTTGAATCGAAGAGCTTTCAATTTACCGCCGTTGCATTCGCGGTACTGATGCCACAATCGCCAGCTCGTTAATCCCAGATAAATAACATTCAGTGCGAGTAAAATGGCAATTGGCCCGTAAAAATACACCCACATCTGTTTGGGCCCTGTAAAACAGATCGCATTCTGTAAACGATAGTTCTTCGAATAAACCGTAGACACGTGTGTTACGGGGAAAAGTTAAAAGGATAATTGTTTTGGAATATTGATCGTACCACTGAACCAACAGGTTTCTTCGCCGAAACCTGGCTTCAAGTGTCGTCCATCGATGTGATGCATTATCAATGCTACTATCAGGAAGCATGTCGGTCCACCGAATCCATACAAACAATAGATAATGAAAAGTGGCTTATCTCTCATAATGAAATGTCGAAACCTGTAACATTGAAATTGTGAAAGTACAGGAACAGTGTGAGCGACATCTCGAACTTACCACACGGTTCTCCAGATGTTGAACGACACGATGTTTAGCCAGAAGAAGACTGATATAAAGCCGAAATACAGAATGAATCCTAACGAGATACACAACACGTAATCTCCATCCACTTGCGCCCTCAAATTCTGAATGGAAAGAACGATATAGCTGACCGCCAAGGACGAAACGGCAGCCATCATAGCCTTGTCTTGAATCTCCCTCAATTCTGGCAGTATCGCGTAGACGGCTATGGTGGCGATCAGGAACACAGCCGATATGGTGCTGAGTATGCAGAACAACGTGTGCTTCCATATCGATGAGTTGCTATAACTTTCTTCTTCGAAGCACACCAGAGCAACCTTGGTGTTGTTTCGGTTCGCAACGCAGAACCTAAATATCCAATCACATTAAATGTTTGTGATCATGAATTATATTGTGTGAAGCTGTTGTGCCATGATTTGGAGATGAGACATTTTTTGTTTTCAATATTCGTACAGTTCTTTCTTAAATTTTGTGAAGAATAGGATATGAGCTGTATATGAGATGTAAGAGAATATTAGCTGTATATGAGATGTATAAGAATGTGAACTGTGTATGAGATGTATAAGAATATGAACTGTATATGAGATGTATAAGAATATGAACTGTATATGAGATGTATAAGAATATGGACTGTATATGAGATGTATAAGAACAAGAGTACTATCAAAGGTAAAAGAATCGATTGACTTCAGTTTCCACAATAGTAGCAAGCGCTGTCCATGAAATGTTCCTAACTGTACATCAAGTGTAAACTTGTCAAGTTACGGGTAAACTTGTTCGTAGAATCGTTTACCTGTTTGCCGGGATTTTCCCATATTCCAAGTCGACAAATTGTAACCACGGTTTGCCGTATTCGTAGACCACGGTAAAATTGTCGTTAGCAAATTCCTCCGGATCTATCAGATAGCTGCCACGAGGACACCGGAGCTGAATCCGGGTACCATCGCTGCAGTTCGCAGAAGGCAACCACATCGAACCATTTGGACAACAATTGACGTCAACCGCGTGGCCCGTCGAGATTGTCCATGTTAGCAAACAGATCCATAATAATCCTAGAAGCGTGATTCTCTAATCAACATTCGATCGATTATCGTGCTTTCATTGGAATCAGATCGCCGATTAGATTAACGCGAACACTCGAATCGATACCGTGATTCACGCGTGTTTTACGTTTCGTGTACTTTCTAGTCGATTTACCTACAGATTACAGGGTGTCTCATAATTGGTAGGTCCCTGAAATGGGGGATAGACGTGATTCTGAATAAGATTTTCCTTTGCAAAAATGGGGTAGATACAGGTTAAGCGGTTAAATATTCACACCCTCAACTTCCAAATACAGGGTGTCTCGCAACTAGAATTGGGTGGTGGGGTTCGAGATTCTGAACAACTTTTCCCTTTGCAAAAATTCGCTCTGAAGCTTCGTTTTTGAATTATTAAGGAAAAACACGGACCAATCAGAGCGCGAGGATTACGCGCGCTCAGCCGCTAGGTTTGAAGCTGTCTTGCGTCTGCGCACGCGACCCGCGCTCGAGTGGTCCGCGTTTTTCCTTAATAATTCAAAAACGAGGCTTCAAATCGAATTTTTGCAAAGGGAAATTTTATTCAGAATCACGTCAGCTATCATTTCAGAGACCTACACTAGTTATGGACATTCTGTATGCAATTATTATTATATTATAGTGCATGTATATGTATACTATAAACATATACACTGTATACAAAGTATACATATACTTATATTGGGACCTATACAATATCATATATACTGTAGAATTCTAATACATATACAGTATAATATATACTAGAATTTCTCTCTTAAATTAACGATATACAAAATTATTTTTAGTTCCCATATTTTCGAATTGTCATCATATGTCGATAATAGCTCAACCAGAGCTTAACAAGATTAACACTGATTTTTTTCAAAAAAAGTTCATGACACTTGTAATTTTTCTGTGCGTTGTCTCACAAGGGGTAGATCTACGACCTTCGAGTGTAACATATTAACGGATAGAGGTAGAAATTAAGGTGCTGTTGATACGAGGGGGCGTTGATTTACCACGAGATCGTGTAGAATGAAACGGACTCATCCATGACACAGATATCACGGATTCTATTGCCGATAGTCTGCACATCGAAGGTTTATATCGCGTTTTATGTTACCAACAGCTTACATGGGATTTAACGAATAACGGCTTCGATTGTCCACGCTATTTCTAATATTTTATCTCTTTGATATCGGAATATGCGATACGGGTGTGTCAATCTAGTAGCAGAGAGCCTTTCAAGCTTTCTGGGTATATTACTGGTTTTACTCGAAACATAAAATCCTTGTGTAAAGAGTAGTCGAACAAATTTGTGACAGTGATCAAATTTTAATAATGATGAAAATTAATTCGAAAAGCGATCAAAATTAATTTGAAAGTTATTCATAAAAATTATTTATTGAAACTTGTCATGGAGTTAACTGAAAATTGTCTCGAACTTGTCAGAGAATTAACTGAAAATTGACTCAAACTTGTCATAAAATCAACTGAAGAATTGTCTCAAACTTGTCATAAAATCAACTGAAGAATTGACTCAAACTTCACACAAAATTAATCATAAACTGTCTCAAATTTCTCATACGATTAATTCAAACTATACAAAGTTAGCTGACCCAAATCATTAATACAAACAGTTCACACCATGAAACCCACATCCTAAAATTAGCCCAAATCTAATTAAACTTTGAACACCCGAGCTATCAGAACTTCATATTTTGCAAGAATATTTCGGTAACATGACCCGGTTGAAATTTTTAATCGAGCGAATAATTAGTAACATTTTAAAGCTGCTAATTGCCAAATCTGATATACCGATCGACATTGCCGTTCGAAACTAATATCATTCGAAGTTTCACCATTTTCATTGAGAAACATTCGCCGAGATAAGTAGACAGAAATTGCTTATTAATTTAGTCGATCGCCGATAACGATGAATGCAAAGAAAACATGGATGCTCCAAAACAATTTCGCTCGAACTAAAACGGAACTGATGTAAATAATATATTTATAAAAAATGATTAACTCGTCGTGATAAGATAGGGAGTATTGCAAAAATATTGTTATTTTTTCCGTGTAATCAGTGCCGTATTAAACGTGTACCCATACGTTCAATTTTATTAAGCTTCCCGATATTTCCTCTCGAAATCATTTTCGAATTATTCGAACAAAAACTTTACAACCACGGTCGAAAGTTCACGAAGGCTTTACGGCTCATTTTACCATTCGATCATCTTAGGATTTTATTATCACGATAAAATGTGGACTATGAAACATTGTTGAACATTATTTCAGATACTGCAAAATACGTTTAGAAGCTCCGTTCATCGAAGACAGCTCGCAATCAATTGGCACACAGACATCTTTCAAGATCTTCTTTTTCCCCAGTAAATTATCTGTTAGAAATAGCCTGAATGTTCGGTGCAGTTGCTCGGCGTCTTTCAGGCTGAAATACTGATTGCATCACGCGAGGCACCCCGAAAGAAAAGTTTTCTGTGCTTATTTTTTTCGTCGGGCTGATTGACGTAGGCAGTACAAAAAATGTATCAAAGCCCGGTAAAAGGAATCGGTATTCATAGATGCGCTTTATGCTTTTTATTTTGTACGAAAAACAACGTTATCTCGGCCGATTATAAATTACGCGTATTACGCGATTGGGTAGGAATTTTAGAATTTACAAAGCGGCTTGAATGTACGGTGTTATTTTTCCTCGTTGCTTAAAATCTTGATGGAGATTTTGAAGCAGAAGTAACTCTTGTTATATTGCATTTTATTGGGGAACCTGGAGAATTCAGGGAATCTGGGGAATTTGGAGAATTTGAGGAATTTGGGGAATTCGGGGAATTTGGGAATTTTGGAAATCTAAGGAATTTGGAAAATTTGGGGGATTTGGGGAATCTAGGGAATTTGGGGAATCTAGGGGATTTTGGGAATTGGGAGGTTAGGGATTTGGCGAATCTAGGGAATTTTAGAAATGGTGGGTTTTGGGATCTGGGGGATTTTTGGAAAACTAGGGAATTTTGAGAATCTGGGGGATTTGGGGAATCTGAGAAATTTGGGGGATTTGGGGAATCTAGAGGATTTGGTGAATTTGGTGAACTAGGGAATTTGGAAATTTGGAAAATTGGAAAATTGGAAAATTGGAATTTGGAAATTTGGGAATTTGCGAATTTGGAAATTTGGTAATTTGGAAATTTGGAAAATTTGGAAAATTGGAAAATTGGAATTTGGAAATTTGGGAATTTGCGAATTTGGAAATTTGGTAATTTGGAAATTTGGAAAATTTGGAAAATTGGAAAATTGGAATTTGGAAATTTGGGAATTTGCGAAATTTGGAGAATTGGAATGTGGAAATTTGGAAATTTGGAAATTTGGGAATTTGGGAATTTGGAAATTCGGTAATTTGGAAATTTGGAAAATTTGGAAAATTGAAAAATTTGGTAATTTGGTAATTTGGTAATTTGGTAATTTGGTAATTTGACAATTCAGAAATTTGATAACTTCCCCATTTGAAAATTAGAAAACCCCTAAACTTGAGAATTAAAGAATCTAAAATGAATCGAAACTAATTCCGCAAGTGAACACATACTGCACCCGACATCCAACAAAAAGTATAACAAAAAGCGTCTAATAACGGTTTGTAAATATAACGTTGCTCTAGCAACACGTATGCAATTGAATGAATTGAATTGACGGACGTGTAAATGTCGAGATGTAATCGTGAAAAATAAAAGAACACACGAGAGGATGTACATATGCATGTGGCTGAATAGAAAAATGTGTGCAGGCATTGAGCATAAAGAGAGCATCTTGTTAACAGAAGCATCCCTTCTTCGCTTCAATTTGACCGTTTCATGATGCATATCTACACACAGTCTATGTTAAACTAGGTTACGAATTATCGTGATTAAATTGTATTTCTTTTCAACGCTCGTCATTGTCGAAATAGTCGTGCAAATTACTGTCAAGTCTTTTAACGTCGGTAGAGTCATTTTGTGGTTGCAATTAGAGTTGTTAGGTGTTGAGGAGTTTTGGACGGAAATTTGGAGAATTTGGGGAATTTGGGGATTTGGGGAATTTGGGGATTTGGGGAATTTAGGGAATTTGGGGGATTTGGAAATTTGGGGATTTGGGAAATTTGGGGATTTGGGGAATTTAGGGAATTTGGAGATTTGGAGAATTTAGGGAATTTGGAGATTTGGAGAATTTAGGGAATTTGGGGAATTTGGAGTTTTGGGGATTTGGAGATTTGGGAAATTTGGGGATTTGGGGAATTTAGGGAATTTAGGGAATTGGAGAATTTAGGGAATTTGGGGAATTTGGAGATTTGGAGAATTTAGGGAATTTGGGGAATTTGGAGTTTTGGGGATTTTTGAGATTTGGGGATTTGGGAAATTTGGGGATTTGGGGAATTTAGGGAATTTAGGGAATTGGAGAATTTAGGGAATTTGGGGAATTTGGGGAATTTGGGGAATTTGGAGATTTGGAGAATTTAGGGAATTTGTGAAATTTGGAGATTTGGAGAATTTAGGGAATTTGGGGATTTGGGGATTCGGGGATTTGGAAATTCGTGGATATAGGAATTTGGGGATATGGAAATTTGAGAAGTTGCAAATTCGTGAAATTAGGAATTTGAAGACGTAGAAATTTGATAACGTGAAAACTTACGAATGTATATACTCATTAATCTTATTCACATATAAGACTTCAAACATTCGAACTAAAAATTGCATAAAACAACGTAATATGAATATTGATAGCACACCTAGACAACTAAAAAATTTATTACTACCATAAGAATCAGCACCTCTTTTTTAAGAGAAGAACCGGCTTCGCGATAACCAAATGACATTATGCATCCACATTTCGTGCTCTATAACAAAAGAATGCTCTTCAAGTTGATCTTCAGTCAATAATACGTCATATATTAAGCATTCTGATGACCTTTCGAACCGTTTTCGATTTTATATTATTATCCCATTTCCCCGTCTCAATTCCCAAAGGTGCATATGTATGCAATGCGATAAAAAAATATCTTTCCCAACCGTAGAGTTTATATTAAGCTTGGTTTTAAAATAGGAATTAAACACTGACAAACAAAATATATATTCTTATAATCACCTGTTGTTAACTGGGCGTTACAAAGGTCATTAGGAAATTTGATTTTAATGGAAATCGTTATTGTGTCATCGTAAACGTGCATTTAAACACGAGAGATATAAATGAAATATTATGAGAAACGGTTCTAAATATATTGTGAAATGTTTGCATTAGGTGTCTTAGTAGGGGATTTAGGGTTTTAGGGTTCTGGGGATTTGGAAATTTGGGGATTTGGAGATTTGGAAAATTGGAGATTTGGGAATTTGAGGATTTGGAATTTAGGAGATTTGGAAATTTGGAAATTTGGGAATTTGGGAATTTGAGGATTTAAAATTTTGGAAATTTGGAAATTTGGGAATTTGGGAATTTGAGGATTTGGAATTTTGGAAATTTGGAAATTTGGGAATTTGGGAATTTGAGGATTTGGAATTTTGGAAATTTGGAAATTTGGGAATTTGGGAATTTGAGGATTTGGAATTTTGGAAATTTGGAAATTTGGGAATTTGGGAATTTGAGGATTTGGAATTTTGGAAATTTGGAAATTTGGGAATTTGGGAATTTGAGGATTTGGAATTTTGGAAATTTGGAAATTTGGGAATTTGGGAATTTGAGGATTTGGAATTTTGGAAATTTGGAAATTTGAGAATTTGGAATTTTGGAGATTTGGGAATTTGGGGAATTTGGAAAATTATTGGAATTTGGGGAATCTGGGGAAATTGGAGGATTTGGAATTTTGGAAATTTGGGAATTTGGGAATTTGGGAATTTGGGAATTTGGAAATTTGGAAATTTGGGAATTTGGGAATTTGGGAATTTGGGAATTTGGGAATTTGGGAATTTGAAGATTTGGAATTTTGGAATTTTGGAGATTTGGAAATTTGGAAATTTGGAAATTTGAGAATTTGGAAAATTGAGAATTTGGAATTTTGGAGATTTGGGAATTTGGGGAATTTGGAGAATTATTGGAATTTGGGGAATCTGGGGAAATTGGGGGATTTGGAGGATTTGGAAATTTAGAGATTTGGGAATTTGGAGAATCTAGAGAATTTGTGGAATTTAGAAAATCCACAAAATTTGGGAATCTGGGATCTAGGGAATTTGGGTTATCTACGTCCCTACAAAATATCATGAATCTGCCACATAGTTATCTAATAAAATATATTGTCTCAAAAATACAGCAACATATAGAAATCTACATATTTACAAATATACATCCTCATGTATAACACTTTTCATTTTCATATTCCAAATACAAATCTTGCGAATCTATATTTAAACTTACAAAATATTCAACTCGAAAACATTGAATAGTCGAACTATCCCCAGCTCCGTTCATCACTTTTCTATCATTTAGTGTTGTTTTCAATCACTAACCTAAAGACCGAAAGCAAACCGACCAAAAAGGGATTCGAACGTCAGTTTTACCCACCTTTGACTGGCAACGTGCCCAAGTACCTGCTGCTGATCACGTCCAACGACATTATCTCCGATGTTTGTTACCGCATTTCACAAGACAAGTTTGTTTTCAACGAATTTCGACGAACAATCACATCAATCACCGGTGGTTTACACCGTCATATGATGGGAATAATTAGACGAATAAATCAATGAATAATTCATTTGCAAATTCTGATTCAATATTAAATCACTGCAAAATTTCACTGTATCTCTTTTTACAGTTCAAAATTCTAATACTTTTCTTTCACTCTGAACTTCAAACGCTATCACGAACCGATTGCGAGCTACTAGCTCTGGAGTCACCTTTTATCCTCCGTTCAACCTTCGTTTGAGAAACGACGAATAAATCGTGAATGATGCACGTTGACACACTTGCGCTTCGCGTGGAACTGAAACAATCGTGGATAAAGCATTGATGATGAACTACCCGTTCAGAGATAGCAACGATCCTCTCCCACTGTGTCGCGTTTCTGGCTCACGGTTCACCACGGCCATGTTATATACTATGTCTTTTTTATCTCTTTACGAGGGGACCGCATTCTCGTTGAACGGATTCACGCATGATTCCTTCACCCTGTTTCTCACTGGGGTTCCGATCTGCTTCGAACCTAAATAATCTTCAAACTATCAATCTTTTTATTTCAACAAAGCCGTTTAAAAATATTTCACTGCACTGATTGTCTTCTAATTGCAACTGGTTTTGCAATTCATTACTCATGACTTTGTTCAGTCATATCGATAAATTAGATATTGATGTTATACATAATTTTGTCGTTCAAATTATTCTTGAAATTTAGAGGTGGAATACCTTGATAGAATACCATTTTAGGTTAAATTGGAAGAATAATATTTTAATGATATTATCAGTGTATCAATAAGATGTAGTATAACGACGTGCCCCTAACATTGCCCTAACATTCTTCAGCCATATCGATAAATTATCGAGATATGATGTTACGTATAATTTTGTCGTTCAAATTATTCTTAAAATTTTTTGTTAAAATTTAGAGGTGGAATACCTTGATAGAATACCATTTTAGGTAAAATTGGAAGAATAATATTTTAATGATATTATCAGTGTATCAATAAGATGTAGTATAACGACGTGCCCCTAACATTGCCCTAACATTCTTCAGCCATATCGATAAATTATCGAGATATGATGTTACGTATAATTTTGTCGTTCAAATTATTCTTAAAATTTAGAGGTAGAATACCTTGATAGAATACCATTTTAGGTTAAATTGAAAGAATAATATTTTAACAATATTATCAGTGTATCAATAAAATATAATGTAACAATAAACAATGCCTCTAATATTGCCCTAACATGTCCCTAACACCTCGAGTATCCTTCCGAAATGAATAAACAAAAATAGAATATACTCCGCCACGATTTACTCCTAATCTTTAATGAAGTAGAATTTCGAAACCAAAACAGCGTTAATTCAGCCTCATTTAATAATCGTTACGCTCCAAATATAGGCAGATAAATTTTGCGATGAAATTTCGCAACGATCAGTTGAGTGTTATTCGTTAAGGTGAAGATTGAAATAAACCTAATCGAGTAACCTTGCTTACTCTATGAGATGAAATTGAGTAATTGCGTAACCTTGATTAACAACGACTTTATTTTACTTTGATTAGTCAGACTAATGATACACGACTTGCACTTCGACTTAAATTCTCGCCACGAAGAATCATTCGTGCCTTGCAAAATAATTCTTAAAAAGTTAATAAACAGGTTTTAAAATGCTACGTGGTTAGCTATTAGATGCGTCAAAACTATTAAACCAGTATCATAATGCATACAAATTGTACGCGAGGAAGTATGTGGAAGATAAAGTACATTACGGAAATCATTGATAGATAAACTACGATAACTTGTTACTCATAATGTTTCAGTACTTTGCATACTGGTTAATGTTTGAATTATTGTTTGCAGTTGCTGGAGATGTTGAAGTTTTACGCCAGGTTTGAAATTAATGAAGAAAGCGGGGACCCTCTTACGGATCATGATATGACACAGTTGCATTACACCAAAATCACTTCTCTTCAGGTATAACACAGTTTGGAATTCTGTCGAAATTGCGGGGTTGAAGCTTGTGTGGGAGAGGGGGGTTGCGTTTCGTGTCGATTTTTATGTAATCGGGTTAATATTTGTTTATATGTAATTATTAAATGAGTTGGTAGGGATGCCTATATGTAGTGATATGGGTACGGTAGAAGTCTCACTATGTGACTCTTTTCTATACCACATTGTCCAGATTCATATATATTTACATCCCTACATTTTGCTAGCTTTGCATATTCTTGGATTTCTACAGTTCCATATCTCCACATTCACAGATCTCCATATTTTCAGAACTCCACATCCCCAGATCTACACATCCTCAGATCTTCACATCCCTAAATCCTCACATCTCCAGATTCCCACATTCCCAGATTCCCACATCCCTAGATCTCCACATCCCCAAATCCTCACATTCCCAGATCTCCACATCCCCAGATTCTCACATCTCCAGATTCCCACATTCCCAGATTCCCACATCCCTAGATCTCCACATCCCCAAATCCTCACATTCCCAGATCTCCACATCTCCAGATCCTCACATCCCCAGATCCTCACATCTCCAGATTCCCACATTCCCAGATTTCCACATCCCTAGATCTCCACATCCCAAATCCTCACATCCCCATATCCTCACATCCTCAAATCCCCACATCTCCAGATTCCCACATTCCCAGATTCCCACATCCCCAAATCCTCACATCCCCAAATCCCCAAATCCCCAAATCCCCAAATCCCCAAATCCCCAAATCCCCAAATCCCCAAATCCTCACATCCTCAAATCCTCACATCCCCAAATCCTCACATCTCCAGATCTCCAAATCCCCATATCCTCTAAACCCCACCAGCCCTAGATCCCCACATCCCCAGAACATCAGATCTCCCTACACTCAACCAACAATAAAATTAGTTAAGTTTGCATAACCCTTTCACACTCTCATGCAGTTCCATGCAAGGTCATATAGCGAGACTACACTGTACATGCACATGATTACCCTATGTCACATGTGAAGTCATCGACATTGTCGTTAGGGTAGGCCTTCACATACTAAAGCCAAAGGAATAAGAAAGTATAAACCAAGAAATAAAATTCAAACTATGCGCAGAAAGCAGTTTTCGCGAAGTTCCCAGACTTGAGGAGTTTTGCACTGGCAAATGTGGCGAGTGTCGACACGAGGGAGGCTCTTTACAAACATTTCGTTTTGCTCAGGTAATATTAATCGTTGTCCATATTTTTTAAAATCATTTTGCATATATTGAATATGTTTCGCTTTCAGTCAGGAGAAGTTAAGATCCATAGCTAGTTATCTCAGCTTGGTACCATCTGAAGAGCGAGAGAAAGAGGAGAATTGGTATCGTTACGATGTGGAGTTTCTTCAGGAGTTATTGGTAAGTAACGAGTGAAATCTAATGATGTAGATTTGTCGAGTAATGGATAAAAATTTCAGATTTCTCGGCATGAGCGTAGAGCGTCTCAGTTGGAGGAGCTGAATGAGATGCCACTTTATCCGACAGAGGAAATTATTTGGAACGAAAGTATCGTGCCCACAGAGTACTTCTCTGGCGAAGGATGTTTAGCATTGCCGAAGTTAAATTTACAGTTTCTTACTTTGCATGATTATTTGTTGAGGAACTTCAATCTTTTTCGACTTGAATCTACCTGTACGTATAAATACTTTGAATATGTAGAATGCAAAAATATATTTATATAGTTAAAGAATAGTATCAATTATTTATTGTAGATGAAATACGCCAGGATATAGAGGATGCTGTGAGCAGGTTGAGTCCATGGTACGTCATTTTTTCGAAGAAGAACCTTATCCTTCTAGTTTAGATTCGTATAGAGGTATTAATTATTTTTTAATTTAGGCGTGCCGAAGATGGAGGTGTTTATTTCGGTGGCTGGGCTAGAATGGCTCAGCCGATCACGCAGTTCGCTGTAGTTGAAGTAGCGAAACCTAATATTGGAGAGAAAAGACCATCCCGAGTTCGCGCTGATGTCACTATAAATTTGAGCGTTCGCAAAGAAATAAAGTCCGAATGGGAGAACCTTCGTAAACACGATGTCTGTTTTTTAATCACGGTGAAGCCTCAGAACCCGATTGGTATACTATTATTAATTACATCACGTAGATCTTACTTGTGCAATTAAAACTATGATGATGTAATACATTTACATGTACAGGTACAAAATATAGTCACAAACTACCTTTCGTTCCACAAGTTGGATTGACTACGGTTCGAGGATGTGAAGTCGAAGGTATGCTAGATTCAAACGGTAGAGTAATCGAAGATGGTCCTGAACCACGGCCGATCTTGCCTGGCGATACTCGAACATATAGGGTGTGGTTGGATTCCAATCAATACAGAATCGATATGGACAATGCTAGTCACGGCGGTGAAGATGTGTACGAGAGCTTTAATATTATAATGAGGCGTAAGCCGAAGGAGAATAATTTCAAAGCAGTATTAGAGACCATAAGAGAACTCATGAATACGGAATGCGTTGTTCCTGATTGGCTCCATGATATTATTCTTGGGTATGGTGATCCTGGAGCAGCCCGCTATTCAAGGTATGTTATCTTATACAAAACTAATTAAATTACTGACTAATATATATTTTTATTGTACAGGATGTCAAATGAAATTCCAACAATGGACTTTAACGACACATTCCTCGACATAGATCACTTAAGATCTAGTTTCCCTCAACATGAAATTGAAATTTCTACTGATGATGAATCAAAATTGGTGCGACCATTCCGTTTAACGTTCGAAGATGTGCTAGCTAAACATAATAATGAGCCCATCAGAAAAGTGATCAGAGTCGAACCTCATGTACCACCTAGTCGAGGTCCTTACAAAGCTAATGAGCCTAAGAAGTATGTAAAGAATTATTTTTTATGAAATAAAGATTTCATATCTCTTTAATGTCATTTTATAATTATGTTACAGGAATCAAATTCCTTTCACACCGACACAAGTTGAAGCTATTCGTGCTGGCATGCAACCAGGATTAACGCTCGTTGTTGGTCCACCTGGTACAGGAAAGACTGATGTTGCTGTTCAGATCATTTCTAATCTTTATCACAACTTCCCCAATCAAAGGACGCTTATAGTTACGCACTCGAATCAGGCACTTAATCAGCTGTTTGAAAAAATTATGGCGCTTGATATCGATGAAAGACATTTATTACGTCTAGGTCACGGAGAAGAAGCGTTAGAGACTGAAAAAGATTTCAGTAGATATGGTAGAGTTAACTATGTCTTAGCTAAACGTTTGGATCTGTTAATGGAAGTTCAAAGATTACAGGTTTGTAATTTGTAATGTAGCCAGTATCCTGCGTATCCTCCTTTTTTGAATGCATGTTAAAATTTGCTTTTAGGAGTCATTAAATGTAAAAGGTGATGTGGCATATACATGTGAAACAGCGGGACACTTTTTTATGTATCAAATATTAGCAAGGTGGGAACGGTTTGAAACCAGAATTAAACAAAGACTAGGAAATAACCCACCTCCTGCTTACATTATCGATGAGGAATTTCCGTTTCACAAATTTTTCGACAATGCGCCAAAGCCATTATTTAAACGTAATACGTTTGAAGAAGATCTCGAAATAGCACGAAGTTGTTTCCGGTAAATTTATATAAATGTGATATTGTATGTAACGAAGCACATTTTTTATTAAATTTTAATTAAATATGTTTGCAGGTATATTGAACGGATTTTCGCTCAATTAGAAGAATTTAGAGCTTTCGAATTATTAAGATCTGGTTTGGACAGATCAAAATATTTATTAGTTAAAGAAGCTAAAGTTATCGCTATGACGTGTACTCATGCTGCACTTAAAAGACGTGAACTCGTAGATATGGGATTTAAATATGATAATATTCTTATGGAAGAATCTGCACAAATTTTAGAAATAGAAACTTTTATACCATTGTTGCTACAGAATCCACAAGATGGATATAACAGATTGAAACGTTGGATAATGATAGGAGATCACCATCAGCTTCCACCAGTCATTAAAAACATGGCCTTTCAAAAGTATTCAAACATGGAACAATCCCTTTTTGCAAGATTTGTCCGGTTGGGTGTCCCCACAGTTGACCTTGATGGTCAAGGTCGTGCAAGACCTAGCATCTGTAATCTCTATAATTGGAGATACAAAAAATTAGGCAATCTAACACATGTGGAAAAGAGTTCAGAGTATCTTGTGGCAAACGCTGGATTTCTCTATGACTTTCAGCTTATCAATGTGGAAGATTTCAACGGAGTCGGAGAAAGCGAACCCAGTGCTTACTTTTATCAAAATCTTGCTGAAGCTGAATATTGCGTAGCTGTATTCATGTACATGCGTCTTCTTGGTTATCCAGCTGACAAGATCAGTATATTGACAACGTACAACGGACAAAAACATTTAATAAGAGACGTAATAAATATAAGATGTGCCAGTAATCCTTTGATAGGTCGACCGAACAAAGTAACGACAGTTGACAAATACCAGGGTCAACAAAATGATTATATATTGTTATCTCTCGTAAAAACTCGTGCTGTAGGTCACTTAAGGGATGCACGCCGTTTAGTGGTTGCTATGTCAAGAGCACGTCTCGGTCTTTATGTTTTTGCAAGAGTATCTCTCTTTAAGAACTGTTTTGAATTAACACCTGCATTTGCTCAACTAATGCAACGACCACTAAAGTTGCAACTTCTTCCACAAGAACATTATCCCACTGAAAGACTCAACGATGAAATTCCATCTACTCCACCAATGGAAATTGAAGATATGCCACATATGGCTAAATTTGTCTATGATTATTATATAGAAAAAGTTAGTGGTATGAAAGTAAGTTCACATTTTTTCATATCTATTTAGATCATGACTGATCAGCAGATAATTATCGAATCTTTAATCATGAATTACAGGAATCACAAAAGGCGTGGCAGAAACCAGGCATGGTACAACAACCCAATAGTCCAAATCATAAAGTGCCTGTTCATCCAGGAGCTGACGACGACACAGACGACGAAGAATTTAATCAACCAGATGATGAACAGTCGACTGTCAAACCAGAAAATATAGAACCAAAATTTGAATTAATAAAAAATTTAGTAGAAGACCCAGTTTCAGAAAGCGAAGACAATGATCGTTAAAAATGAACTCGTACGTTCATAAATAAGTATGGATAGTAATAAGCGAATGTTTTTACGGAAAATAACCATCTTTTTATTACAATCATATTTATTGTACAGTAACACGATATTGAATTATATTGTAATAGAATCAAAAGATATTTGTATTCTGTATATGTATTAAAAATAATATTACATTATAATTTATATATCATGTATTGTATATATATATATCATTTTGAAAATATACTTTAGGAAAAATTCCGATCAGGTTAAAACAGATCTATATTTCGCTTAATTAATGTTTCGTTTTGTTTTAACAAATGTTTCCCTGATTGCAACTTTTTATGCCTGTCAGGGCAGCTTTTCGAATGTTCTTTAGTTAGCCGAACACTCGATGGTACATAACTATTATCGAATTTCATTAATTTACTAGTAAAATCTGGATGATATTCCTCTACGGACGCTTTAACCCCTTTCGAATTGGGAATGTATTCTTCGGAATGATTAGTAGCGATCGTCGTACTAGGTTCATAAGTTTCATAAGATATTTTTGATAAATCTATAGAATTTGGAACATATCGAACGACATCTGCTATGCTTTTATTATCTGATACCATCGGCGAATATTCATTTGAAGATACTTGGATTGTTTCCAACATACTCTTCCTACTCGGTATATAATTTAAGTCCGCGCATAACTTCTTTGTCGTTGGTGCATCCGGTACATATTCCTCTAACGCGTCATTCTCCGCAGCCTCCGTAGGTAAATATCTTTTAGACCTATTATTTTTTGTGTTACTTGATGTCTTCGAAACTGCATCATTATTTTCCGATTTTTTTATCGAAGTGGTTTTATTATCCTTTTGATGTGTATGACTGGTAGACTGGTTCTGCAATTTTTCCACCGATCGGCTCGGAATTTCTTCCTTCAATGTTGTTTTTGCTACCTCTGTTTTATCCAATTGTTTTTTCGCGGGAGATACATTTACTCTGATCGTAGGCAATAATGTAACATCTTTTACGTCTTCTGATGGCTCAATCGTATATCTGTAATTTATGAAAACATTTTTACAAATTAACGAGTAATATTTGTATCCGCAGTACAAATATTTTTTACTACTTTACTATACCACCACTCTACCATTTTATTACTTCATTATACTACTATGATACTATATTACCATTTTACTGTAAATAGTGAACAGTATTTGTTAGAAAAATATTGCTTACGTGACATCCAACTGTCGTGTAGATTTTCTCCATTTATATTTTTTAAAATCCTCGAGCGATCCTTCAACTCGAACGTTACGTAAAATTGCTTTCTTCAGGATTTTATATAAAGCAGCCCAGTCCTCGAGATCAAGCCACTTATTAGTCGAAACTTCTTTCTTTTTAATTTTTATAATCTTTTCTTGCACAGTAACGACAGCCGTAGCTAAACAATTATCTGAAGCCTACAAACACAGCTTCTGTTTTATTTATATAGATGTAGAAGCATCTAGTGACAGCTGTAACAGCTGTTGATCGTGATACCTTAATTACTTCCAAATATTGACCATCACGAAACATTGTTTATAATATATTGTAAATTGCCAGCAATTTAATTGATTCCTCGTGAATGTATGTACTCTTGCAGTACACAATTTTATACACTATTCACAAATGTTCAAAACATATACACGATCATTTTAATATCCCTGCTTGTCACCTTGAGTAAGATATGATGTCAGCGTGGTGCACCGACTTACGCATGTGTGAGAATAAGAAAACGAAAGTGAAGGATGAAAGCAAATTCAGTTTGTGTAAATGCTTAATTTATAATTATTAACACAGCATTTCTCTATGTAACTGCATAAAAAGCTGATGATCATATTTTGTAGTTTATTTATAGTATTTATTTTATATGTTCATTATTAATTTATATAATTTCTGATAATGTATACATATATTGTTCTTTTCATATTTAAATAACTTCGTGTATTAAATAAAATATAAATTAAGAATTTCCTTTATAAAAGAAAATATTTTGAACGAAAATATTAATGTGTGCAATTTATAATTTGTATAATATGTACTTCTTAAAAACTTAATTTTAAAATGTATTACTTGCGCGAAATAAAACTTAAAAAATATAAATATATTGCCACTATTTATTACAATTTTGTTGCCATTTAGTATAAAAATATTGGTTATTAAGTGCATTAAATATTATATTCAGAAAGATAGTTTGGTTTCAATTTGTTATAGGTACTAATTTACAGCGCGTTGAACTAAAATAATATAAATAAACAACTATGGCATTAGAAAAAAAGCAAAGTATTATGGAAAGATTAATAATTTTTAACGAAACTGATATTAAAACAGTGAAGGTATGTCCTAACCTACATTTTATTTTCATATAATAATCAAATTTTAATAATTTTAAGCGGTTTATTAACGATTTCAGGTTATCAGTTATGGAATTGCTAGTATAAGTTTAGTTGTTGCACTTTATCGAATTAGACCTGTATGTATGATCTATATCAATAATGTTTTAAATAGCTCAATGTCTTATGCCTTTTATTATTATATCTTTAGTTTGCTAAATTTAGAAAACCGTCCAGTATACCATCTCATTTTATACAAAAAAGAGTTGAACTTCGAGGTACTGTGAAACGTATAGATCCTAGCTATGGCACAGTTCTCATGGTTGATCACAAGCCATTAATACCTTTACCCCGATTGAGCGGTTCTAAATATTTACCAATAAAAATAGCTGGACTTGACATAACAGCCAATGGTAAGTACTAATTAAATGCTTACAGGTACGATAGATTCATTAATGGATATTTAACTAGGTATTAGTTGGTTACAAACAATTGTTGGTCAAAAGGAAATAACTTTCATACCTTTAGCAAAAAGAAAAGAGTACTTAAACTGCATAGTCGTGTTACAACACAATCAGGTAAGAATATAATTTTATGTGACTTTTTCTCCTTATTTATATCAAAATCATACAGGAACAATTAAAAATTGGCGAAGAATTAATAAAGGTTGGCTTTGCTTTAATAAATGAAAGCTCTCTAAAACCAATGTCAAAGGATAAGGATATCTTACATTATCAAAAATGTTTATTAAATGCTCAGAAGTGGGCACGATATAAAAGAAATGGATATTGGCATTTTGCTATATATCCTAGCATTTTCTGGAAAATGCAGCAGAATTTAGCCAAAAAACTAAAGTCTATATTACCCACTTTTATAACAAAACAACTTAATATTTGAGCATAGCTTTATAATTCCTTTTGTTCTATTCATGGACAGTGATTCCATTGTATAAATAAAAACAGATTAACATATATTTTTATAATGTACTTAAACATTTGTAATCTGTGTTATTTTTAAAGGAGTAAATAATAGCAATTATAAAAGTCAATATTTAGAAAACAAAAATTTTATTTTTATACCATTTATACATCCTTTTACCAACTTTTATATACAATTAAAAGCATTATTTTTCACCGCTATGTATATAAGTTTACTGTATTAGTTGAAGAATGCTAATTTTAATATATATGTATATAGGTTTATTGCATTAGCCAAAGAATAACTAATTTTTATTTTCATATGTATATTTTATAGAATATACCTTACATAGAAAAATAGATCACATACAAAAATAGAAATTAAAAATTCAATGAAAGATTCACACTATTTTTATAGTTATAGCAAACAATTTTAATTATAAGAAAATAATTTAAATCGCATAAACAATTGTAATTTATAATATAAATTATCTTATTTATAGAAATATTATTTTAATATTTAAATTTTTATTGTATAACACAGTATTAATCTTATATACAAATCTAAATCACAGTCTCTAACGCATTCCCCAATTATTTGTATCATTTGTAAGAAAATTAACATACATTAACGTAAAAAACATTTTATAATATTCTGTTGAACTTTGTTTGAGAACTGTAAATAAAAAAACATGTATTATTAAAATAACGGAATGTAAATATGGTTTAAATCTTGTAAAATATAAACAAGTCGATATGTTTGGAATATGTAGAACCTTTAACATAAAATAGAACAGTATAATTAAACTTTGTAATGTTTAACTGTTTATTTCTTAACAGAATCTTTCTTTTCTACTGGCTTGGGTTTTGTAGCCTGAGTTTGCTGAGCACCTTTTTTGACAGATTCATCAGGTTTTGATTTCACAGTTGATTCGCTGTCTTTTTTTAATGTTTCAGGTTTCGCATTTAAATTGGAATTATCTTTTTTAACTTCTTTCAAATTATCCTTCCCAACTTTCTTTACATTATCTTTCTTCGTTTCCTTTGTTGACGTTTTTGGAACAGCAGGAGGTGGTGTTGTAGTTGGTTTTGGAGGAGGAGGAGGAGGAGGAGGAGTTGTAGTAGTAGTGGTGGTGGTGGTGGTGGTAGTGGTAGTAGTAGTTGTGGAAGCACGGGGTTGTGATGTAGATTTTTGAGTGGTTGGTTTTGGTGTTGATACATCTAAAGTTGGCTTTTCTTTTGCTTGTTCTTTAGATCGTGATTTCGTAGCAGTCTCTTGAGGTTTTGTATTTGTGGGTTTTGTTTCTACTTTTACACTTGGTGCTTCTGAAACTTTTGGACGTGGTTCTTCCTTCCTTTGTTCTTTTACATTTGAAGATTTTTTAGCACTTACTAAGTCTGGGAATGCTTGTTTTAATGGAATTCTCATTATATAATCATTCCAAGGAGATCCAAACCACAAATATCCATTATGTACATAAGCAGAGCTAGTACCATGTACTTTCTTATCTGCTGAATATAAAGCATCCAAAATATTTCCTGCTTTATTCAATCTGAGTATTATTGATGTTTTCTTTGTATCTAAAATTGATGAAAGTTGAAATGAACCCACTACATGTGAAAACTTTTGTGCATAGTAATTTGGATAAATATCATTCAGTAATTTAAATGGAGCTTCTATGGTATACAGCAATCTGGATAACATTTTCCTGATGTATGGATGTGGCATGAGAGACTGAGGTAAGACAGGATTTTCAGAATCTGCATATATAATTAAAGATACTAAAAATCCTCCTTGTCCATCACTATGTACATTATCTGGTAAACCAGGTAGAGTTTCTACCAAAATTTCATGTTGTCCAGCTTTTGGACCTTTCAAATTATATTTAATAATGCGTGAATGAAGACATTCTAATACAAGAACGAAACTTTCATCATCGCTTAGTACAACACCATTTGCAAAACCTAGATTTTTTATCAATACTTCATTCTTTTTTGTTGCAGCATTATATCGAATAAATCTACAAATAAATAATTATTTATATATAATGTACTAAATAACATGTACCAATTAAATTAAAAATTTTTTACCTGCCAGATGGATTGGCTAAGAATGTATATAATCCATCTTGTATTCCAAAATCTGTACTTGAATCTGTCCAATAAATATCTCCATTCTTTGCAATATCCAAAGAATTAACTATTCTTGGAGCTTTTCCATCAATAGGTAAAGAACTGTTAACTATGTTTGCATACTGCCGTGTCTTAACATTGACTTTAAAAATTCCATAGTAAGCATCAGCAACAAATAATTCTCCTTTATCGTTAAATTTTAAACCTAAAGGTCTACCACATTTTTCTTCTTGCCATAAACCATCTGAAAATATATCAATCATGTGAATGCATGTAATGAAATTTATGATTTAATTGAACTCGTAATTTTGTTTATAGATCAATTAAACTATTTAGAACTACATACCACACTTTTGACCAAATTTCACAATTGGTTCTACCCGGTTTTCTTCAACTTTTACGACGTAACCTCCGAGCACACCAGTGTAAAGTTCCCCATTGTACGACGCAAAAGATTCTGGACCTTTAATTTCTCCAGAAAACAATACTTCTGCACCTTCTAATCGATTTTTTAATTCTAAATGATTTTGTACATCACTGGGAAGTTTTATACTGAAATATTTGTTAGCCGTTTTAACATTTCATTATTTGTTACATATATTCCAGAATTACATTGCTAATGAATAAAATAAATAGGTATATTACCTATATTCGGAATATTCTGCTTCAGGAGGTAAACCCGGTAAAAATGTAATCACAGCTAAGAAAAGACCAATATATATTATTACCGTGCCTATAGATTTTAAATACCCCATTATTTATGGTGCTTTGAAGACGTATTTGTACGTTTAGTTACTATTTTCAACAAACTTTAAAAAGCAGAAGAACACTTCAACTTTTCTTCATCTCAGCACTAATGCTACTGAGGAAAAACTAAGACCTTTACCCTAACTGTTCCTTGCCGGCTTAGATAACGGCATTCGCAATTTTAATGGCGGTGAATTACGTGCTGTAAAACGCATAACTTTACTTTTAGCAGTGTCAAAAAATGCGTACAAATAAGCGCCACGTAAACGGAAGGTATCAATGTCATCAATTTCCGTTGCCGAAATGATTTTATTTTTGTTGCCAACTCATCAAAATTTGTGCTGATTGCGATATGCATATTTCGGCAATAAGAAGGCGATTTGATTTCAAGAGTTGTCTGTCAACTTATGTTTTTGAATTAAAACATGTATTAGTAAAGTATATGTGTATATTTATATATAAATTATATTAATGTTAATATTATCATGCGTTAAGTTATTATTATCATGAATCATAAAAATGTATGAATATTTAGCACTTTTATACCGACGATGAAATAATTTTTATTTAAAAATTCATAGTATAGTTTACTTTATTTTAATGTATTAATAAATAATGAATTAATCTTTATTTTAATGTATTAATAAATAATGAATTAATCTTTATTTTAATGTGAGCATCAGATTCTAATTATTAAAAAAACATAATATTGTTTATAAAACAGAAAGATTTTGTTTTAATCGATTGTTTCCAAATGTTTTATTGAAAGCAAGAGTGAGCAATATAATAACGTTATTAATTTATTGATGTACTGCACTGAAATTCAATTATCATCGCATACTTTTAAATCCGGTATTGGTGTAGCTGAAGTACATGCAAATATGTAACTTTTAGGACACCGAGTGTATGGCTCCAGTAATTTTTTATCTTGTATACATCGTGCATTATGACCTTCTTCCCCAATTCACATATTTTTATTCACCATGTATATAACCGACGAAATAAAAAACACATGGTAAAGGGAAACATACTGAAGTTAGTCAAATTGCACATTCAGAACGGTCTTTTTTGAAATAGAATATAATCGTGATTAATTTCTACCGGATGGCGCTGTGACTGTTCAAATGGATCGTATGTATTTGTTGTCATTCGTTCAAAACATATATTTTTAAATAAGAAAGTAGTACTAATAGTGAAGTATGATGGATGAACTGAAATGTTGTAAACAATTAATACATCTATATTTTATTTTTCAGATAATCTCGAACAGCAGTGCGAAGACGCACTCTTTGAACTATGTGATGCTCGAGAACGATATCCAATGGAATGTGCTAATGAACTTGAAAAATGCATCAAACTTAAAACCGATATACATGTGATGAGTATTTTTATACTTATAATACTTTTATGTGCCATGAATTGAAAATTAATTTTTCTTACGTTTTGTAGATGATGAAAGTATCTATGAAGTCTAATACAATAGACTATGTGGATCATAAAAATTGTAATATAAATGTCAATGAAAAAAAAATATCTTTTAAACATTTGGATCACAAGTTACAAAATATGACAAATAAATTAGATAATTTAAAAGCAGTTATGGATCAAATTGAACGAGAAAAGGTATCTTGGACTCATAAATTATTGCAAGGTTGAATTTTGTATTTTTTATTAAATAAAACATTTAAAATACTATACAGTTATTTATTATTCACCTTCATTGCATAATATACATGTAAAAAAAGATGTTGAACATACTATTTAGTTCTTAATATTAAATTATAGATTAAATTGATGATAAATAATATGACACTTTTATTGTTCAACATTATTAGTGCACAAATCTGGTTGAAGAGGAACTTTCTTTTATTAAATTATGTATATTCTTTTGTACTTATACGTGTCACAACAACCTTGGCACCTCTTGTAATATCTTGAAAAAATTTTACCATTTCTATATGCATTTCACCATAATTTGCACTGCTTAGCACATTTAATGATTTCGTTTTAGATCTAAGGTATTTTTCATTGTGTAAAAGCTTTTTCTTTTGCAGATATGAAATATCTTCATAAAATTCTTGTGTGATGTCTTTTATTTCATTTGATGACACTTCTTCTACCTTTGTCATATTTTTTCCCGAAGTACTACTATCATTTGTTTGAATTTTTGATACAGTAGATAACATACTTTCATTTTCACTATTATTTTGGTCATTTTCATTGTTTAAAATTTTAGCTTCTAATTGTGTATTGTCGTGATCATTACTATTGTTACTATTTATAATTTTAGCTTCTAGTTGTACATTAAAAGGAATTTCTTCTTTTTCATGTGTGTTATCAGCCTCCTTGTGAACTTCAATATTACTTTTATTTATTTCATTTTTGTTAATTAAAGAAACATACTTTTTTGGGGACTTATTTTTTAACATTTTCTGTAGCGGTAAAGGTATTTCTTGCATAGTAATACTTTGATCTGATATTATTGTTGGAAGATGCATCTTATTTTTTATATTATCGTCAGATAATTTATGTGATGTATCCGATTTTTTCATAAATTTATCATTTGAAAAAGAAGTGTTCAAACACTCTTTTAGTAATAATTTTTTACTGAGAGGTGAAATACATTCATCATTTAATGTTTCAAATTTTGTTAATTCTTTTTTATTTACTAATACATCCTTGCAGTCTATAAATTTTTCTTCACATTTATGTACTCGCTTCAAAGAATGTATTGGTGACTGAAAAATACTATTTTGTAATACTTCTGGTATTATGTCTTCTTCTCCTTCTTCATTTTGTTTATAGTTCACATTTTGCGTTGTAACATTGTACTTACATGTATTTGTAACAAATAAATTATCATTATTATTTGAAAAACTTGTACTAGCTAAGGGAGAATTATTATATAAAAATTTCGATTGCGCGTATTTTAATGTAGATGTAATGTTTTCTTGAGTAATATTGACATCATTAAAAGAATATTTTGTACTATCAAATGAATGTACACTTAGAGATTGATTTTTTAAAATATTTTCTTGAATAATTGCATTTTGACATTTATGTTCATTTTCATTTTGTTTCGGCAAATCAATCATTGTTATTAAGTTTTCTAAACCAAGTAAACTAGAATTTCGTAAGCGTTTTTCACCTTCCTGTGTTTCAATTTTCTCAGAATTTTCTAATACTTCGTCCATTTCTAATTTAGTTTTCTGTTCAATAACCGCTACAGTATCTTGGCCCTGTCGAATTGTAAACATTAATCCTTCCATTACTAAATCTGTAATATCAGAAGAACGTGATGTTGTATTATCTATTGTGAATTTTCTTTTTTTAGGACTAGGTAAATCTTTTACATCTTCGTTTATATTTTCTAATTTATGTCTTTTAGAATTCTGTTCGCGTTGATCACACAAGTTTTTATCAGTTGTTTGTTGCAAACAACTTTCAGCATCTAATATCTCGTGTTTTGCATTTTCTATTTCATTTTCTATAAAATATTGATATGGTAAATTAGCAGAATCTTCGTTAGTATTAACAACTGTATTTTTATCATTATGTTTACTCTGCACCAAACTGGTTTTACAATCAATAGATTTTTTTCCAATCTCACGTTCATCTGATAAAATTAATGTGTTGCGATTATTTGATGATTTGGTAGTACATACATTAATTTTTCCAGAACATAATTTTGTATCCTTATTGCTTTTATTTTCTAAAGAAATTAAATTATTTGAATTATGAGCATCATCTACTTTTTCTGTTTCAGCTATAGTTAGTTTATTCTCTTTTAATTTATCACCTTTCAAAGATTTATTTTCTTTTACCTTATTATTAACTTCTGTACTGTTTTCATTATTTGCTTTCTGTTTTACAGATTCTTTATTTGTAGGTGTTTTATTTAAGCTATTATCCAATTGTACACCTGGAGTCTTAGACTCTGAGATATTTTTTTGTATGTTATCACACTGCACATTTTTTTCTGAGATACCATTGTTACAAGAGTTTAATAAATATTTTTCACTTTTCCTCTCAATGTTGTTTTTGTCTGAACATACACTATTTAAATTTCCAGTAGCAGGGATTGGGCAGTGATCAGTATCAGGAATAGTTACTACATGTTTTATCTTCTGTTCTGTATGTTCCAAAACGTTGCACACTTTTATAGTCAAAACAAATGCATGAGAATATACTGTGCCACATCGTTCTTTAAATTTAATCATTGCAAACATTTTGTCTTGTCTAGTCCATGATGCATAATCTACATATTATTAAGGAATTACTTTATAGTTATCACATAATAATTAAAATCAATATAAGATTGTGTTAATTTTGCATTTAAAAAAAGGATACTGTAAGTGACAAAGAGATTGGTAGTACTAAATTGTTGTCCTTGACGAGGTTGCGTTTTAATGATCTTTCTAACAACCTTCATTAACTCTTTGCCAAACTCAAACTGTTTTTTATTCCTACAAACATACATATTAAGATGTCATCAACAATATTTTACTATATATAAAATAAATATTTACCTAGTCATGCGATGATATCTAAAGATAAATTTATATACATTGCTTTTATGACACAACCAATATGAACCAGGTACTGTTACAATTGTATTTTCCTTTTTTTGGGTCCAATCAAGCCAGCTAGCTTTTCGAACATATATTCCAGGCATTTTCTTTCAGGTATTAATTCTTGGAACAAGGGAACCAATTTTAATGAATCTTTTCTACCAAATGATTCTTTTACTACAATTGTAAGGTAGTATAATACTTTTTGCTGAAAACATGAATTATACTTATATTTGTCATATACATGACCTATAATATCTATTACATTCCAGTAAATGTTATTTTTATACTTACTCCTTTTATAACTTCATTAATAAATACATCAACCACTGTATCCCAAGGAACAAATTTAAATGAACTTAAACCATAAAATATTCTTTTTCCTTCAATATATACACCAATAGATTCTACTACTAGTAATGTGTCTGTAAATAAAGAAATACAAATTAATATATATTAATATAGATTAAATATTTTAGTATTTATAATTACTCAACTAACCTTCCTTCACAGATGTGATAAAATAAATTAATTGTATTATTAAAACTAATACAAATATAGTCAATGCTATTAAAGTATTAAATACTATCCATAAGATCAATGTTACAAGTATGAAAATAAGTGTCACATTGACGTTCAAACGTGGATTTCTATATAAAATAAATCTCATAACATTTCTAGTTGTTACACTTTTATCAATAAGTTTCAGTTTATATCCATTTATACTTCTGAAAAACAATTCAGGTGAAGATTCCTCTTTAAAGCAAGTCGACAACATTAATAAGTTTCTCTTTAGTTCTACTAGAACTATATCAATGATTTTCACTGCAAAAAATTAAGTAAAATTCTTTTTTTACAAAACCCATTTGTAATAAAAAAATATGTAAATTTTGCACTATAAACACTTATTGCTAATAACTTACGTTTAAAATAAAAAAAGTCACGCAATAACAATGTATATACAGTAAATACTGCAACAATTTATACAATTTTTTCATACTAGACGTAAGTCATAACACTCCAACCCATTCGAGTAAACAAAGTATAATCGCAACAAATAATTGAACGTTTTACTGCGTTATAAAAGATGACAACAGATAACATCTATGTTATAACTCTATATTTACAAATTTATATTTTAATTGGATGACAGTTACGTTTTAGTTTATAGCAGTTTATAGTTAGATGTCTACGTGTATAAGTAGGCAATGCATGTACAAAATTGTTCTTATGTTTGTATTTTACAAGGAAATAATTAGCAAGTTCAAAATCCACCAGATATCGCTGTTGTCGTAGCTAAATGTTATACCAAGATCACATGACAAGCGAAAGAAAGTGTGAAAGACTATACAATGTTTTATTTTAATTAAAATGGCACGCGCAATAGTAGAAATTAATGAAATTATTAAGTATTTTGATGAAATAAACACACCTTTTAAAAAAGGTGGTAAAATTTCAGGATAATTACATAACGTTATATACATTGTACAGTGTGAATCGAGAACAAATATTTTGTTCTTTATCTGATGCTGTTCTCATTAATTAATTATTTGCATCAAATTTACATAACTATAGTTACATGACAGTTTTATAAATGAAATAGTGATTGCTACAGGTTGCATTTCCCTAAGTGACAATTCTAACCATTACACTTTTTACTATTTTAATTTTCTGTTTGTCCCGCTTGATTTACGTAGCATGTGCAGTATAAATGTATATATTAATTTAGAGATTCATGTGTTTTAATTAGAGGAGTTCCTAACTCTACCACTAGGTAAGACACTTTTACTTAAATTTGTCAATACCCCATGCTCTATTCTAATTGGTTGGAATAAAATTGTAGGATTATTAAATATATATGTAAATTATAAATTCATTTTAAAAGATTTATAAACATTTCTTTTTTCAAAATTTTATTATTCAAAAATCATTCAAACGCATTAAAGCATTAAAAACGACATTTTGGAAATGTACCCTTCGGTCGTGACTTCAGTCCATCATTCGCTCAACGGAAGATCATGACCATTATCTAACAAATTTGGTTCATTCTGCGCACATCAGCTTTGATTAGTTTAGGAACGCTTCGTAACCAAAAGCAACACACATGCGTATTTGCGATGTTCGTGACGCCAAATGTGTATATACAGTGGCTTTTTAATTTATATAGTACTTGTTGCTTATTTAGAGTACTGTGTAACGTGGTATACGCAGTAATGTATTTGTACAGGTCTAAGGTTTAGAAACTTTGGGAATTTGAAAATTTATCCATCATTTAATCATGCTTATCATACATCACTTATCCTTATTCACATATTTTTCCCATCATGTATATAGCCAACGTAGTAGAAACTACGTAGTAGGAGGGCAGCACTAGCTGGTGTGGAGCTTGCTGAAGTTAGCCACGTTGCGCAAACTGGATATGATCTTCCGTTGTACTAGCTGTATATAGTATACCATTGCTGCGTATACAATTTTTAATAACCTATTCGATAAAAACAATCTGTCATATATATTTTTATACTTTCTTTATTACTATATTCAGTAGATTACACATTAGAAAAGTAGATGTATTGATAAAAGGTGTATAAACAAAGAAGAAAAATAAGGTAAAGAGAAAACAGGAAAAGGTCTAAAAAGATAAGGAGTGCGCAGACGTGGTTTATGTCCTGAATCGCTCAAGTCCCGTCAAGCAGAGGGAGTGAAACAGCACCTGCTGCCATTCTGGCATTACGTCAATGGTGGATATCTCATTCGCTGGTTTGGGAGGAGTTACCGTGACCGCCATTGTTACAGCTCTTTCATATTGAGGAACGTGATCTGTGAATTTGTACTGTCGAATTCCTAGTTTCAACAAATTGTCTCTCTTCTAGATTTCTATAACGACGGTACACGATATTAGCGAGCGCGCTCTGAGCATAGCATGTCCACAATGAATCCCGAGTAGTGAGTAAACTTCCTTTTGCGCAGACATAAGTATATCTAGGAACGTTCATTTTGTGAAATATATAGCTAATTACGTGTAACCCTAACAACAGTTGAAATCAAAAGAATGAAATATTATTTGTGTCGTATTATAGCTATATTAATGCAAACTTCTAACGTTTAGTATCTGACAGATCACCTTTTATCCCCTCTCTTCCCATCTATATTCATAAGCCATATTTCAGTAATTCATTCTCTGTTGTCCTTTCTCAATTCTCAATTTATCATTATATGCAATCTTCGATTTATCGATTATCCACTAAAAATTACTGTTTTGAATGTAAATAACATGTATAAACATTTAACAAATTTTTTAATATAACTTTAAATCTGGTCTTTTACAAATAATTACAAACTGAAGAAGACAAAGTTCACTTTTTGAACTGTGTTCTCTTATGTCTTACTGTGTTGAAATATGCCAAAACAATAAATATTATTGATATTATTATTGATATTAAATTATATAAATTATGTTGTATATGATGAAAAAAAAAACCATTACTAATGTTGGTTCATAAGAGATCAATCATTAAAGAAAAGTTTAATTAAACGTAATTTGTGATATATATATATAAACTATTGAAATTAATATATCACTATTAACAGCTTATATTTATAATTTAATGTATTATGTACATCAATTATTGTGTAATAGCATGCAAGAATAATTTAGAATCATTATGATTCATGGTGCATATGTTTGTTTGTTATGTATTCTGTACAAATGATTCATACAAAATGAAAAAATATAATGTTTATTTTGAATATGCAATGACATATGTTAAACACTATTCAAAAGTTATTAATAGTATGACAATAACATAAATATTTATGCAAATATAACCAAGTTATATTAACTGGTAATAATAATTGATGTGGTACATTTTACATGTTAAATAGTTTAGTTTACCTTAAATGTTTATAAATAATGTAACTTTTTTACAGTGATTACCTGTTTAAGTTGCTTTTAATTGGAGATTCAGGAGTTGGAAAATCATGTCTTCTACTCCGTTTTGCTGATGATACATACACAGAAAGTTATATCAGTACTATTGGTGTAGATTTCAAAATACGAACGATTGACCTTGATGGGAAAACGATAAAGTTACAAATCTGGGATACTGCGGGTCAAGAACGATTTAGAACAATTACAAGTTCTTATTATAGAGGTGCACATGGAATCATTGTTGTTTATGACTGCACAGACCAGGAAACGTTTAATAATGTTAAACAGTGGCTTGAAGAAATTGATCGTTATGCGTGTGACAATGTAAATAAGCTGCTGGTCGGCAATAAATGTGATCTTCATATTAAAAAAGTGGTTGATTACACAACAGCAAAGGTAAAAAAATGATTAAATAAATAACAGATAAGTCATGTATCATTATGCAAATGTTGTGTATAGGAGTATGCAGACCAACTTGGTATACCGTTCTTGGAAACATCAGCAAAAAATGCAATGAATGTAGAGCAGGCTTTCATGACAATGGCTGCAGAAATAAAACTAAGAGTGGGACCTCCATCAAGTGGTAACAGTGATCCAGCAAATAAAGTGAAGATAGAACATGGACGTCCGATTGAAGCCTCTAAGTCAGGGTGTTGCTGAGAAATGTAATTTTATATCTCTGTAACCAAAGTAAGTAATCTTATGTATAATAGTGACTTTAAATTTTATAAATATGATTATTAAAAATTTAGTGTAAAAAAATTTGTATGTTAATGGTCAATTTTTCCTTTATAGAAGGACATCTTATGATGGCAGTTTTATACTGCTTAAGAAAACATTACCAGAAGAAACAACAACGTTCATGAAAGTTTCAGTTTACATTTAAAAAATGAGGTGTGAAGCATTATCAATTACGGACCACCAACTCTATTACAGAGTTGAATAAAATAACTTCTGTTCTATCTTTTTTCCAAGAAAGAACATTATTCAGTCGTTAATATCTAGTGCAAAAATCGACCATAGAAAAATCTGTCGAATTAGCATTGAAGATTATTTTTTACGCATTGATGCGTTTAACAGCAATTCGAGTTTAAAGTAAATTAAATAATATTGTGTATCGTGATTATAAAGATAAGCATCCTTATTTTCTAGCATAATTGTAACATGTATAATTGAATGTTTTTTTTTGTCTTAGAAGGGAGTCTATTCTTATCTTCAAACATTTTTCCATATTTTATTCCAATCGTTGAGACAAACAAAAACTAGACTAACAATGTACATGTTAGAAACATGTCATCATTGCTGCCTCCCTTTTTTTCAGTGCTCATTAGTGTAATTTAATAATGATATATTAATAAATATTTCAACATTAATACAAAACGTGAAAATAGTATACTTAAATGTATAAGAACAATTAAAAACGTAACACATGTTCCATTTGGTAACTTCTGTAAAAGTTACAAAAATTTTTTAAACTTGTGCTACGTATGAAGTTTATAAATTGTTCGCCTATATTACATATAAAATACATCGTATAGTTTGTAAAATGTTCAAGCGCTTTACAATTTCGGTATTTTTTGCCTTATTTCTAACTAATAAGCGTATATTATAGTTATTTGTTTCATAAGAATTTGTAAAATTAAAATTTTAGCTAAAAATATTATCATTCTTTTGTATCGATTCCTTGCTTTTCAAAGTCTCTGATTAACATTATTTTATATCACATACTCATTACCAATTGTTCTTGTTTTCATATAATGAACATACTTGAAAAACATCTAATAAAATCAGGTTACTCTAATAAAGCTTTGTACTATGCAATAATATTACCAAGAAGACTTTATATATCATATATTATTCTGGTTTTTATTAAAAGAAAGAAAAGACATATTTTGTATAAAATCGATATAAAATTGCAGTTAATCCCACTTTTGTATTGTTATGAGAAAAGATAAGAATATTTCGAAAGTATTCTTTCGAAAGATTTCTTCTATTATTGTGCTATTAATTTATTATGTTAATTATTAAATAAAGGTGTATAAAACTTCATAAGAAGGACGCATGTAACAAGTAAATGTATAATCACAAAGAATAAAAGTCATGTATAAGTTGTAAATCATTTGCTAATTTTTAATTTTATTTTATTATTGATACTTATAATAATTTAAACTATTATTAATTTTATATAAGTATTTATATTGCACAATTTTATTGAACGTATGTATACAGATAGTCGTAATTTCATAAGAAAATATATATACATAAAACAATCTACGACTGAAAACTTTGTACTATATCTAAGTTTAATTCATAAGAGAAGAATAATGTCGAACAACGAATTTTCGTTTTTGCTGCGCAGGTTTACCCCGATTAGTTCGATAAGCTCCGATAAGCAAAACTAGTAGGCGTGCGCATTTGCAACATCTGTAATTCCAAACGTGTATACCCCGTGAGTAAGAATTAGATACTTTCCTGTGTTATCATGTCTTCTCTCTATCCCCATACTTTTAACCACCGTGTATATAACTGATGAAATACAAAGCAAACCATGGAGGGATACCACAAGTAGTTGGGTGGTCAATTAAGTTCACTCGAGCTGCGCGAATGAATATGTTTCTCTTATGAAATAAAGTGTAGAGTTCAATGGCTAGACATCAAAATTGTTCCAAGAGCGCTTGCGTATGATTCTTAGTTACGAATATTGAAACCAATCAGAACTGATATGCGCAGAATAAACAAGAACTTGTCATTTGGAAGATCCATTTATAAGCGAAAAAGAGTATAGTTGATGCAAAAAAGGGTGTATACAAACTATTATATGTTTTAGAAATGAAATAACTTTTATACAATCATGACTTTTAATAAATGATCAAAGATACTTTTTTATGAGTACCTATTTTTATCCAATTTTTTAATGATTCAGTCAATATCTGTTCATTTTATCGTGTCAGCATAACCTTATATTTATAGTTCTGTCATATAAATTCCGTCAAAATGATGCAACAATACATGAAAGAATTAGAGCAGGTAAATTGTATTTAAAAAAGTAATGTCATTTATGTCATTAATATGTACAAAACACATTGATATTTTTTTTTTAGGACCCATTTGATCCAGAAGAATTTGTTGAACGACTTGCTTGGAGAACAGTCAATGATACTACAAAAGACAGTGGAAAAACATTTTTTGATCCCACAATAGTACATGAAACATTTTTACAAGCAATTAAAGATTTACAAATTCTTCAAGAACGTCAACAGAAAAAGTGTGATAAACTAGAAGCAGCACTAAAAGATGAGGAGACAAGGCATATGCTTGAAATACTTGAATTACAGGAAAAAAATAAACATTCTATTGATCTATTTCATCAATTAGATGAAAGAATAAATCTTGTGGCTACTAAAGTTTTACATTTAGGAGATCAATTGGAAAGTGTTAACACACCAAGAGCTAGGGCTGTTGAAGCACAAAAATTAATGAGACACTTTTCAGATTTTTTAAGTCCTGGACCTTTAACAGATCCAATCTTTACAGATAAGTCATCGGTATATATTTATTTTCTGTTTGATCTTTATAATTGTGCTGTATAAACTTGTTGATTTCATTTAGTATAAAGGTTACATGTTTTAGCTGGAACATCCTGTATATTAAGTATAATAAAAATATAAATTTTGTATTCCATAACAGTTAGATGAAGCAGCTGATGTAATACAAAAACTCCATCTTATTTCTCAAGAATTGCCATCTGAAAAGTTTGAACATGCAAAGAAAAAGATTGCTGTTAAATATGATGAAATTGAAAGAAATCTTATTGAAGAATTTGTTAGAGCACACAATAGAGAAGATGCTACTCGTATGAAAGAATTAGCATCCGTTTTAGCACATTTTAAAGGATATTCGCAATGCATTGATGCATTTATAGAACAAAGTCAAATGGGGTCATTTGGAGGAAAAGATGTTTTCCAGGATGTAATACCTATGTGTACAAAGTATAATAAATTAATGCAACAAGTATTTACAAATCCTGAGCAGGTGATGGCAAAGTTTGTGTTAAATATTTATCATTTGAGACTTCAAAAATATGCAGTTGCTAAGCTAGCAGATAAAACAGATCCTGATAAATATCTTAGAAATTTATATGATTTATATACAAGAACTGTGAAATTATCTACAGAATTGAAAATATTTAATATGGGTACTGATGATACATATCTTGCAAAACTTACTAGAAATATATTTCAAAAATATTTAGATACTTATATCATGTAAGTTTACATAATAGCTAATATATCTGTAATAAATGGAACTAACTTATACACGATTTTAGCATTGAAACGAAAGCATTGCGAGAAAAATCAGCAGCTCTTCTTATTGAATACTATGAGTCTAAAAATCATCAAAAAAAGCAGTTACAAACGGGAGGATTTCAAGAATTGCGAAGAGATTTACAAGCAGTTTTAGGTGCAAGGACTAATATAAATATTGCACAGATAGAAAACTATGGTGGAGAGACATTTCTGTCAGAAGAACTTGCAATTGCTTTATTACAAAAAAGTAAACTAGCTTTTCAAAGATGCCAGTTATTGTCAAAACCTGATGAAATACCAGTAAATGTGCTTCAAATTTTGGAAATCTTATTACAGTATTTAATAAGTGAACATGTTGATTATGCATTGGAATTAGGTTTACAAAGTGTACCAATTCCTGAAAGTAGAACACAACCTGAAATACATTTCTTCAATGTTGTAAAACAATGTAATGCAATTGTACGCCTTTTGGAAGAACAATTTAATGACAGTGTATTACCTCTTATTACGTAAATTTCATTTTCTTATATATGTTGTAATTGAACCAGTAAGATGTATATCTATAATATCATTTGTTTTCAGATCAACTCCAAAACATGGAGATTGTATGTTAAAGAAAAAAGTTATATTAGAACAAATTGAAATGAAATTAGAAACAGGATTGGACAGAAGCATAAATGCTATTATTGGTTGGGTAAAAGTATATTTACAAAATGAACAAAGAAAAACTGACTTTAAACCTGAAACTGATGTAGATACTTTAAGTACTCCAGCTTGTTTGACAGTAGTTCAATATGTTACTGGAATGATTAGACATATTCGAAATACTTTAGATGGAAAAAATTTAAATAATGTCTTAACTGAACTTGGAGTGCGATTTCACAAAGTTATTTATGATCATTTACAACAATTTCAATTTAATTCTGCTGGCGCAATGTGTGCAATATGCGATATGAACGAATACCGCAAATGTGTTAAAGAACTTGAAGTCGATCTCGTTACTTCCTTATTTGATACTTTACATGCTCTCTGTAATTTATTAGTAGTAAAGCCAGAGAACTTGAAACAAGTTTGTACAGGAGAACAGTTGGTATGTTGTAGTGATTTAAATATACATATAATTTTTAACTTATTTTAGATTTAATTATAATTAAAATAATTGTTGTTTGTTACAGGCAACATTAGACCGTAATGTTTTGCTGAATTTTATACAATTAAGAACTGATTATAAAACACAAAAATTAGCAAATTGTTTAAAAGGCTTAGCTACGTAATAAATTTATACTATTTGTAGAAATTCGTTATTATTTGAATTTTTTTTCACTACAATACATACAACATTTCAACATAAAGATGGAAGGTATTTAGTTAGTTATACAAAATTTTGTTATAAAATGTTAGTAAATTAAAGATAAATTATATTTAGATAACAGTAAATTTCATTACTTAGGCTTCAACTGTATATAAGAAGAAAAATTGAAAAATGGTCTTGTTTGTAATTATACAATAAATATGAAAAATGTATATATTTGTAATAAATACACCAATTGCACTGGTGTACGAGATTCTTATGATAGATTGCAGTGTCCTGTATATTTATTTTTCGTTTTCATTTCAATATATACAAGCACAGACGCTCATCTGTGTATTATATAAATAACTGAATATAAAATTCGTTACATTCGTTTTTCGTTTGTCAATTACTTTCTTCGATTTAATGATTTTTGATATAATTTTGCGATTCATTTCTACAATATTATGGGAGAGCATCTTTTTTATTATGTGTATACAAGTTTGTATTTTAACTGTTAAATGTTAGTATTAAATTTGTTAGAAATGAACAAAAAAAGACTAAAATATAATATTTTAATTATTAATTATTGAAAAGAATATTGATTTCAAAATATAAAATATATTTGAACTAAACAATATTAATTGAAACTATTCTAAATTGAAAATAATATCACTTATGCAGTGAAATCTCGATCATAATCGTTTTCCTATGTCTCGTTTATTTCATCCAGCTCCAAATCGTATATTCTCACATTTATTATTTAGTTCAATTAGTTCTTTCAAGAACGATGGATAGAGGTTTCACTGTACATCTTTGCTATTTACACGTCTACTTTAAGCCATCATTAAGTCATTTCGTCGAAACTATGATACTATTTGGAATTTGTATGCTTTAAAAAGATGAGTAACTAAGTATAGGATATACACTTATTTCTGAATTTATTAGAAATGTAATAATTAGTTTATTAATTTCCAACAGTACGACAATTACCAATTTTGAATAACGCAAAGAAATATATAAAATATAAAAATTTACATGTATGCTAAATAATTTGAGTTAATATTTTAACATAAAATTTTTTGTAGAAATACTTGTTACAAAGTCAAAATTGTTTCATAAAAGCAACCTATTTTAAATATGGTATATGAATTTTTGTTGCAACAATATTAACAATTGAAGTGTTATAAACAAAAATTAATTTGTTGTTTTACTTAAAAAACATTACCGTAACATAATAAATACCATTGATATCAAATATGTATATAGGAAGGTGCTGCTGTTGATAATGATAATAATAGCAATAATAATACATTTCAATTTACTATCAAATTAACAAAATATAATATTAAAGTTGTTCAGTTGTTGTACAGAATATAACGTAGTTTTAAACTATTTGTAAGCATACAGTAATGTATATATTTTACATGTTACGAATTTAATAAAAAATTGTTTTAAGAATACGGTACAAAAACGTGGTAAATAAAGCGTGCATTTTCTTAAACAAGTCAATAAATTTATCACATATAATGTTAAATTATCAACGATTTAATAATTCGAAATTATGAAGTTATGTATGAAACAATGACAGCAAATATTTATGTATTGTAAAGAGATTAAAGAAAAAAATTAAAGCATGAAATTGTCTAATACTCATACTTCTAATATACTCTTACACAATGTTCTGTAAATGTACACTATTTGTGATTAAGTTATATATTGTTCTTATTCTTTTGAATATTATAAACTCTAAGTAGATTAATAAAGGTTTTGGACGTCCTAATAATTCTTAAGCAGGAAGCCTCTAAACTTCTTAGAATTAAAGGTTAAAAACATTTAAATAAGTCACACCATTCATTGTACCGTACTATTAAACTTCATTAAATCATCTAATATAATCCAATGATAATCAAAGTCCTGATTTCTATTTGATTATACAGTGTTATGAATCATGAAAATAAAAGGAAGAGGATGAATAATCAGATAGATATCAGCGCATACGGTAAGTATTAGTTTCGTGTACTTGGCACAATTCTCCTTTAAAGTCTAGTTCAATGCTGAAATCCAAATCTCTGTAATTCCTTGCATTGGGCTTCATTGAAAATACACCATATATTTCTTCTCCTTTCTTGACAGTCATATATTCATCAAAGTAGAACACAGTTTGTTTCCAATGAGTATACTGTACTTCTGGTGCTGTACTAAAGCCAATACGTTTGTGGCACTTGGTGAACTCGATGTTGAAAAATGTAACTAGCGCTTGAACATAGTCATTTCTGCGAACTTGTAGAGTAAATGGTGATGAAAACTCCAAATCTGCCTTTGTTACCGTGTACAAATCAACTTCTTTAATAAGACATGCATTCGTAACAACTTGTTTGGGGTCCACAACATCCACTAGGGGTTCGCTAATAGCAACTTTCCTTATACTACTCATATCAAATCCATATACATCGTCCCACCAATTTATCTTCTCATCCTTATATTGTCTGTCTTCAATGCCACAAATAAATAAAGTTGCTTTGTCAGGGAATAACATTCCATCTTCACGAAGCCATTTATCTCTAGCAAAAAGCACTGTATCTAACATTGATTCATAAAATAAACAATAACCCATCCATTCAGAAATAATAATATCAACTTTTTCAATGCCATCAGGCAATGAAACTTCTTCAACTTTTCCTTTAAGTATTGTTATGACATTCGACAACTGATTTGCTTCTACAATCTTTTCTGCATATTCAACGATATTAGAACACTCTATGCCGATAACTCTAGCTGCTCCAGCTTTAGCAGCAAACATTGAAAGAATACCAGTTCCACAACCAATATCAAGAACTGTTTTGCCTTTAAAAAGATGTTTATTGTGATACATAGAGTTACGGTAAGTCACTGTACGCACTTCATCTTTTAGCATTTCTTCATGAATTCCATAATGAGCATACGAATCGAAATAATAATCTCGAGATGTCATATCATCCACCGAAACAGATTCCCTGCAAGACGATGAAGTTGCATCCTTGTTTGTTGCAGAGGTAGTTTCTGTTACTTCCATGGATTCCATTTTTGATACCTACAAATAATATAAAGTACAAAATTTATTAATAACAATGTATAAATCAATGTATAAATCCAAAATCATGTGTGATAAATTTTACTTATAACAATGCTATCAAAGCAACATTAAATACAACGATATTATCTTCTAAAAATCCGTTTTAATATAAAGTATAAATGCTAGCTATAGATTTATTATAAATTAAGATGCTGAAGGAAACCTACAGTTACCTACAAACACGTGATAGAAACTTATTATTTCAAATTAAAATTAAGATGCAGTTTTTCCTGCATTTAAATATAATAAAAATGATTATTAAAGATTATTTACAATGTTGTTCATTAGTAATAAGAAAACAAAATTTCAAACGTTGAAATTTGTAGAACACACTCGTTTATGCCGACACTGGAAAAACATACACGTGCCCGCCAAAACGAATGGCGTCTAAGATCGAATGACCAGTCGAGATTCTACTCACACATTTCTATATTACCGTGTGACCAGCAATATATATACGGAATTGAATATATTTCGTTTTCTCCTGATAGAGTTAGTAAACGTTTCAAAACGATTAAAAATTATTCATTAGATATACCTTTAGGAAAATCAAGAAAATAAAATTGATACGATTAATTTATTTTTTAGATTCTGAATCGCATCGAGAACTATTATGACAAAAACGATATTTCAACATTTCTTTTCATTAAAGGTTTGCAAAGTATCATTTGTTGTTTGTCTAACCTCAATACATTGACTATATTATTAAGACATTCTCTTTTTACTTATATAGAAATATTTTACTAAAATTTACCGAATTTTCTGCTGTGCACATGCCACTCTGGTTGATTTCTACCGGCACTTCACTACTCGACGCCATTTTCTTCCGCGTCACAGCAGACGACCACAGTCAGGAATGTACGAAGACACATGGCAAATCCTAAATGTTTCTGTCAAAAGATATTTAGTTACTACCCAGCAATTTAATAAAATTTTCTCATTAAAATATCCTATATTTTCTACAGAAATAACTTATAAGTGCAGACATCAATGAAACTAATTCTATAAACGAATCATGCTACTGTTTTGATCTATAATCATTGTTTAAATTTGTTTAAAAAAAATGATTTAATTAATCTCTATTGTGTCTTAGTCCATTATGTTTTATATATAAAAGAATTCTCTCTTATATGAATACTGATATGCAAAACTTATAAATAAATTAATTTTACATTTTCATGCATTGTAGGTTAAAGTCAATATTATTTATTTGAGCTAACAACATACAATTACACTTTACTTAAAAGTAATAGCAGAATTTAATACATACTACTGCAATATAAAATTTAACTGAACTTGTACTGTCGTATTTATACAAGTTGTACATAATTCTGTAAACTATTTAAATTTTTTTATTAGTACCTTATATACATATATTTATATACATACTAAATTTTATCAATCTTTTCATGTTATAGAAATTATATAACATTTCACAAAAAATGATATATTTTACAAAAAAAAAAGATTAACTAGAAATTGTTTTGCCTTATAAACAAATGTCTGACATTTTTGGTGATCCACGTAATACGTACACATTAAATTTAACAACGAAAATACACAATTATTTATTGCTCGTACCAAGACTACAAAGTCACTTTAGTCTGAATATCCTAGAACAAACGATTACTTAAATCGCGATGTTAATACGTCCCTGTACTATGCGCAGTGCGGTCTTTCCACAATTTTGATTTTTACATCAAATAGATATTGATTTATTTCTAAAATGTATTTAAAAATCATTCTTTATTTATTAGATCACATATTTGATGAGATCGATGTTAATTTAAGGGTAGGGCAATATCTTTAATTTCGTATCTTCACTCGGTTGTTTTCAGAGAGTGCAAAGACATCGTCCAATAGGAGTTGAGTGGCTAGCTGACAAGTTGCGTCGGGGTGGAAATGGGCAGGGAACAGGAGCTTGTACGCATTCGGGCCGTGAAGTGTTGGTTTCGCGAAGGGGGTCAACTTCTGTGCCTACGTGATATTTCTCGTGTTATTACTTTCAAAGATCTAATATAAATTTCAGTTTAATGTCACGTACACGTCAGTGTCCTAAGATTATTTATATGGAGATCGTGGAGCGCTAGAAGATGCTGGTAAGAAAACAGGCGGGAGCAAAGTTGACGTAGAAACAAGTGCGCAAAGATTGTATAGTTGAGTTCTCTTTTTTTCTGCCGTGTGCATCGAGAAAGTAAAATACGTGCTTTTGTTATGTAGTTACAACGCTTTCGCAGGTTATTTACTTCGGACGAATGTCTCGCCTAAAGTATCGTCGAGGTTACAACTATTACCTGATGTCTGAGAAATCGACAGCCTGTCACGAACGTAGTGGACTCCGTTTTGAAAATGTGGTTAAGATGTCAAAGTATGAGTTTTATTTCAATGAAATATCTCCGTGCAAAAATTCTTGTTTCTCTTTGTAGACTACTTCGAATCAAAAATAATTTACTGTACCTGCGAGACACGACCGCCTACATAAACAATAGCTCATCGTCTGAAGCAGCTAGCGTTTTTATATCTTTTACAATGTTTTACGCTCCGTTTAATTCGTTTTTTCGTTAATATCAGACAAAACAAAGTATAAACTGTTTAACTAAAATCTAATGTTCGTGAAACATTCTGAGAAAAAATTAATGTTTAAATATTTGATAAATTTTGTTATAATTACATTTCTTTATTAGGTCAATACATGCACTAAAGGATGTTCAAATTTTCGTCTATATTATAGGACTTTTTATTTTGAGCAAAGAATGAGTGTATATTGGTGTATGAAAGTATGTTATGAAGAATAATCATATGGTAGGAATTAAACAATTTAAATGTGCATATCTTCTGTTATAGGGAGACGATCCACCGTACCTATCAGTGGGTACGGAGGTTAGTGCTAAATACAAGGGTGCCTTCTGTGAAGCAAAAATTCGGAAAGTTGTACGATCAGTAAAGTGCAGAGTAACTTATAAACAGGGCTTAGGTACTGCAACTGTAGCTGATGATCAGATAAAAGGAACTTTAAGAGTAGGTGCATCCGTTGAAGCTAGGCATGGAGACCGGAAAGAATTTGTAGAAGCTACAATCACAAAGATTCAAGACTGCAGTCAATATACTGTAGTTTTTGATGATGGAGATATTACAACATTGAGAAGAACTGCACTTTGCTTAAAGAGTGGACGGCATTTTGCAGAGAGTGAAACTTTGGACCAACTGCCTTTGACACATCCAGAACACTTTGGGAATCCAGTAATTGGAGGCAGAAGAGGAAGACGATCTAGGCAAGCACAGTGAGTGTTGTGAAATATTTGAAACATGATATGCAAATTTGAGATAAACATAACAATGATTATTGTTATAGAGATGAAAGTAGTGAAGATGAAGATAGTCCTCCTAGAGGAACTCGTGATTCAGGTTCTAGTGGAACAGGAAAAGAAGGAGTGGAAACAGAACCTGAAATTGGACGAGTTGTATGTGTGGAACTTGGAGATAAGAAGAAAAAAGATAATTGGTTCCCTGGATTAGTGGTTGCACCAACTGCTCAGGATACAGTGAGAATTCGAGTGAGAGATGATTATCTTGTCCGTTCATTTAAAGATGCGCGATAGTAAGTTTAAATTATATTTATATTTAATCAAATTTTGTGAGAAATAAGATTACTACATTTGCTACATGTGATAAGTGGCAAATAATATAAATAATTAGTGAACATAATGTGAGAAATAACAAAGCAGTACAAAAATATAAATAATTTTGTATTGAAGTTCATTAGCTTATGATTAATGTTTCTTTTTGCATGTTTAGTTATACAGTTCCGAAGAAAGAGGCCACTGAATTTACAAAAGAACTTGTCAACAAAGTTGAAAATAGCACATTAAAGGTGGCAGTAGAAAAGGCATTGCTATTTTTAGAAAAGAATGAGTTACCTCCCCATTGGGATAGAGATTCTCTTTTTGGACATTCAGTATCAAGTGGAAACAGTGATTCTGATGGAGACCTTGAATCTGATGTAGGCTTTTTTGTGAATTGTTATTATTAATAACATATTGTTTACACTATTCCTATTGTGATAAATATTATTTTTCAGAGTTCTGATGATGAACCACGTGAAGAAAAAGATCATTTTGTGGCACAACTGTACAAGTTTATGGATGATCGTGGTACACCTATTAATAATTGTCCAATGATTGGGTCTGAGGACATAGATCTATATAGATTATTTCGAGCTGTTTATAAATTAGGTGGTTATAATCGTGTAACAAATCAAAACCAATGGAAATTGATAACTCGTCGATTAAGTTTTACAATGCAAAATTCACCATCTACGCACAATTTGGTTAAACAGGCCTATAAAAAGTTCTTACACTCCTTTGAAGATTTTTATAGAAAATTAGGCTGTACTATGGTAAATCATCCAAGGGGTGCCATGCGTAAGCAACGTCCAGGTAGAAGTTTAATTAGAGATAAAGATAGAAATACACCTGTACCACCGCAAGTATCTGTCACTAAAACTGAAAAAGAAGAAGAAGAGAAAAAAGTCGTGGAAGAAGAGAAAAAAGAGAAAAAGGAGATTAAAAAAGAACAAGTAAAAGAGGAAGAAATTGTTAAAATAAAGAAAAAGGAAGAGTTTGAAGAAAGCGGTAGCGGTCAGGAAAGTGACGTGAACGTAGAAGCCGAAGCAGAATCATCGTCTAGTAGCGAAAAATCTCAAAAAATGTCGAGTTCGTTATCGTTGTCGAATAGAGGAAAGTCTAAAAGTAAAGAAGACCCGAAGAAAAAAATAATAGATAAGAAAAAAAGTGAATCTAAAAAACAAGAAAGAAAAGATGATAAAGCGAAAGAAGAAGAAGCTGCTAAAACAAGATCTAAATCCAAAGATGATAATGTAAAGAGTAAAATGTCTTCTGAAGTTAGAGAAACCCGGACTCCATCTAGAGAATCGGAAAGAAAAACTTTATCTAAACAAAGACGTTTAATAGACGAGGAATTAAAAAAGCGCGGGAGAAAGCGAAAGGAATATGAAACGGAAAAATCACGATCGGAGGAACAGTTAACAGAATCCGCACCTTGCTACAAAGGACCTGTAGAATTAGGAGATAGATTGAAGGTATATTACGGACCTACTCACGAGTCCAAGGTTACTTATGAAGCCAAAGTTATCGATATGGAAAAGGATGGCACAGAACCAATGTATCTTGTACATTATACTGGGTGGAATACACGATACGATGAATGGATTAAAGCATCAAGAATAGCACAGAATTTCACACAAGCTCAAGGTAGGATAAAACGTATTAAAACTACATCACGACCTCAAACTCCTAGTACGAATTTATCTAGTAACATAAATAAATCATCAAAAATTATTTCCAACACCAATTCAAGTACATCTCAGAGCCGTCGTCGAGCGCAAAGTGTGGCACCTACGACTACAGTTTCGTCTACGTCAACAAAGGAAGTAAAAAGAGAAGAAAAGGAAAAGGACAAAGAACCATCTCAACCAGCTAGATCTACGACGCCACTATCCGTTACCAGTTCTAGTTCTAGAACTAAAAGTCCAGCAACACCAGCGAATAATCGTCAAACACGGACAAGAAATACTGATCTATCTGGTGTGGAACATCGAAGACGCACTAGAAGAACGTCTGGTCATGCAGATGTTGTTCCGTCAGAAACTGAAGAGAGCGAGGCGTATGATTCTGACACTACAGAATCTGAACAGACAAGAACAAAATCTAAAAGTACAGAAGAAAGGAAGCGTAGGGAAGCGAGATACAGAGCAGAAGATAGAATAAAGCCTGATGAAACCAGTGAAGGTGAAGAAGACAAAGATAATCTGGAAGAACCAAGAAGAGGTAGGCGATTAAGAAGAACGATTAGTAAATCTCAGGGCATCAAGTCTGAGCCAGATAGCGACGAAGAACAGCCCAAAGGTCGGGATTTTGATTTAAATCAAATACGATCTGAACTGAAAGGTTTTGACAAGGCGGTGAAGTTAGAACTTGTTAGGGTCGAGCCTGACCCAGAAGATGAAATAAAAATTACAGAAAAAGAAAGCGTCTTAATTTCTCCAAAATTAGAGAAAAATTTGGAACCTTCGAAATTAGAAACGACTCTCGAGGCTAAAGTAGTAGATAATACAGATGATATATATGAATTTAAAGAACCGGAACCGTTTGAATTTGAGGTACGAAATAAACGGGATACCAATGGGGAAAAAGACAAAGTAAAGAAGAAAGTGTTTGAAGATGAACCAAAAAGTCCTAAAAAGAAACAAAAAATAGTTGTTTCACCCGTTATCAAGGAAATTAAACCAGAAATAGATAATGATTCACGGAAAAAGGTGAAGAAGTTATTTAGTAAAAGAGTTGACGATATCACAGAAAATTTGTCTCCTCACAAATCATTGCAATCCACATCGTTGGCAACGTGTGAAGAAGCATTTGATAAACTTTGTGAATCACCACCTTTCAATCAAGTAAAACCTGCACTTATTACTGAAGAAACAAATAAGATAAGTAATGGAATAGATCTTTTATTTAGTGATTTGCCCGGAGATGATGATGCCACTCACGACGATTCAGAAGATCGTTTAATAATATCAGAAACAGAAGTTTCAGAAGTAGAACAAGAAAATTTATTTACATATCAACAAGAAATGTTCCCTACTAATGAATTGACTGATTCATTGGAGTCGAACAAAGAAGATACGAGTCCACAGATTGAACTATTAAGGGAAGATATAACACCAACAGTTTCGAGTAAACCTGATACATCTATTGAACAAAAGCAACATATTAAATCTCCAATACATAGACAATCTCCAGAATTGAAAACGCTTGATACAAAATTACTGGACATTACACCTGTTTCATCTCCAATAGTAACAACTCCAGCACCAATTAGTGCAAGGTTACCAGCTACATCTACAATAGAAGAGAAACTTTCTGCTGCCATGGCTTTCCGTAACAAAACAAAGGATGTTAAGAAAGAAGACGAAATTCCTGAAGTTATATGGAAACCTTCAAAGGAAATTCCCAAAAAATTGGATACTATCATTGTACAAAAAAGTAAAGAGGATCAACATGGGCCTAAGATAGAAATTGAAACTAAAAAGCGGGAGGAGGAAGACGTAATAGTAAATAACGAAGATCAGTGCAGAGAGTTAATGCGTGTAGTAATTAAACAGAAAGAGGAAGAACTTCAACAATTGAAGTTAAAGAAAGAAGCAGAAGTAAAGAAGTTCGCAGAAACAAAAGTGGAACATAAAAAACCACAAGAAACTGAAGAAGAAGAAGAATGGAAGCACGTAGAAAGTGAAAAGTCCAAAACAATAGAAGATGAATTTAAAGAACATGATCTTAAAGAAAAGGACAAAGAAAAAGAAAAGCATAAAAAAATAGTAAGTCAAGACGTAATAGACTCGGCGGATAGTAGTGATTCTGAACAAAGGTTAGTAATTGATAATGAAGAATCACAAGATATAAAAACTCCATCGAACTTTGACATTAAATTAAGAGCAGAATTAGACAGAATTCAAGATACGCAAGAAAGGTACTCGAAATTACAAACGCAAAAGTCCCTGCAACCTGTAAAACATCAACCACAAGAATATATTTCTGAATTCAAACCTGAAAGTACACCTGTTATAAAAACAGATGAAGAAGGAGAAGCAATTAATTCTTTATTGTGCGAAGAAGAAATACCAGGTTCACCAGCACCTATCACCGAAAGTATTGAGCAGATAAATGCTGGTCCATCTTGTTCTCCACCAAAAGTTGAGACTACAGAAAGTAGTATAGTACTAATGGAAATGCCTTTTGCTAGTGCACCTACTTCTGGCCAAAGTACAACTAGCAGTACTGTTGCCACTCTTAGTATGGCACTGCCAAAAACTATTGAAACATCTGTTCCAGTTTCTCTTCCTCTGCAGCAAAACCCTAGCCTAGGTGTGAGACAACAGTCGCATCATTTACCTGCATTGATGCCTGCACAGAGAAGAGAAAGCAACGAAGCAGCACCTGTCATGGATAATACACCTCCAACTACGCCTGACTCTAGTATTTCCAATATTTCTGGATCTCCAAGAGAAGAAAGAACAGGTGGTTCATCACCAACTTCAGAAGATAATATGAAACTTAATCGTGATAGTTCAGAAGCGGACAATGATAGCGGTGGTAAAGGGCCAGGATTCAGTGAAGATGACACATTACCAAATGTGGAAGGGAATTCTGCGGACAGAATATTGAAACCACCAGCGAAACGATCTATTGAAGAAACGCAATCTCCTAAGAAACGTAAAAGAAATAGAAAACATTCAGAGTGTGATAAAAGTACTGGTAAAAAGACGGGAAGACATAGCGGTAGACATGGTAGGCACGGTGCTGGAAGTGATAGCGATGATACCAGTGAAGGTTCTAATCTCTGTAGCGTTAATTCAACGTCAACAAATCATACAAATATCACTAGTGTTGCCGAACTTAGCAATTACTCGTCCAGATCACCTCGGCCCACAAAATACAATTTCTACGTGGAATTAGGTAAAGTTTACATATACTCTCTTTTAATTTACGTGTACGATTTAAAGGAAAGATTTCAGTTTTGCATTTTTTGTTACAGATCCCGAATTAGATGGAAGTCAAAGGATAGCTGTATTACAGCAAAAATTAGCCGAATTACGTAAAACGTATAATGCTGTGAAAGTTGAACTCGCTGCTATTGAAAGACGCAGAAAAAAGTTAAGAAGAAGGGAAAGGGAAGGTAATTTAAAATGAACATTAAAAAATTATATAAAATTTAATGGGAAATTAATTTGTGCAAATGTGAAATAAATGAAATTAATTTCAGCTATAAAGGCAGCTAAAGCAGAAATGCAACAAGCCTGTTCGTGATGAGCAGCCTTGAAACATCCTAAATTCACTTAATCTGCGTTAAACAAACTTTTATACCACACCGGAAAATAATAGAATCATTGTATGGACATTCTACAATCACAGCAGATTTCATGACAATTTTTACCTACCTAACATCGCTTAGGTAATTTTCCCCCATTAATATAAATTGTAGATATAGATATAAGATATAGTATAACGGAGGAACATTTATCAGAATGAAAATATATATTCATACATGCTTTGTGTTGTATATTGTTTTGTTAGAAACGTAATGTGACAGTTAAAAATTTTTATCTTCGATTTGTCATTTCACCTGCTCAGATGCAAAGTACAAATTATCGAACTTGATGATCATTTTCATCGTTCATTCTTCTTTTTTAAGAAAAGGCTGAGAAAAATGTTACCGATAGTATGTTACTGTAAAGACATCTTGGGAACAAATAATTGTCTAAGCCGTCTGTCATTTCCGTTTCAAATATAACTTATAGCACCGTTTGCGGTTGAGCTGTTTTCAAGACGATACAAAATAAAAATATCAAGTGCAACAACCACCATATATTTCCTAGGATAGAAAATTTTTGTATATATTAGAGTTAGTAATGTCATAGTGATTTGCAATATATACGTATGTATGTAGATTCTTAGCGACCTTACAATCGAAATTTTTTATTTAAAAGAAAAAGAAATGTTGCAATTTAATGTGGTTTTTAATGTAATAAGAGAATCATATTGAAAGCAATGCTCGTTTGTACGTTAAACAATTTGCGAAATGAACGAATGATTGTATATTGATGTGAATGCGAGATATAGCACAATTTTTAACTTTTAAAAAAGAATTACTTTAATTCATGTACATAATTTACATAAATAAAATATCGTATTATAGTTGCTCTAAAATACAAAACATTAAAGTTTATTATAATTAAAAAAAGAAAACACATTCGTACTTGAAAATAAATTTCTTGACAAAATGCATAGAATCGAATTTTCAACTATGCAATTGTCATGAATGCAGCTCAACAAGATTCATCAATTTACAGCCTTTTGCATTATATCTCAAAAATTGCTGCCATTGTGCTTTAATCATCAAATAGGTTTTAGACGTTCATCGTCGTATATCGTAATTGGTCAAAGATGCATTTATATTTCTATTTGGGCGTTAAAGTACCCCATTAAATGAAAAGAAAATAAAAAAAAATAAAAATTAAGAAACAAGTTGCAGGAAACGAAATCAAATACCCCTGAATGGAACTAAATTTGTATGAAGAGATGTTGGCTGAAAAGAGAATGAAATTTTATATAGATAAATATAATATATTTTTTATAAAAAACATCAGTCGTGAGCATGGTTTATGATATCAGGCAACATGATCACGCTGATTGGGGGAAAGATGAAAGAAAATTAGGAGTTAGACTCCGCAAATCTTTGTACATATTTTACATTGTGTGTGTTAAAGGACTCTCATAAGTCAAGTTTTAGTAGTTATTTATCGCACACAGATATAGCTACACATATTATTATATAATGGTTTCAGAAATCTTGCAGTAGCACACACTATATATTTGTTTTAAGAAGCCAAGAGGATGTGTATCGACACTCATAAATTTGACAAGTTTAATGAAAAGATCATTGTTTGGATTACATTCGAATTATGTTATGATACAATTATTCCATCTTGATAGCTAATCTTTATTTTCAAAATTGATGATGAAAACAACATATATTAGACAATTTAATTTAAACGAAACTGCAAGATTAGTATCAATAATACTTTCTTATATAAATCTTTGCTGTAAACATACATTTCATAACATATTTCTGACCTTGCATAAAATACTATTGAACATAAAACTCTTTTTTAAATAGTATTATTAGTTTTTTAATACAAATACTAATAAATAACAAGATCTCACTTTTTCTCATTTACAGGATAAACAAAATAGTAAATATAATATTATCTTAGGTAAATACAGAAAATATATAAATCAGTTATTCTGCTATAGCTTATTATTATAGTTTACTTTTATTTGCATTCTGTATTTAGGCAATAATACATGTAAGAAAATGCTACTATATAGATGTCAATAATAAATTTTTAAATTATTATGTACACATTTTGATCACAGATACAGCAAAGCTTACATATTGTCTTCCCATTAATGATAAGCATAACTTACTTGGCAAAATCAAATGAAGAAAGTAATTTTTGATTAATGTTACAATTTTGAATAACATGTACTAGTAAACATAATAATTGAGTGACGAATGCATCCTTGCCTTCTGAAAACAAATTTTCTCCCTGTAAATCATGAATTACATGTGAGGTAATACATATAGTAAGCACAATGTGGATTGTGTCGCCAAACAGTAATATTGTTCCACATAACATTTAATTGTGTTAGTAAATATTGTTAAGAAATAAATATTATCTTAACAAATTATAATAGTGTCATTTACCCTCATATAATTTTTAATTAAGATTTAGTTTTAAACATTATAACAAAATATAAAATACTATAAAATTTGTTTATAAATTATTTATTATATTGCAACTTAAAAATAAACATTAAAAGTTTGTTAAAGTTTGCACAATAATACATGTAAATATAATTATGTAAATATTTTTGTTATATTTTGTATCATACACATTAAAAGTTATGATATTTAAATATTCTCTAGTAAACAGAACATGATAATATTGGCAATCTTATACCCAATATAGTGTTATTAAAAACTTTGTTAACTATAATCTTACTTTTTATTTCTACATTAAATTATTCCATATAATTTTATTCAATATTTTAAGAAATCACTTGAATATATTTATCTATTTATCTTTGTACATCGGTAGTATGAACGCGTTAAAGGAACAGTAATACATTTAATTAATAAAAAAGATCTAAAAATATTTTCTAAAGAAAGTATAGAATACATAAAATATAAATTTAAATAATTTAATAATATGAGGTATACCCATTGTTTTTATCTGAAAATATCATTGATATAAATATACCTACTTTTATTGCTCATTGCCATTTAAGAAAAAAAAACTAGAATGTTTTAATTCCTGAAAATACAAAATATAAAAATTCTAATTATTTATGTATTTTATAAGCATTATTGTATCGATAATAGCTATAACAATCATATGAAAAACAAAATATTTATACAATAAATTCTGTAAAGTTGACATTTTCCCTATAATTCAAAAATAACTAATTAAGCAAATAACCTAAGTTGCCAAGTCAAAGGGATCATATCTTTGTAAATATGTATCTTTCCATTTAACAATTTACTGTTTTTCTTTCATAATTTACTAAAACAAAAAGACAAATAAAATACAGAAATATTTTATAGTGTTGAGCGAGAAAATCTGCTTCCAATTTTATATATCAATATAAGGCTGGGCTAAACGTTGATAGAGTATCAACAGCTTATGAAGATGTTAATGCTACTGTTGATGACTTATTTCAGGTAAGAACTTAGTTCGGCAAACAATGAATTGTTCCATTAATTCATGATGTGCTTCTAGCCGTTCAATACAATGTAGACACGCTGTTTTAGGTAATGGATCATTCATGTCTACCTGTATGACAAAAGTAAAAAATTTAATGTCTAGAAATTAAATATATAATATTCATTACTATTATTACTACTATTACATAAAGTAACATAAATCATTATAATACAGTACGTTATAATTGTAAATTAATTATTGTTTACAAGTTACAATTCTCAAGAGTACATAAAAAAAAATAAAGAATTATAATATCAATAGTCTTAACTAAGCAGTCCTACAGAATATATGCAAAATGTGAAAGTTCACTTAAAAGTACGATAAATAAAATTTTGTAATTTAGGATAACAAAAAATGATTTTACCACAATTGGAAGATAAGCATTTATTTTTTCAGCGAGCTTCATTCTCTCACCCTCTTCGCCGTATATGTGAATCACGAAACGGTTCATTTTACTACAAAGTCTGCATATGAATCCCGTGATCACAGCTTTATCGGTACTACCCATTTTGAATGTTTAATAAAATTTATTTTCTATAGTGTGGCACTTCCCGACACCTTATGCTCTGACACATATGTCAAAAATATCGCACGTAAAATTACTTATCCTATAAAATCTCATAAGATATTATGCTTCCTTCAACATTAAGTTTGTTTATCATAGTTCTGAACAACTGGCGCTACCAACTGATATGCATGTAGAAAAGCGACATCAGCGCTTCAAGTGACGGACACATGATATTAAAATTACTTGAAGTTCTCAATTCTCAAGAGTATAGTTTCGAGATCCTACTACCTGCACTGTATTCTACTGTACTTTACTACTCTTGCTGACTATACATATTAGATTATACTTTATTTCATGAGAGAACCGTACTAACTTGCGCAACTCGACTGACTCAGGTGACCTCCCTACCACTTGTTTTATCCTACCATGATTTGCTTTCTATTTCGTCGGTCATATACATGGTGGATAATAGTATGTTAATACAGAATAAAAATAATAATGTAAAAAGTATACAAGATTCTTGCTCACCAGGTATACACGACCATCATCACGAATGTTGCAAATGCGTATGCGCATTTCTCGCAGTTACAAAGCGTATTAGAACCAGTTAAAGCAGATCTGCGCAGTTCAAACGAAAACTCATCATTTGGAATTACGGTTCTCTTATAAAATAAAAATATATTCTTTTTATCATTATATATTATTCATACAAACAACGATGCATTCTTTTAATAAAATAAAATTAAGTACATTATGATTCTTATATGTACTTAAAAAATTGAATTTGAAACTGATTAATACTTTATTAATCAAATATTTTAATAAGTCTTAAAGGTTATAGATATTTTATAAGTTAAATATTAATAGATCTATTTATTATCTAAATTAATATTTATTGTTTGTTAATTAAAAATAATTTCTGTTGAAAATTATAATATTTCATGAGATTAGACATAATTTATACAAACAAATTAAAATAAATTTTCATTTTTGTATAGTCTTAATTCAGTACTTTTTACTTTATTTTAAATTTATAAAATTTATAGTATTATTTATTATTAGATCTATTACATTACTTACTTTTTAATATTTCTACTTTTTCTTTAATGCATTTATTGATTATTATTGATAAAATAATGTTATGTATACATATTGTATGTATAGAAATATGTATTTGTTGTTATTATTATTGTTAGTATGATTGATATATTTATTTAACTACTACAAATAAATACGTACATTTATAATAAAGTGAATAGCTAAAAAAAGACGATGTATAATATAATAAAATTGAAGTATAAGTTTGCTTATATAATGTGGAAACGAAAATGTTAAAGTTAAATATTTTTTTGACAATAGTTTTGTACTTTCTACGTCATTTAGCATTTAAAATTTTAAACATAAGCATTTTAAATGTCATATTGTTTTAATAAAATATGGCGGCGATCAGCTGTCTTCTGTCATAATGACATTTATATCTATAATTAAAAGTTTAAATATTTATAAAATTATTTGTACAGGGATATTCGTGGACTGCAATAATAGCGAGAAATTTTGTCTCGTTCATTAAATTAAGTTATATAGGGACAAAGGATTCTTCAGAAAAAAATTGCATATGTATTGTTAATCATCTGAAGTAAGCAGCAAGTGAACGCAGCTGCGTAAAAAAGCAATATGGTGACTAACGAATTAATCAACTGTTGAGGATAATCAAGAATACAAATGTTTAATAATATTAATAATTTTTTGAATGGACGGTGGTAAAATTGAGTGATGAACTTAACGTGATTAAAAGCCTTTCAGAGGCTAAAGAGAGGAAACCATGTGCGATGTGTGTGTTGACTTTCACGACCTTCTACTCTCCTGTAAGCAAAATGTGTACAATACCTTTCATGTTAACCTATTATACTACGTTGCATGTAGCAAACTTTCATTTTTAGCAATATCAAATAATAATTTAATATATGCCATCTAAGAATAATTTGTTGCAGAAGAAGCATTGAATTTGTATTTACATACAACTATGATTATCAGATTTGTTTTTCAATATTGTATTGCATAACCTTGCTACTTCTATATGATTTTAAGGCATAATAATTGATGCATGAATTGTATTTTAAAATTTAGATATGTAACTTAACATTGTATACAAGTATGCTACATTTTTAAGTCGTATTTAATAATAAAATTGTACGACATACTAAAGTAGACAAATCATTTTAAGATGAATTAGAAACTGAAAAAATGATTTATAAACATCTTGTTAAGTTTATCCATTTATTGTTTAATTTCTTATCTATAATTTACATTTAGATGATGACAGATCATCAAAGGAACAAGATGGATTGACAATACTTTGTATTTCGGATATGGATACAACGCTACACTATGTTAATCAATGGGTACAAAGGTCTGATTCCACTTTAATTTCATATATGTAAAATAAACATTTATAGTAGAGCTATTAGGATATTTAATATAATCACTTTATTTATTACTCTGAAAGAATTTTTGTCTTTACTTTTTTAGACAATGTATGTGCTGTTATCGTGAAATTAAAAATTTTGATCGGTTTATACGCCTGACTCAAAGTGTTGTATTGTGTTCATTACAACAATTACAACTTATACAACAAAATGGACAACAAACGAATGTTGGGAAAGTATCATCCAAAGATGAAAAAGAAGAAAAGACAGATGAAGCTAAGGCAGAGAATGCAGATTATACAGAAACAGAAACACAAATGAAACAAAACTGGTCTCAGCAGGATAGAGAAAAATTATTTCATTTACTTTCAAAAATATTTTTATTAAATTTCCCTCTTTATATTGCAATGAAACATGGTGGTGCGATTAATCCATTAGCTCCAGTAAAAGTAATATCATATTTTATTATAGAAAGTATCTTTACTTAATGATAAATATGTACATTACTTCTCATTTTTTTAAAGGATGAAGGAGGGTATTGTGAACCTCATGATCCAGAAGTACCAGCTCCTTTAATTAGGGCAGTTTCTATTTTTTGTCATCAAGGTGGCTTCAATTTAATGTCTGCTTGTTTTGATATGAAAAATACATTACCTGTTAGCCTTGCACACTCCATGGTTGCAGTGATTTGTAATTTAAAACTTTGGTTAAATTATGGTAGTGTTATTCAGCTTTTTATACCATTGCGTAGTCGTGTTATGAAATATATGTGTCGCTTAGGAGATAAAGAATTACGCACACCAGCAGTTAGAACAATGGCAGGTAAATATTAAAATGAAAATCACGTTAGTATTTTCATAAGTATATTTTTGTTTGTATTTAAATTAATAATTTATTAAATTTAGATTTTATGTGGAGTGCTGTAAAAGATCCTATTGATGCTGTTTTACCAAGTTTTGATCGTGATGGATTGGATCTAGCGTTTAAATATTTTACTAGTACAACTTTAACTATGCGACTAGCAGGAATAGCTCAGATAAATGCTCATATCACTGCATTCAATGAACTTTGTAATAGTGAAACTGTTGCTGAAGTGGAACAAGTGGGCCATGCACTGGCTGCTTGGTTAACTGAAAATAATATAATAGCTCATATATTTGGACCAAATTTGCACGTAGAAGTTATTAAACAAAGTCACATTGTACTAAGTTTCTTAGCTATGGAAGGCAGAATTACTTGTTCAGATATGGATACTATGTGGCAAGCTGCGCAATTAAAACACTGTGGACGCCCAGTATATGATTTATTGGCACCCTTAGTAAAGCATTTGGCTCCTACTCCAGTTTTACATTTGTACTCTTTATTAGGAAAATTAGAGCCAAAGGACCACACAGAACAAAGTTTATTTCTGGCATCTGCCTTGATAAAGTTTATTTGGACAGCGGGTGGATCAGGTTATCCAAGAGGTTTGTCTATAAAAAATCGAGACATTTTAAGAGGTACTAGTGGTATTGGTGGTAGCAGTACTAGTGATCCTAGTGGTATAGATGGAAGTAGTCCAGATGAAGATGAAGAGGAACCTAGTCCTGCACCATCAGAGGGACCTTCACCAAGAAAACAAGCGAGACGTGATAGTAGTGATGGAGAAGGTATGTTACATAGAAAAGTATATCCTTTCTATTCCTTTTGAACATCTATAATCAGAACCTGAATATTAATAGGTCCTTTCAAAGCAAAAGGTGGTATTGGTACAGCAGTTGTGCAAACAACATTAAACGAAACAGAAGATTCTACAGTGGATAAGTCTGAATGCCTTGTTGAATCAATGAAAATTTCTACATGTAGTATACAAGATATGAAAGAGAAACAAAGTGGCTCAGATGTGGAAGCTGATACAGAAAAATCAAATGCAGAAGAAACCGTTGCATTTGAGAAAAGAAAAAGAAAAGTATTACGGAAAAGGAAAAAGCCACAAAAGCGTTCATCAGCTACTGTGGATAAAACATTGGAAGATATTGTTAATCAAGAAAATAATACAAAAACTAAAGATTTAATGTTGGACATGAAAAATAGAGCCGAAGATGTTTTAAATAGTACTTTGGATAGTGGCGGATTAGTTTCTATCGATGATCCAAAAGGTGTTGACGCGTTGGATCGTGCTAAGCAGCAGGCGATGGCCTTAGACTCAAGTGATCAGCAAGTCCCGACAACTGCTGCAATTTTAAGAAGAGCTAATAAACACAAATATATGTCATTAGTAGGTCACAATGTGGATCGAGCTCCCGATTCTGCGGATACCTCACACGACGAAGATGACAGCGATGTAGCTGGTGTACTCGCTGCAGCAGACGGACCTGGTGCTGTTATATCTGAGCTCGCCGGTTTAGTACATGCTACAGGCCCGACGTTTCTACCTTCTGGTTTAGATGAAATGCTATCAGATGAAGAAGCGTACTCGTATAGCAGTAGAATATCGAACAAAAGTGAAAAAAATATGGCAGACTTTGATGGAGAAGAGAGTGGTTGCGAAGAAGAACTAGCACAATTAGCTGCACGTCATTTAACAGCGATACAAATGCAAGCTTATCATCCCCATCATTCTCATCCGTCAATGACGATCAGACGATCCGTTTGTCGTCCTCCACAAGTAAGAAGTATTCGGCAGACGGTAACACGAGTCAGTTCACAATTCAATTTGGACACTGTTTGCAAACCTGGAAATACATTATTGTGGGATTTGTTGCAAGATGATAAAATTGGTCAGTTAGGAGAAGGTTTAGCATTAGAAGCTGAGAAAGCTTTGTGTAACCTTCTTTGTTTCAACGTTGATCGGTTAATACCTATGAAATTCATAGAAGGTTGTTTAGAAAACTTGGCTACCAATCGTTCTGTGGTCGTATCTTTAAGATTATTGCCTAAATTATTCGCCAGTTTTCAACAATTTGGTGCAATGGATGCGCACACAATAACTACGTGGGCAGATCGTGAACGTGGAATGATGAAACACTTTTTTAATAATCTAAAAACCTACACTAATACTGGGCCGAAAAATGGGTTATATTCTCATCAAACAGAAATACAAGTTCGATTACAGTTTTTATCCTCGATATTTTCACCTCTGGGTTCACCTGATTGTTTCCGTTTAAGTCTCGAACAAGTGGATATATTATGGCAATGTTTATCGCAAGATCCAACTTGTGCCGATGAACTGTTCAGTTGGTTACTCAGTCAAGCAAAATCAACGGAACAACACGCTCTCGCAATGGATACACTTAAACACTTGTGTATGCGTAAATTGCCAAGTTTGCCACCCGAAACGATTAGTATGACTGGTCTTAGTCTTTTTCAACAGTTGTGCAATTTGGCTCGTTTAGCAGCTGAACATTTGGATAGACCTCTAAGAGATGTGGATTCAGTTGGTATGGATTTCTTATGGAGAATTGCCTTGAAAGCTAAAAGCACGGATGTTAGCATGGCAGCTATACAATATTTGAACGGATATTATATGTCCAGACAATTAACCCAAGAAGCAGAATTTGTTTCACAATGTATGACGCATCTCGCCGCAGCTAGTGCCGATCTGGAAACGAATGAGGAAGCTAGTTTACGTTGCATACAAAGAGCTTTGTTATTATTGAGAACACATTTGGAAGCTTTTCGAAAGCGGTACGCCTATCATTTACGTCGCTGGATATTGGAAGGTAGAGGTGCTGGTAGCCATGTAGCTATGAATACATCAGAGAAGGGTCAACAGTTAAGAATATTCGTACAACCTGCTGGAATTCCTGAAAAAACAAGCTTCACCCTTTTTAGTACTGACTACGTTGCTGACTTGAGAGCCGAAGTTGCTAAGTGGTGGGATGATACTCAAAATAATCAAGAAAAGTCATCGTCCACTACGAATTCAAGTCAGAATAATAGCTCAGTATTAGGGTCACTTTTAACTGATGGGCCAATTAGAATGATTACGCAAGGTCAAGAATTAACTATTGATTTCGATGAAAAAACACTGCAGGAAATGGGTTTTAAGGATGGCCAACTAGTATTCATTTCTCCTGGCGCTAGTCGAGCTAATGGTACAGGTAGATGTAATAAACGAGATGTGGATTCGCCCTCTCTTTTGCCACCACCACCTCGAGAGTCTTTACCGACCTTGTTATTATTGCGACCACAATATTTTGAACAGTTATTTACGCTGATGAGAACATTGAGTGCTATGAAAACCGTAGTTAAAGGAGGTCAAGAAATTCCACATACTAAGGCACAAGTACTTTCAAGAAGAGTTTGGGATACATTAACTTTGTTACCAACTAGTCCTACTTTATTAAGAGGTTTCCAAAAATTAGGGGAAGCTACATTACCGGAATTGTTAGACCCTGCTAGCCCTCAGAAATTGATGTATTCTTTATATATAGTGGAATCTCTAAGTAGACGTAGTACAACAAGTCAACCTTCCATTGTGAACCCCACTGCAACCACTAACGAGAACGAAGGGGACACGGACGATAACCACGAAGACAAAGAAAAAGATGTATCTTGGTCTACGTTGTTCGTTCAACACGGGGGTTTACGTCATTTGTTCGATATCTTTATGTCTGGATGTTTGGAACAGGGAGATGGTAGTGAGTGGCAGCAGGACTGTCTTGCTAGTTTGCTAAAACAACTGTGTTATTTAGGTGTCGTTAAAGAAGACAAGAAACGAAGCAAAGCAGATAAATTGCTTGTACCTAAATTGAGCGAAGCGATGCTCTCAATGATGAACGTAGAAGCCGTTATGTCACGAATAACAAATATATTAAACGAAGCATCTTTACCTAGAGATCCAAACCATTACAAAACAGGACTTTTTGGGAGATCCCAGGTTATCCACTATACTATGGCTCTACTAGTTTGTTGGGTACATAGCGATGAAACAGTCAGACAGTATCTTTTCTCATCTCCACAACCTTTTGGAAAGACTTGGTTAAGGAGATTAGTATTGGAAGATCCAGAACCTGCAGTGAGAAGAGAAGTTTGTACAGCATTGTACAGATTATGCTTGGGCACTACAGGATCTGAAGATGACAACTCTGATAGTTCCAGTTTGATTGTACCAATGTTAAACACATTATTAGAACATCTTGTCATTGCAGAAGCAATGCAACCTTCTCATCGTAAACCAGATTTACCATTGCACCTACATCCAGTGCTTGATGATGGAAAAGAACCATATGGACCTGCTTGCAGAGATTACTTTTGGTTGGTTTGTCGATTGGTTGATTCTCTTCCAGAAGAAGCTATCAAAGAAGGTTCAGATGATTCTAATGTAACGATAGATCTAGAAGCTCTAGCCATAAGAGTAATTGACTCTGTTTTAAACAGAGAACATCTCGAAACACGTCATAATACAGTGGAAGACGACGGTTTAGTTGGATTGTTAAATCTCACTTGCAACATTATGACGCATAACCCACCTTGTAAACAAGGAAAAATCGGGCAAAATCTACTTCACGAAGTGTTTGATTTTCTGTTTGCATTGCCGAATCCCCGATCGAAACATGTTCCAAAATGTAAAAGTCAAGTTTCCAGATCGGCAGCTTTTGATCTCTTAGTTGAACTTGTAAAATCCGCTCCCGACAATTACAAGATTCTTCATGAAAAATTGTTAGCTCAACATAAACCTGGTCCCCATTCTCCGTATCCATGGGATTACTGGCCACATGAAGATGGACGTTCCGATTGTGGATATGTGGGATTGACAAATTTAGGTGCCACCTGTTACATGGCCAGCTGTATGCAACATTTGTACATGATGCCACAAGCACGTGTTTCTATATTAGGCGCTGACTGTAATCGGGCAAATAAGCATCAACTGACCTTACGAGAACTGCAAAGAATGTTTGCCTATCTTTTAGAGTCTGAAAGGAAAGCATATAACCCTCGAAGTTTTTGTCGTGTGTACACAATGAATCACGAGCCTCTTAATACTGGAGAACAAAAGGATATGGCTGAGTTTTTCATAGACCTTGTATCTAAATTGGAAGAGATGACATCGGATTTGAAAAATTTGGTAAAGACATTATTCTGTGGTGTGATATCTAATAATGTTGTGTCATTAGATTGTGAACATGTAAGTAGAACACTTGAAGAATTTTATACTGTTCGCTGTCAAGTGGCTGACATGAGGAACCTTTATGAAAGTTTAGATGAAGTTACAGTTAAAGATACTTTAGAAGGGGATAATATGTACACGTGTTCACAATGTGGCAAAAAGGCAAGAGCAGAAAAGAGAGCATGTTTTAAAAAATTACCACACATACTGTGTTTTAACACAATGAGATATACGTTTAACATGGGAACCATGCTAAAAGAAAAAGTCAATACCCATTTTAGTTTTCCATTAAGGCTAGATATGTCTGGATACGTTGAGAAGAAACTTATGCCACAACATTATCAGGAAGAGAAGAAAGCGTCTGAAAAGAAAAAATCTGAAAGTGACTGTCAAACAGGGTTGGGTAATGATGAAGAAGGAGAAATGGAACATTATCAGTATGATTTAATTGGTGTAACAGTTCATACTGGTACAGCAGATGGTGGGCACTACTACAGTTTCATCAGAGATCGTACCTCTCCTAATAAAGATAAATGGTTTTTATTCAACGATGCTGAAGTTAAACCATTTGATCCCAATCAAATAGCAGCAGAATGTTTTGGAGGAGAAATGACTAGCAAGACATATGACTCTGTTACAGATAAATTCATGGATTTCAGTTTTGAGAAAACTAATTCTGCATATATGCTTTTTTATGAATGGTGCGCTGATCTCGGTGATCAAGCAAAGGAAGAGGAAGCTACGGTTTCTAGCCCCAATGGACGACAGTGTTCTTCATTAGTTTACAAAAATACTAACAAACTACCACCTTTAGAGCTGAATAAGGAGCTGGAAGATTGGATATGGCAAGACAATATGCACTTTCTACAAGATAAAAACATATTTGAACATACATACTTCACATTTATGTGGCAAATATGTGGTTACATACCACAAACATTGCTATCCGTACAGCCTGACATAACGGAGATGTCAGCAGACCTTTCAACGTCATTTTTTATGGAAACCTTCATTCACGCTAAAGAAAAACCAACTATGGTACAATGGGTGGAATTATTAACAAAACAATTCAACGGTTCAGCTGGTGCATGTGCTAGATTTCTTGAAAGGATGGCTGGAGATTCATGGTGGCCAATTCAAATTCTAGTCAAGTGCCCTAATCAAATGGTAAGACAAATGTTCCAAAGGCTATGCATTCATGTGATACAACGATTGCGCGCTACTCAAGCACCTTTATATCTTCTTTGCGATGAAGAAAACGACATAAATACTGTCGGCACGCGATCATGCGTTACAAGATTCGTAAGAATGCTTTTGTCCCTGATGGAACACGCGAAACAACATTTAAAACACCTTACTGAATATTTCAGTTTTTTATATGAATTTAGCAAAATGGGCGAGGAAGAAACATTATTTTTAATAAGGGTACAAGCTATATCAACTATGGTGAACTTCTATCTTGGACATAAAACACACGAATTCGTTGATGCGGTTAGCGAAGAAGAAGAAGAAGAGGAAATAGTTGCCGTGCCAACAGAAAAGTTGAGACCTGCTTCTCTAGATAAAATGATAACTTTGATAGCAACTTTGGTTGAACGTAGCAGGGGACCTGATCATAGGTAACGATACAACTTTTTACAGTTCTACCTAACATATAAATACACATGTCATATTGTATTTTTTTAATGTTTTAGACTAGCACTATCTCCAGCAGATCTCAGTGCTGTGGCAGGAGGTAAAGGATTTCCTTTTTTGTATCAACAAACACGAGATGTTATTAATCTCAATCAGACACGAAATTTGATACAGTCTTTATGTCGCTGGAACGATAGATTAGCTATACATATTATTACCATGATATTTCAAGCTATAACAAAACATACCGATGTATGCCAGCCATTTTTCAAACTTCTAACGTTGTTAACGGAGAGTTCAGGGCCAAGTGGATTGCCTTGTATGACTCAATTAATTTTGGGTAGAGTATGGGAAGCAGCTAGAGTTGCGCCACATGGTGCATTGGAATGGCTAGCTTTAGCTGTGACAAGAAGCAAGCTTGCACATGCTTGGGTGTTACAAGGATTAGACACCTGGCTACAACATTTTTTATTGGAACATTCAAATCAAAGAGTTCGCTCCGCAGCTGCTTTTCTCCTTGTATCGCTGGTTCCATCGACTCATTTTAGACAGGGTTATCGCAGTGCTCATAGATTAGGTTTAGGATGCAATACGTCTAGAGAACTTCAACTATCATCGGAAGCCACGTTAATTTTACATCAAATATACACAGCGCTTTTAAGATTATTACAACCCGCAAGACATTATATCGATATACAAACTCATGGTACAATGAAACTCACTGCCTATTTTGCATTGCTCACGTATTGTGTTGTGTCCAAGACAGAGAAATTAATGGTAAGTGTGACATTATGCGTCACAATTTAATAACATCGCTATAAAATATTTGTTTCCAGTTTGGACAATATCTGAATGATTTATGGACACTTTTTCATCCAAAACTTTCTGAGCCTAGCATTCCAGTGCATCATAATAAACAAGCTGTATTACTGTTTTGGTATCACGTTTGTTCTGATTGTCCAGAAAATGTTGCTCTCATACTTCATAATCCACACATAACTAAAAATATTGCATTTAACTATATATTGTAAGTGTCACTTCTTTTTGTACCGGTACTAGTTAGAAAACTTTTTAAATTCATATCTGTTTTACAGAGCTGATCACGAGGACCAGGATGTAGTATTATTTAATAGAGTAATGTTACCCGCTTACTACGGCTTATTACGACTTTGCTGTCAACAATCACGTACTTTTACAAGACAATTAGCTGCACATCAAAATATTCAATGGGCATTCAAAAATATTACACCTCATCCTACTCAGTATTCGACTGTAAGATTTAAATTCACTTATGGGTCATCCACTCTTTAAATTTTAATTTAAGAAAAGGGTAAAATATCTCGTGTCTATTACAGGCAGTGGATGAATTATTTAAATTAATGCAATTATTAGTTGCAAGACATCCTGATCAAACAGAACAAGAGGAAGCTGAGATTGCATCATTTAGAAGAGGAACGTTATCATCGTATTTACAAGGACTAGACGGGAGATCCTGTTGGGCTACACTTATTTCTGCATTTCGGTAATACTTTATAAAATCTTCATCTATTTCTTTATATACCATTTAACAACAAATGTTAATATGTACATTCGAGTGCAACGTTGTACTCGAATGTACTTATATATTTATTTATATATCAATATTTTATAGCATCCTTATCGAATCAGACGATGATCGCCTCTACGTTGTATATAACGGAGGATTAAGTATGGCTTTGGAAGCATTTCATATGTTGCATATCATGTATCATGAAGCAACAGCGTGTCACGTTGCTGGGGACTTAGCTGAATTAATAGCGATTATCGTGGAACTGGTACGATGTATCAGAACTGCCAGGGATGGACCCGATGCAAGAAACATATTAGCGAATTGCAAAGAATGGCCGGATATTTTACGAAAATTGGCAACGTTATTAAATACGTATAATCCTCCAGATATGCGAAATCTTGCTATAGATCTTCTGAAGGAACTCGTGATGCTTGTTCCTGCTGAAGCAATATTAATTTTAGCACCATTGCTATCACACTGCCATGCAGCTCTTCAAGAGTCTCATGCTGCTGTTCCGCCTGGTCCATATCTTCCACGAAGATCTACTCCTCCAGGAAAAATGCCTACGCGACCCGCCAGACCGATGGTTCAAATGGCAGTACCACATTCGCAGCTGGAGGCATCGAAAGGAGTAGATCCAGAATATGATAATGCTTTGCTTGAATTTTATTTACCATATCACGAACTCATTGATGTAATGTGCAGATTAGCAATCAATAACGATTGTATGACTGATACATTAGTTAATTTGAGCGCTATGTTAGGATTCGAAGGTAAAGATCATTTATTACTCAACATGTGTAAAGGTGATGATACTTTATAATGAAAACGTTTAATTACAGGTGTTCCATTGCACTTAGCTTTGTTCCCTAGATTATGGTTAGACGTTCATGCTGCTACACACATAGACAGAAAACATATTGCATCCCTTCTTTGTTCTTCCTATACGGTGGATTACGTAGATGCTGTGTTACTAGATGAAAGATCTTCATTAGGAATACCAGCAATTCATGCCTTTTTTAAGACTTTCTTTCCTAAACTTGCTAACCACGTATTAACCGAGCAAACTTGTTTACTTATCGATAACTTAATTAAGTCGATGGTGGCAATGGTGGAAGCTGTAGATATTCAAGCGTCTGCGCACCGATTAACCGGGGATTTAAGAGCGTTGGCTCTTATCTATAGTAGTAGTACAAGACTGAAACCGCCAAGTAGTTTGTTACCAGCTTTAGAAACGCTACTATCTCGAACTAGGGCCATTAAAGTAAAAGATTCCAATCAACAGGAAGTAGAAGCTCCTACGAAGAAACGCAAATTCACCGTTAACGAGGATACCGAGACAACCGACAAAGAACTACATTTACCGATAAAAGAAATTAGTGAACAGAAAAATGTTTCCGAGATCAACGTTGAGAAGAAAGATAAAACCGAAACGAATGATATGACTTCTTCCGATTCTGGAGACGATAAAACCATATCAAGAAATACTATTCAAGCAGAAAATATTCCTACCAGTATCACCACGATATCCTCCAGTCTGATCGACACCGTGACGAGTAACAATTGTACGAATCAATTACGATGTTCGTTAACTAACGTTTCTTGGTTCGAAATGTTGGAAAAGACTATCATCGATCTGCAAACTATTGTGCAATTACAAACAAAAAGTAACTAATTCTGTACGTGTTTTTGAATGGTGCTTTGATCGTAGAAGCACATACTACAGGACTAAGTTCACGTGTAATTGTGTGGTTCTTTAAAATAACAGAACGAAAATTCAGTTCTACATTCAAGATTTAGATGGACAAATTTTAGTGCGTTTGTGTTCTACAAAAAGGGATGCATATATTACCGTGTATGTATCAAATGTAGGGATATGTGGGTACCCGGCCTCGGATTGAATCGGGTAAATTCGGACGGATTCGATTAGTTCGACGATTACTTCGGTTGAAGTCGGAGAAAGTTTGACAATCTGGGACGAGATCTCGCTATATTCAAAGTTCAATTTGGATCTCTAGTTCACGTCCGAGCTCGTCTGACTTTTTCAGACTCGACTCGATACATTAGATTATCCGCATACCCCTAATCAAATGCAATTTATTTTCCAAATGTAGGTAAATAAGGTAGCTTTACTTACTTAAGTTATATTAACATATGGAAAAAGAAATCATTCATTGGGATTGAACAATTTTTATTTTACGTAATAAATGTTCGTTAGTGCTGTGAGATCACCTATCTCCAGGCAACGTTTGTGTACATTTTATGTGTACAGTAATATAAGCCGCCCAGTATTCTGTAACAGGAATTGCAAAATGCCTTGAGATAGTTTAAGAGATACAATTGTGAAAACTTTCTTGAAACTATAATTATTTTTCTATTCTTATTTCAACTTTTAGGGGTACTACAGGATTTTTTCAATCTTTCATAAAATATCAAATAATAGTATTTTTTGGTCAACTGTGTATGTTTAAATATTATTCACGTATTGCTCTACAAATTTCATTAATTTATCATTGTAATATACTCTTCATCGTATTTTTAACGTTTTCAAGTAATTAATCATGTAAGTTATATACGAGTGCAAATTTTTTATCGTACATTTTCTATCCGATATTTTTCAAACTAATTTACGCGTAAAATTATTCTCTCGTATCTGTTGTATACATAAACGAAAGATATTTATTTTTTCTCTTAAGTAAATAATTTCGATAGATTTAACTTCAATATCGGAAATGTATTGTGTTATGCTTTTAATTCTTTTCGGAAATTATACCTCGCATATCTTTCAAAGAATCTAGGAAAGTACAGCTTAAATTTAACTTCTGTTCAAATGAAGTTTTAACTACTTTCTGTACTATCACAATAAAACTTTTATTCGTAATCATTAAAAATAAAAAATCATACTATTAGATTGGTAAAAAGCTCTTTTTCTTTGTTTAATAGTGAAAAATATAAGTATCTCACATCACAAATGAACAGTTGCGAAATTCTTGAAGATTCGTCATAAAGCAATCGAAGAATTATTCAAAGCTAGTTTTCTTGCAACATTTAATGAACAAAACTGAAAAACATATCTGTATAAATTTGTTACGTATGCGTTTGATTTATGTGTACTGCTTTATTGTATTTATTATTATTACATAGTAACCGTGCGCTATTAAAGAAAGAAAGATAAGTATATATGAATATATACATTACTTTTTGTTTCACTAACTCGTTTCGTAAACAAAGTGCTTTATCGTCATTTACCGAACAGTTTCGAATTCTTATATGTAAGAAGGAAATCAGTATGATTAAAATTTCATTTGTGATTTAACAATTTTTTTTTTTATTGAAGAAAACGCGAGCTAGAAGTTTTTTCAGCCTAGTTGTTCAGTAAAATAGTGTTCCCAGCAATAAACCACAGGTGTTTCAAGAAATACATTTTGTCAGTTCAATATAGTACTTACTTTGTATTAAATTCGTGTACAAACTCGCTATAGCCCTGTGCAGGGCCATATAACGAGACTGTATTTCACAGACGTCAAAATATTCTACTTTGATTAACCGATGAAATAATTTTCTTGAAATATTTCTCCCTTTAATAATAGAAATACTGTTTTACCAAACTCCGTAATTTAATACACCCTTTAAATATAAAGTCGTAATTTCTTGTATACGCTTAATACCTGCGTAAATGCACACGTACATAATAACGAGAAACATGTTTTCGTCATAACTGAGCTTATTGTCGGACAATGGCACTAAAGTAATAACTCGTCCACGTTAAAGGTTCAAGAATCATTACGTATGTTTTAAATTTTTATGATCTGATGTTACGAATTAACGAATGATTGACAAGCGAAAGCAGTGAATGTTAAAAGTAAAATTATATGGTGTTCTTGTGCGAGTTATCCGTTTCCTTGACATCTTAACGTTAATTAATTGACTAAATACCATGTCTAGGACAAGATTTTAGCTACTTACGAGATATATGTTTAAAAAAGAACAGGTTAAAGAATTAAATGTGACAGGAAATTTATAGTAGAATATAATGTGGCGATTTTTGAGAGCACTGTAAGATAAAACTATAGATTTTAAAAACTATCGTCGATGGCTACTATAACCGTTAATTAACTTTCGTAACGTGAATTTGATAAGTATTAATGACGAGAAGAAACGAAATCGTTGTTTGCAAGTGTGTTAATGTTATCCATTAAGAATTTCATTTTCTTAATGTTATATTAACATCATTTGTTAACAAATGTTGAAAAAAACGTAATACGTTTAATTTTACAGAAAACCAAGTGAGTATCCTGTGCGACATGATTAATAACGTGTAATATTTCAAATTGTATTTCTAATATTTGACGTATGTATTTGTGATGAAAATACTGTGATTAGTGATAGATCTATTCGCTGGTTTGCAACAAATACAAATATGACAAGCGTACTGTACACGCACACGTATTATAATGAATTTTCCACCAAATCAAATATTTTTAACTTTTCTGTGTCAAATAATCTATTGAGTTCGATGAAATCGTAAGTAATATGGTAACCAAAAAATTGAAAATAAGTAGAAGAACAAAAAAAAGTAAGAATGTACGTTCACGTAAGACTACGCGCGAGAAAAGCATTTACATTTATTTTTTAATTATTAAAAGTGACGAATGCCTTTGTCTTATGAAACGTGTTTCAATAATCTCCATATTTATAAAAAAAAAATGCGTGATAGGGCGCTTGTGCTTTCGAGTAATTAAATTCGGAGGTGGCTAAGACTGTATAAAAAAAAGGTAATAAATACTTCGAGCGCCCTATATTACTTTCATCACTCTATTAAATTTCCGAAAATATAAATACTTCTTCGCCAGATTTGTATCTCAAGCATGTGTTTACGTTTATGTATTCATTTGTATACTTATAAGGTGTATAGTTTTTGATCAAAGATAAATAAAGTCTTTTCATTTTAAATTTTATTGTATTATTATTGAAATAAATAATACTAGTAATATTCTACTATAATAATAGTGTAAATAAATTTTTTTAAATTTTTTAATAAACTCGTGAAATTACCGCGCGTTATATCACCATGCGTTATATGGTCAAATCAGGTGCAAAAATTTATTTCTACACCTAATGTAACAAAATATAAATTTTTTTAAATTGTCAATTTAATAATATACATAATCCCCTTAATTAATAATTTTATTTACAAATTTTTAATTGATAATTTTAATTAAAAATTTATCTAAACTACTTTTCATTTTACACTTAACATAACTTGCAAAAGAAAATATCTTTAAGTATGACAGAATTACTCTGTTATCAATGTTTATATGTTTCTCCCAATAGTATTGCGTGCCTAAATCGCATACCGCATACCGCATACCCCATAAAGCACTGCATAGTGTTGTCTAAAATTTGAAACTTGACAGTTTATACATTACTTGTTAATTTTTAACACTTTTGACTCAGTGCAACTACTCATTGTTATTTATTTTAAACGAACGTGATAAGTGAGATAATAACAAATTTCAAAATTAAATACAATTAAGCGCTTTAAACGATTACGTATATATACGATGCATAATACATTATCGCCAATGGATAACCTTTTTAACATGTTGTCAAATTTCAGTGCGGGTCATGAAAAAGCCTTAAAACAAGGCATTTACAATGCTGTGGCACTGTTTCTTTTGTGTCTAATTTCAGCAGCTGGTTACGGATTGTACATTGTACTGAGTCCGTTTGTAAAACCTTTAATTTGGGCTCTACTATGTGGTTCTGTTCTGTTCCCTTTCAAATATTCATTAACTACTATTGTACAGTCATGGTTTGAGAAAACAGAAGTGTCTCATACACCATTAATTATAAATTTAACATTGTTGCCTGTACAGATAGTAGACAAAATTTCTGATGATATAGGATCATTTTTATGGAAACATGTTAAATACATTGTCAGTATTTTTCTGTTGGGAACATCAGTTCTGGGAGTATATAATTATACACCGACTGTATTAAGTTGTTTAATATGGAATATATGTATAACTTTTCATATTATTTTTACAATTTTTATATCAGCGTGTACTACTTCAATGGTAATTTTTGAATATTCAAAAAATATGCTACAAAGTATATAATGTTAATATATTAAAGTCACATATTTTTTTGCAGATTGTTATTATGCTTTGTGGATATTTAACTGTATTATATGTTTATTCAACACCACATAATTCCATACATTTTCGCTATACTTCATTCGTCATGTGGTTTATAATTAGTTTATATATTTCTAATATATTAAGTGCTTATCCATATCAAACAGTTATATTTATTGCACTACAAGTATTGTACTTGATAGGATTTATTTATGAGGTAGCAATTGTTATGGAAAAGCAAGAATTAGAAGGCAATCCAGTGACATTCATGGAAGCAATACGTTTTACATTAACAAATAATATAATTACACCTGTAACAGAAAGTTCACAAGCTCCATTAAAAAGTAAAAATTCTATAGAAGATATTAAAGAAGAAGCTACAGATACTCAGCAAAATAGTGAGATTGAAGAACCGGCACAAATGATCTCTAGTTCAGTAGTAACAAGCACTGATCCTAATATGAAATTATCTAAAAAATCATTGTCACTAGATGCAGATAATACAGCATCATTACATAAATTTCGATCTGGATATATTATCCCCTCAACTGGTTACATGTCATTGCGTGACCGTTATTTCTTGAAAAGAATAAAAACTGAATTACGAATGTCTATTGACATGGAAAATAATGAAGTTGATACGGATAAATATATGTATGGAGCACTGTATGCTTGCATTGGTATGCTGCTTTGGAAACATAGATGGATGATATACATTTTAATTATTCCTATAGCCTTTTATATTATTAAGCAAGTTGGTAGTTATTTTGGATTATGGAAAGTGATAAACAATCAGTGCAATATTGTTATAGAAATTGTTAGAAACTGGTGTATGGAGCGTCATCAAGCTCTTTTACCAGCTAATGTTAGAGGTTTATACAAAGTTGGAATAATAATTGATGAAAAGTTAACAAAAGCTTTGAAGGCTTCAGTCAATTCTGTGGCAACAATTGCTGTGATTTTTGGATTAATTATATTTATAATTTGTACATCTATTTTTATAACGATACAGGTATTACTGCAAACAATATTTCAAACATTTTATAAATTATAGTCAATTATCATAAGCTATTATAATTTCCATAGGTTTATACAGAAGGTATACACCTTATTCAAATTACTGGAGAGATTCTCAATTCATCACTGATGAATAATCCAGATATTGATTGGTTACCAGAACAATGGGAAGATTCAGTTAATAGTGTCTTAGATAATGCTTATACTTATGGACGAGGTGCTATTTCTGATGGAGTAAGGGACTTGTATAGCTTCATAACTATTTGATCATTTTTTTATTACAATATATGCTTTTTAATATATAGATAAAAGGTTTAGTAAAAGATTTAGATCCTGTAAAAGCTGAACAAGTAGAAAAAAAGGTATTAGAACTTTGGGATAGACTTTATCAAGCTTGGATGATGTCAAATGAAAGTGCAGATTTAATTGGCCCTACTGTAGATGTTGCAGCAGCTTATTCAGTATGGGAAAGCTTTACAGAAAGTTTTGGAAAAACACCTTTACGTAAGATTTAATAATTAAATTAATAGATTTGAATATAACAATTACATCCACATACTTAATTTTATATCCTTTTTTTGAATAGAATTATTTAATATGACTAGCATACAAAACTTTGTAAAGGAAAATATTGGAATTTTCATGTCAGTGCTGGACTCCATTTGGAGCATAATTAAGGGCAATATGTCTGTGATACTAGCACTCTTTACAGAAATATTTTATATTATACTTATGAGTGGTTCAGCAGTACTTAATTTTGCTCTCAGTATGGTAAATAATTGATTATACAAGGCGTATATGATTTAAAAGTATTTAAAGATATTCAATCATGAAAATTTTATATTATTTCAAGGTGGTGTTCTTTACAACGTTGTTTTATCTGCTTAGTTCCAGTGATAAAACTTACAGGCCTATCGAATTTACTACAGTATTTAGTCCTATTAGTTGCCATAGGTAAAGTTTTAGATTTTTTACTATGTATTTTATATCGTTGTATTATATGTATTTTATCAAGTTTATATTTTGTATTAACAAGCGCTCTTCCTATCGACGGGTATGTTATATTTAACGATAAAAATGAAGTTATCGTATCATATTCATTATATCAAAAAAATTATCACTTTATATTTTTGTAGATTTGCTATTGCATTACAAGAAGCAGTAATTGGCGTATTTGCTGCAACATTTAAACTTGCATCCTTTTTCGGCATGTGGACATGGTTTATACATAATTTATTCGAAGTAAAAATCGTCTATTTACCGGCCACTTTTGCAACCATACTTGGCGCAGTTCCATTTTTGGATGCCTACTTTGCTTGTATCCCAGCTACTTTGGAACTTTGGTTCACTCGAGGATCTATGACTGCAATTTTATTTTTCATGTTCCATTTTCTTCCCTGTAACATCGTTGTGACTGAATTTTACAAAGAAATTAAAGGGTATTTTGAATTTTCTTATATTAATATAAAATTATATCTTTGTCAATTATTAATTAATTTAAGTAAAATTTTTTCGTTATAGTGGTGGACATCCATATCTGACTGGTCTTTCAATAGCAGGCGGAATCTTTTGTTTAGGAGTAGAAGGGGCAATTTTTGGTCCTTTATTATTGTGTTGCATAATGGTAGCAATTAATTTAAGTCGTCGTTATCTCCAATCACCGTCAGAAGTTATGTCTACATATTCCGAAATGAAACATTGATATGAATAACAAGTTGTTCCATTTATCAGTAGTTAGTAACAGACGTTAAGAAATATGAGCAACGAAATTCCATTTTATAGATATACTTTTGTTTACTAAACGTTTATGCGTGACTACTACTTAACTGCAAACAGATGCAAAAAGCATAGTTTGTACGAAGAATTTCGTTAAGACTATAATGCAATATTAAAAAATTGCTATTGCTGTTGCTTTATCTAGTCTTTGAAAGCATACATTTTGATGTTATTTGTAATGAGAAAAATTACAAAAATATTTATATAATAACCGCTTTTATATATTATTTATTTTTACTAACATTTTACAAAAATGTGATCTGCTAATGACACGATTAAGGAAAGTTGATAAGGCCTATAATAAAAAATCTCAGCTTACGCTTACTAATACATATAAGTATATTGTTATATCTCTTTACTAGTCTTTTACAATTTTTAATAGTATATGTAGGCATAACAAATTAATAGCAGTAAAAAGGTATTTACTGCGTTTAAAGCTTACAATTGTTAATAAAGTTTTGTACATAAAATATATATATGTATATACATATGTACATATGTATATAAAAATTGTTATGTACAGTCTAGTGCAACTTGGGCTTTATGTAGTTGTTGGAATGTATAGAAGGAGTGTATCACCATTTTTTTTTAGTATTTTATATTTTTTATCTGTAAAAACAGAAAATTGTATGTTAAGTTTCTCCCAATTCTTTCAAAGTTCTTCCAAACCTGAATGCAAGTCGAGAAGCCTATGTTGCACGTATGTGTACATCCTTAATTATGTTATTTATGAATATTGTATATTGTTCGTTTGTTTTGATATTTTAATAATATACTGACTTCAGTATTATTAATCATTTATTTTGGTTGAAAATCTATCATATGTAACCACAAAACGATCAATAAACTTAAAATTTATTGGTATACAAAGATAAATTTTTCAGTTAATAAACAACATGTCAAATTTAGTGTACTTGGCAATCAGCATGGTCTTGATTATACTTGCTGTTCTTATTGCATTTGAAATTTATTTACATCATGAAACTTATTTCCCTCGGCCACGATAAATGTTAAAATTTTTTACAGTAATTACAATACAACTTATGTTTATTTATTTGTATTATCATAAATATCGGAAAGCGTAATAACACTTAAATTTTCTTTGAATATTTTCGGTGTAACTGCTTCACACGAATGGAAAACAATTTTTTTATTATGCTCGAACATATGAAAACCATTTTCGGAGAAATGGCCACAAATATTTGTTGTTTCTAGCCATATAAAAAGTGTTATATTGTTTGTAGTTAATTCCAACTCGATGTCCGGATAATTCGGATGTTTGCCAGGTAAATGATAATCCAATATTTTGACCTGGAATAATATATTTTGAATGAAAATAAATAATTTACTATGTTTTTGTTTTTGTAGATTCAACTATAAACTTACAGTAACATTTGCTATTGGCAATGCATTAGTTTTGAAAACACCATTTGGATATATGTAATTTCTTGGTGCTATTTGTGATCCAGTTTTGTTCTTTAAAGTAAGTGTCATAATACAATTGCTTTCAGCTTTAATGTCAACCTGACATGCATTAGGTAATGTAGAGTTTAATATCCATGAATGTTTCAGTAAACTATCTTGAACCTTTGTCACTGCATTTGCTTCCTATAAAATATTCATCACAAACGTCAAATATATCCTTTTGTATATATATGTTACTACACATTTTTATTATTGTACTTACTACAGTTATATTATCATAAACGTATGATTGTATGGGTTTCATATTTTTCAATGTATAAAGATTCACTTCCAAAATAGTATTTGTTATTGGATGTAATTTATCAGAAACAATGTAAAGTGTAATATCAGTATTTGTAACATAATAGGTGACTATAATAGGCGCAAAAAAATCTACAGCATAGTAATGAAGCATTTTCCATCGTCCATTAAAGTCTAAAAGCAATAACATTATTAATAAAATATGTTATGTTGAAAAATTGTAATAATTATTACATGTACGTTCATGTCTAATTACCTATAGAAGACCAAGATGGAGCTTGCCAAACATCATTTAATTGCCAATATAAAGCACCCATTGTCATACCTTCACCAATTTCATTTAATTCTGTCTTTGATTGTCGATAGTATTCTGTTTGTATTTTTACAGAAACTGCCTGATTGATTTGACTTAAATATATATAGTTTACAAAACCTTGTACTTTATTTTGAGTTTCAGGTATTTTAAAATTCTGTGAAATAAGAGTCTTCAAATATGACATTCCTGATGCCAAGTGCTGACGATGTCTCACAAATTTACTATCTACATTTAAATCATCAGCTTTTTCTGTAACTGATAGCATAGTGAAAATTGATGGCAATGACTGAAATCCATATTCAGATGAAAATCTTGGACGAGGATATTGGTGCACGTCCCATCCATTATTAATATAATTATAGTAATGAACTAAAATAACAATACACATATTTTAGTCAAACGTATATCTTATTTTCATACTGAAGTAAAAAATAATATATTTTACCATCTCCATAAAACATTGAATATGGATCTTTTCCAATATAATTATATTGTTCTGTATACAATCCATTACTAGGACTAGATACTAAAAATGGTCTTGTAGAATCCAATTGATTTACTATCTCTTTTATCACATTTACATAAAGCTTAATGTAATCAGTTTTATATATTGATTTAGTTCCGGTTCCATACCAATCTCCATATAAAGCTGCCTCGTTTTCGTTGTTTCCAGCCCAGAGAACGATACTAGGATGAACTTTTAATCTTCGTACATTTTGTATTACTTCTTCCTTAACTGAATCAAGGAACTCTGATGTAGTAGGATACATTCCACATGCAAACATAAAATCTTGCCAGATCATGATTCCATATCTATCAGCAAGATTGTAGAATAATTCGGATTCATAGAGACCACCACCCCACACCCTAAGCATATTCATATTTGCTTGTTTAGCAGATGCTAATAAATGTTCAATTGTTTCTGGTTCAGCACTTAGTTCAGGAAAAACACTAGCTGGAATGAAATTACTACCCTTTGCAAATATTGGTACACCATTTATTTGGAAATAAAAGCTCAATCCCTTCTTAAGAGGTTTCTGTATAAGTTCTACCGTTCTGAAACCAATTTGTACTGTTTTCTTTTTTGTATCAGTAGATGTACTTGCTGTTACAGTTAATGAATAAAGTGTTTGATTGCCATAACCATTTGGCCACCAATTATCTACAACTTCCTATTATAAAAAATAATAATTTATTATATTAAAAGTAGATATTAATTGCACACTGATATGTTTTAACATTAATGGCTTACTGTAGGAACTTTAAGAAGAACAGTTGCTTCAACATGTTCATTGCTCATACTTATATCAAAATTTGTAGAATTATAAATGTTTAATTGTTCATTGACATAAAGAACTGATGAGACATGACAAGGAATAAGTTGCTTATTTCTTTGTGAAGTACTATCAAGAAATACTGTTATTGCAATATTCCAAAAGGTGTCCTCTTTATAAATATCTGTTGTAACATCAGTAATATGAATCTCATTTATGGGAATTATTTCTACACTCTTCCTAAAATATTATTCAATTGATATGTAGTGATGCATAGTACATATGAAATAAATAAATTTTATGTACCATATGCCCATTGATGGAAAAGCTGGACCCCAATCCCAAGAAAAACTTGCTTGCATTTTTCTTATGTGATTCACATGACATTCACCATTGTAACTATCTGGTACACATATTGGAGGAACAATATATTTTGATGCTTGTTCATTGTACAAAGATTGTGCTGTTTTAACAGCAGAAGAAAAGGAGACTTGAAGCATATTTTCTCCTTTCTGAGAATAAATATAGAATTATAAATTACAAGCATTTATAAAAAGTTGAATTACTTACTTTTAAATAATGAGTAACATCAAATGTGTATTGTAAAAACATATTTGATGTTTCTCCAATTTTCTGATTATTTAAAAAGACTGTGGCAAATGTATCTACCCCATGAAAAATGAGTACTACTTTAGAAGCATTTAGGAAAGCCTCATTAACTGCAATAAAAAATCAAAAAATATAAGTATCAGTTTATGTATTTTTACATTGATAGTGCAATAAATATTACCATGAAAGCTTTTGTTGTAGGTAACTGATTGATTACCAACCCAACGATTTTTTATGTCATTATCTCCAATAAAATTATTTGGTATAATATTTTCTTTATTTAAATCAGTATATATTCCACCTGGCACAGTTGCAGGAAATGTAATTTCTATAAAAATATTATGTTACTAAATGAATTGCAATTTATAGTTATGTAAATTTGTGTTTCTAAAAAGTCTTACCATCTCCTTTGTTGTTGGGTATAATTTTACCTAAATAAAATATTTAATTCTAATGAAAATTGAACATACAAAATAATTTTAAAAAAGTATTCAATATAATAAATTTAATAATACCTGTCCATGATCCATCTAAGGTTATGGATAAAATACTATTATTAATTAAAAGTATTCCTAAAAAGAACTGGAGAACTGTCTTCATACTGCTTGTGTTTTAGTACAGATACTATGTTACCTTATAACTTTGTACCGTTTTGACAATTTTTTTTATAAGATTATTTGATATATATTCATATATTTATAACACGTGTTTAAACTGTCTTATCTTGTTTGTTTGATCCATATTTGTAATCATGTTTATCACAATCAAGATTCTAATTTATTAGTATCAAAATTGATTATCATATCATATTAATTACTTTAATGAATTAATGTAGGATAAATTAAACAAAATATATAAATATAGTATTTTATTCAAAAATTAGAATTATTACTCATATAAAAATACATTTTATTGTACAGTATAAATATGTGGCTTACAAAAATTGAAATCATATAATTAGTACAATTATACATTTTCTTCTGAAATGTATATTGCATGTAATTTAATCAGAGTTTGCAATTTACTAAATTATTCGAATTTACTGTGCGTATATTTTAAATCAGTCCAGTAATATATAAAAATATATATGCATTAGTTTTTAGACCACTCAAAATTAATTAATTTAGATTTATCTTCATGTCATAACTTTAGGTATCATTCTTAGAACCATTTTAATTTAAGTTCAATCAATAAATCAATAAATACGTTTATAACAGTAAGATGTATTATAGTGAAATGTACAAACGAAACGCGGAATGTTATAATAAATGCAAAAGATATTAATCACTCAAAGTTTGCATTTTATACCTTTTCACGGAAAGCTTCAATTTAATACTTTATGATTGTATCTTTTTGGTTGCATTTATGTAAATGACATAATAGCATCATTACAGCAATACCCAATGTTTGCTATCAACGTATAAATACATATGTACAATAGCTGTCAATTTAAAGACAGAAATAGTATTTATTAACGTTTCCTTTTTTTACTAGAACGTGCGTGTGTTTTATTATTTGAATTAAACTGTTTTCTATAATCTATATATGAATCTGTTTGTTCACTAATTGGTCGATAACAACGAATGGGTGAATTAGGGACGTTGATAACGTCAGTGCTTGTACGTTCTGAAATGAATATTTTATTAATTTATGAGCACTATAATTTTGAAGAATTAAGAAAAAATAAATACCATGAATCGATTGATCTTCATGTCTTTGTAAACAGCTATTAACATGATCCTCATAATCTATTCCATTAGTTGTTCTAAACTTTGAACACACATTACATTCAAGAATTTCAGAATTTTTACTATTCATTGGTATCGCTTTATTTTTTAAATGAGAACTATTTGCACATTCATTTTCAATCATATATTGTTCACATCCAGCAGCATGTGTTTCTATTTGATCAGTTGGAAAAGATTTGTTACATATGGGGCAGTTTACATTACTTGTTGAATCATTTTCTATAATTTCTATCTCTCTGTTTACAAAAGTACTACTCTCCTAGAAAGAATAATACAAACAGTTACAGATAATATAAAATAATATACATGTTATTAACAACAATGTACAAAAATTTTACCTGAAACAATCTAGTTGCTTCTACTCTTTCTGAGAGGCTCATTTCATCTTGCATATTCTGTGATTTTCCTTGATCTTTGTTAACTTTCTTTTGAGACTTCATGTCTACTACACTGTTCCATTTCTTGCTTCTTTCTTCTCTATATTTTTCTATTTCTTCTTTCTGTTTTTCCTTTTTTTGTGTTTCAATTATTTGCTTTTTATAAAATTCTTCTCTCTTTCTTCTTTCCTCGATTTCTTTCTTCTGAGCTTCTTCTTTTTCAATTTCTAATTTTTTTTGTTTTTCCAGCTGAATTTTCTCCAAAACTATACATTGATTCTTTATTCTTCGCGAAAGACCTTTCATTGGTAGTGGTTTAATTTCTATATTCTCTGATGCTTTAACATTATCTTTTTCTAACTCTATAAGAATTTCTTCGTCGCTAAGTATATTATTTTTCTCTTTGGATATTAAACTTATGGCACTTTGTTTCTCATTGTTAACATGTGTTAATGAACATGTAGGCGATATATTAGTAGTATGTTCCTTTTTCTTATTAATATTTTTTCTAACATTCGGAGGCGCGATTCTTCGTGGATATGAAAACACTAATTCCGGTGATAAACGCTCTTCGGTATTTCTTCTAGGTTCTGTTTTACAATTATCAATTTCTATATTATCCGAATCTTTGTTAAAATTATCATTGTTTAAATTTTGATCATTTTCGATGTTGACAACAGTGCATACATCTTTGTATAAATGCGATACTTTGTTTGTGTCTTCATGTGATCGAATTTTTTGTTTCTTAACTATTTTTTCATCTTCATCGTCGCTACATTGTTCTATATTAGAAGACAAAATCAAAGTTGATTTACGTTTATTAGATCGTTCATTATTATATTTGTTTGTACACTCCATTTGATCCTGTTCAGTTATAATATCTGATAATGATTTTTTATCCGAATTATCTTTAGCAAGGCCCACCTACAGAAATGTTGAAAGAAGGATTAGAATTAAATCAGATAAAATAAAATGGACAACTATTCTGTTTTGTTTTTTTTACAGAAATACGATTTATTCAAAAATTGTTTGTTGCTTACAGTTTTAGTTACTGTTTATTTATAAACACTTATGTATACATGTATTTGTATAGATGTAAAATTTACAACTTTCATAAGAAACACCAATCACGAACTTCAATTATTTTTATACAAAGGACATTAATAATACTTCTCTCGAATCTTCTTATTAATGTATATATAAATAAAAAATATGTAAATTTTATCAGTAAAGATATCTATAATATATTAGTTAAATTTTATCACAACTGTTATCTTTCTAATTACAAAAAACAACATTAAACAGTATTTAATAGAACAGTATATTAATAGAATATTACATCAATAAATGATTATACACTTTTCACCAACAAAATAATTGAAAATTTGTGTCAAAAATGTGATTAATTTTAGTGAAATTGTAATATTTTTAAATGCAAATTCAATAAGTAAATATCATAGTATGTGGTTAACTGTAATATTCATGGCACAATGTTGTATTAAGAAAACTGTAATTTGTATATTTAAAAAAAACTGTATTTTCTGATATTTACTAATGGTAAGATCTGTATGAAATGGATTGTATGGAGGTACCCACCTGAATGGGTGACCCCCACTGAAACTTAGTACTGGTAGTACGGTGCCAACTATGCCACAAGTCTGCCGTTTGTTTCAAATGAATGTTTAGTGCATGTATTAGTTTGTCAAGCATCTCAGGTGCTTGTGCTTCTTTGCATAATTTAAATGGCATGCGATCTGGACCTACAGGCCTATTTGGTTCTTGCAAAGGCACATCATTTTCACTAACATATGAATCAAGAGGATTAATTTGCCATCTTTCCAATTTTTGCTCGCATTCAGAATGCGTATCCATTTTCATTTCTATACTATGCATAATATTAGAATCTTGTAATGAGTTCTTTGATTTCGATGGAACGTATCTATTTATAATATGAGAATAATTATCTCTCATATTTGAATTATCTTGCAATTTAACAAATAAATTTTCACCATCTACGTTTTTGCCTCTGTACATAGAGGTTCTTGATTCAGTATTGGTGGGTTCAAAATCAGGACTGCTACAGCCATGAGCTGTCTGTTCTCGTATTGGAGATATACGATTAGGTCTGTATGAATGTATTGACTGAGATGTATCATTATGTTCTTGTGTTTCCAATTCTTGTGTAAAATTTGTCTCGGGCATTACATCTCGGGAACAATTATTAGTAGAATGTAATAACTCCTAAAAAATTATAAGGGAAATGAAGTATACAAAATTAAGATGTGTTATGTTAGAATATTAATCATCCGCTTTGTATCTATTACTTAAGCGAGAAAATAAATTTTTCCTAACATCAAAGCAATTATTTAGTAATTTTTAATGAACTAACCTTCTGTACATTTTTTTCATCGCTTTTGGCAATTGCCATATTTTTGGATTCATTAATAACACCAAGAATTTGTTTCATATCTTTGTAAGTATACCAGGTTTCATACATCTTCATATCTACAACATAAGTAAACTTTGTGATTAAAATGTAACATTCTATTAGAAAATATTTAACAACAAAAATTAGTATACTGTTATAAATATAAGAAATTATATGATTAGCTACATTAACAGTTTTAACGAAATAATAACAGTTCTCATTTACCTAAAAGTTCTTTCTTCATTTCTTCTACTTCTTCCCTTTCTTTGGCTGTTAATTCATTTTTATCTCGTTGCATATTGTCTGACATATTTTCTTGTAATTTTTAAATGTACAGAAATTAACTTACAGTGTTAAAAAGACGTTTTATACGGAACAATGAGAAATTCAATTGAAAAGTTTGAATTGTTTATATATAGTCTTAAATGCTTCTGCATTACTATATAATCATCTCATCAATAGACATCTACCAATAACGATAATGATAAAAATAAAAATTAAATCCAAGATAGTTCCGATCTAAGGTAAATTTCAAATATCAACATTTACGTTTCAATATTACGTTGCAACTTAGTATCGATATTAACAGCAAGTAATTTCAGAATTTCCACTCATTAAAGTAATATTTACATGAATATACAAACTTAATCAAATAGTAATTGAGCAATATAATTTAACTATTATAAAAATGAATATGTTTTTATAAAAACTTTTGTACTAAATGACAACATTATTGAAATTAAACAAAATAATACGTATAATATTCGTTCCACCAAAGATTGAACTCATCAAACGACGAGATTTTGTTCACCTTGCACATGTTATCTTTCATTGGTCCGAACATTTTTCGTAACCAAGGGCAATACGCATGTGCTTTTGCATTTTTCTCAATGTTCCTCTCCAAATGTATATACTAGGTGGTTTTTAAATTTGTATATACGAAATTTTGTATTTGGAGATTTGGAAATTTGGGCTTTTAGTAATTTGAAAATATTAAGGTAGCGAAATATGGTACATAAGCAACTATGTAGTTGATTACGTTTGTTCTACATACTTACATTTCATACATTTATATTGTCACAAATTTAGATCCACTGTGTATATAATAAAAAAGTGTGTAGGATAATGAGCAGCATTGACTAGTTGAAAGCATAGTGAAGTTACTTGCTTTGCGCGAATTAAGTACATACATATGAACGGAGAATATCTACCTAAATACATATTATTCAAATTATTTCTTTACCAGTATTATCTACATATTTATTTTATATCAAGTGCCAATATTTTTATAAATTTTTAAAGAAAGTATATTAATACTTTAGAACAAGATTTTATAATCTTATAAAATACTTAGGTATATGCATTACAGTATCTATATATGATCTACATGTACCGCAATTAAATATGGCAGCTTCCATAGGTAGAGTTTACACTCAATTGAGGTAAATGTTACGCACTTTAACTCTGTGTTATATACGTTGTCATGTCATATATTAACAATTATATTATACGGTATGTAATACATATTATGTTATTTAAAATACATATTATATAATACACTTAACCTTTTATAACGTGATCATAAACATGTCTTTAAATTTAGTTTGGCCTAGATTTCTTTTTATTAAATAATTTTCTATGTAATATTAATAAGCCGCATAAATGAATTGTCAGTTTTCTTAATACTGTTAACAGTTTGCCAAGACAATTTCTGGTGGATGCGATATGGAGAGAACAAAGTATAAATAGCATTTTGCATACATCCTGTGCATCAAAAGTGAATTACCAATATTATCACACTTCGTCTATCCTATTAAAGAAAAGAAAATTGAAAATTGAAAAGGTATAACATAAATACAGTTACACATACATTTATTAAGTATATATAATTAAATAAGAGTTAAAATAATTAATTATTTCCAGAATGTTAAACAATTAATGGTAGAACAATGTTTAAAAGATCCTAGTGCAATATATAATTTTAAACCAGCTGTAGAACCAGTTGTCCCAACAATAGAAGTATGGAATGAAATAACAATTACTGAATTAGCAGAACGCTTAAACAAGACTACTGATGATGTTTTAGACTTTCTTTTAATTAAACATAAAGACAAGTGTTTTGTAGAAACTAGTGTCTTATCAAGTAGTTTAGCAGCTGAAGTAGTTAAAGGATGTGGTGCCAAAGTAAAAATTATATCAGCAAAACATGGAAAAAAAGAACTAACTTATGAAGATCTTATTCAACGGTAATATAAAACTAATATTTCTCAGTCATGAAAAATAATGACATATTATTAATACAATTTTATCAACTTTACAATTTCCATATAGGCCTCCACCCCATAAGTTTCAGTTAGTTAAAAGACATCCTGTTGTGACCATTATGGGCCATGTAGATCATGGTAAAACTACTTTGCTTGATGCATTGCGAAATACATCTGTTGTAAAATCAGAGTTTGGCGGAATTACACAACATATAGGTGCTTTTAATGGTAAGTATTAACTTGCTACTACTTATAATAATAGCAAATAAAATCAATTTAAAAATGTTTCAATTTTAGTGACTTTGAAATCTGGGGAACGAATTACATTTTTGGATACTCCTGGTCATGCTGCTTTCAGTGCTATGCGATATAGGGGAGCACATATTACAGATATTGTAGTGTTAGTAGTAGCAGCTGATGATGGTGTTAAGGATCAAACCATACAAAGTATAGAAATGGCAAAGAAAGCCAATGTTCCTATTATTGTAGCTATCAATAAAATTGATAAACCTAATACTAATATTGTAATATTTCTTGAAATAATAATTCTTTATTCTCTAGCATTGAGCTAAATATTGAAATTAATACAGTTTTCAATTTATAATTTTTATTTTAGAGACAAACACAACATGAACTTGCACAACATGGTATAATAGTTGAAGAACTTGGTGGTGATGTTCAGTGTATTCACATATCTGCTTTAAAAGGAACTAATCTTCAAGTGTTAACAGAAGCTATAGTTTTACAAGCTGAAATAATGAACCTAACAGGAGATCCAGGAGGATTAGTGGAAGGTGTTGTTATTGAATGTAAGAATGATCTTGGTCGCGGAAAATTAGTTACAGCTTTAATTCGGCGTGGTACTTTGAAAAAGAGATGTCTATTAGGTAAAGAGTAATATTTTTTATAAGCATGTATGTATATACATATTATCAAATTATTATTATTGTCAAGTTAATTTTAGGTCATTCTTTTTAAGTGTCAGGATTAGCATGGGCAAAAGTAAGAGGTATGTTTAATGACTCTGGACAACCAGTTATAGAAGCCAAATTATCAGAGGCAGTAGAAATTATTGGATGGAAAACGTTACCTAATGTTGGAGATGACATACTAGAAATGCCAGATGACAAGACACTACAAGCTGTTCTGAAGTATAGAGAAGCTGAGTATAATAAAACTTTAGCTATGGAACATAAAGTAATGGCTGATAAGAAAGAAGAGGAACATCAGAAGGTAATGTCAACAAATATAATGTTTAATAGATAAGAAAACAAAGCAGATACTTTGAAATGATATAAACTTATAAAAAATAGTTAGTATAAAAGAGTTTTCATAATTACAGGAATATAAAAAGTTTTTAAGGATAAAATACCAATTTGGAAGGAGAGTGTTTAGACAATTGCAAGTAGCGCTAAATGAGAACAATGTACAAAACAAACAGGAAAAAGACACAGATGATATCGCTGCCTTTAATGTCATTATTAAAGGCGATGTATCAGGGAGTGTTGAAGCAATATTGGATATATTTGACACTTATAAAAGCAATGACGCGTGTCGTTTAAATGTAATTCATTATGGTGTCGGACCTGTCGTAGACACAGACCTACAATTAGCAGAAACATTTAATGGTAATATAATATTGAAAAAAAGTTGCTGCATTATTAATTAATTAAATTCATTAATTTAAATCATTTATATATTTTGTTTAGCAATTATTTATGGTTTTAATGTAAATATAACGAAAAGGTTAGAAGAAGAAGCTGTAAAGAAAGGTGTATCTATACGATTTTATAACGTTGTGTACAAACTGTTTGATAACATTAAAGAAACAATCGCCAGTAAAATGCCTGAGGTCGAGATTGAAGATATTATAGGTATTTATAATGTAATAGATTTGTAACACATGTAAACCTATGAAAATATTTTCTCATTCGATATTTATTATTTTAAATATAGGTGAAGCAAAAGTAATAGAAAATTTTAAAATAAAGGAAAAAAAGAAAAAGTTTTCGTACGTTGCGGGTTGTCGTTGTATTAAAGGCGTTCTTTTAAACTCTGCGATGTACAAAGTAATAAGAGGAGATGACGTTATTTTTAGAGGTAAATGTGTCACAAAAATATCGTTACATGTTAGATGTTGCATTAATATTTACCTAATTAATGCTTTATATGTTTTCAATTAAAAATAAATAATATTTGAATATCTTGTTGCAGGAAAATTAGTATCAATGAAGCATTTAAAGGACGAAGTATCCTCGGTAGACATTAATGTCGAATGTGGCTTGAAATTCGAAGATCCAACGATAGCATTCCTACCTGGAGATACCGTTATATGTTATAACCCAGTGCAACAGCGTCAACAAGTTAACTGGGATCCTGGATTTTGATGCTACGTACACTGCCGGCTAGAAGTATAGAATTATCTAACTTTTTAAATTAACTATAATATAAATTACATAAGATATGATACAAATTTATATATTCACAAAATAAAAAAAAACAAAATATCTTGTCTGTGGGTAATTAAGTTATTTCCACAAAATGCATTTTTACAAAGTGTAAGTACAAATTTCTTTATTATTACTTCTGTGATGCGCCACTGTTTTTACATTGTATCGACGGACATTTTTTTTATTTTAAATGATTACATTCAAATCTTCGTATCGCTATTAATTTTTGATTGCACTGTTTTAAAATCCATACATGTTTAGTTTCCATACAGTACATTTTAAAATCCATCATTGTTATGAGGTTAAAAATTATGAGTTTTTTAATCGAAGTTTTTGTCAAGTATTTGCAGCCTTGATATCCTGATTTAAAAATACAAAAGAACAATACAATTGTCTCGACATCGTTAAGAGGCGTATGTTTCTCGAAGACGACGTTGAAGATGATGATACGCGGTCAGAACACCACGTTTCTTTTTCTGTAAACGACACGGTGCCGATTCTTGATTGGCATTTGCAATTTTTGTATCCAAAGGCTCGATAGGGATATTGTTGTCCGGATGTACAAAAAATGCAATGGAATGGCGACCTCGACCACAGAGTTCCGGTACAACTACCCGGTGTCTTAATGCTGGAAGTTGATTATTGGTCCAATTCGCTAAAATATCACCAGTGTTCACCAAAATAGCACCTGGAAGATGTCCGACTCTTCCCCATCGTTCTCCGTGCGGAGTTTGTATTTCCAGACCTCCTTCGCAATCCTAAAAATAATGGTAATATTTTTTATTCAGTTATAATTTTATAGTAAATATTTATCAACAAATAATTTAATGTAATTTTTCTATTTTGTGAAGCTTAGTGCGTGTACGTACTTGTGCCAATAAAGTGAAAGTGCCATAATCACAATGCGCTCCGCAACGAGCCAGTCCTGGAACTGGTGCACCAAGAGGTGGATAGTAAAGCAGTCGGAGGGTCGTCTTGTTACCAGGTCCCAGCATGCGTGAATGCTTCGAGAGCAGGAAATCAGGGGATTGCTCTAGGCCCACGGCCAGAGCCTACAAGGCATACATCACATACATTGGCCCCTATTTTTACTTTATAGTACCTACTGATGGCTGTAAAGCAACCGAAGAAACCAATCGCGTTAGTTCTACCGTCGGACAGATTGGTTTGTAGGGTTACTCACAGTGAAAGCAACTCACTTTTCGTTAAACGATCTGTCCACGAGCTTTCGAATCGTTGTTTAAGTGTTCGCATATTAAACGTGGCAACTTCAGAAATTACAAAAGAAACAGCTAACAGAAGAATCATGTATCCGAAGAATTCAATCGAAAACATCAAACGAATTTACCGAACATTTTCTCAGAAGACGTTGATTCAAGAGCCAGATAATTTGTATACGTTTTTTATATTCTTGGACAAATGATCGGAAATTTTACCAATTGCTTGTTATAAAAAGTGATAACATGACGAAACAGAAGGCTGGCTCTTGCATCAGATAACTGTTTTTACATTAAAAAGATAGCTGAAACGGCTTATCATTCGTTTCGTTAACGCCGAGTAATAGAGAAAAATATTATTACGGTTAAAAGCATGGCAGATAGTTGCTTGAAATCTCGTGCGAGTTCATCGACCGCTGATCTGAAACCAGGCACCTCCTCGTCCGGAAGAGGTCCCCCGCATCCGGTCACATTGAAAACATGACGAGCTTCTTTCTCATCCGTGTATCTGCAAAATTCCAGGAATTAATGAGCGATGTTCATATCACATAATCATGAATCACAAGCAGTGCAATCTTACTGCGATGGTCCTGGTTTCACGTATCCGTGGTTGCCCGACGATGGCCGCTCATATTTGTTTCGAACATCATCCGGTAGCTCGCAAAACGAATCGAAAGCTCTGTAAGCAGCCTTCATCTGCGAACAAACATAATATGTATTTATTAAAGACATTTTTAAATACAGCCAGTGCGAACATTTGGTAGTTTCAAAATTGTTCAGAACCAACGTATGAAGGTTTATATATTTTATAAATATCTATGTATTGTGCAGTACTTGTATGTTAAGTATTTATACAATTTTTAATATCTGATTAAATCAGTAAATTTTTAGAGATACAATGATAAAAATTTAAGTGTTTTTAAGATACTAATTTGCGTGGTCTATCATAGAACATTTCGTTGCACCTAATCGTATCATTATGTAATTACCGTTTTCACTCGGTATTAGGAAATGTGTCACCTTGGTAGGTGACATCCTCGAGTTCCCGATAACCGGTGACGTTGAATTTGTCATCGTCCCGATAAGAGCCACTCTAGCTATTGACTTGCGAAATTAAACAAAAAAGTTTGTGTTTAACTAGCGGATCCGAGGCTAAATCTTACTCTCTACGATTCTGAATTTTTTTTACCTTGTACGTAATTTTTAATTATAGGTAGAGGTTATGAATTTTACAACATCAAAGATGTTAATCTTTGCATACGTTTTTTCTGTGTCATGTATCTTATCTTTGCGACAGCTGTTTTAGTACTGATATTAATTTCTTCAGAAAATGCATCACTAGATGTACTGAATAGATAGCGTGAGACGCACATGTGCGTCACGACTCAATGCGTCATTTGATTACTGTTTACATTTGCCATTTAAATTGTAACAAGTGGAAATATTTAACTGAGCCCATTTAGATTTTGATACATGAAAAATATTTGTAAGCTTGCAGATGTTTTTTGATGTTCTTAAAATTTTAAATATTGAATCAAATTTTTAAATGAATAAATTTGTAAATTGTCAGAAATGTAAATTTTTGAACTCTCCAGTTTTAACCCTGTATTTCAGAGAATGGAGTATCTCAAGGTGTCTCCCTTTTCTCTCCCTCATATTTCACTTTTAATTTCATTCGAAGCACAAGTAATTAAAACTGACGGATTCGACCGCGCCAATTGCAGCATTGACGCGTCTATGCACACGTTTGACAACGAAATATCGTGACGTCAATGTAAACTGTACGACCATTGAAAATCGGCATTGAGAACGAAGAGACGAAGGAAGGGCACGAACGGAGAGGTAATAAGACGCAGTGAAGCTTGTGAAATAATGAATGCTAGCTTCCTAACTATTATCGATGTTGTAATATGTTTCTTACGCAATGTTCGATAAAAAAAAATTACAAAGGTACAGTCGATAATTCCTAACCGCCACACGTGGAATTCTAACAGTATGTTCTTTTCATGTAACATTCAGAGTCTGGAAGCTTCCAGACGGATTTGTTTGAACAGTTTTCGATTGTATCGATAGTATCAGGATTATCTATGTGACGTAAGAATGAGTTTGCTATTGCTTTTTTGGCGGTAACAGAGACATTCAGAATTTATATCTTATAAAATATAAAATACCTCAAAAATAATATTAGTAATATGCAGAAAATTTATTACAAATATATTTCAAATTATTAGAGGTTGACGTGAAAGTAGATTTGCTCGATTTAAATTTCCCGCTCTTTTATATATCGTTTTCGAAAGATCAAGTGTTGACAGAGTGTCGCCTCCGGTTTACTCTGTGCTCAGACGTTATAAATAAATAAGTAAAAACAAAAACAAATTAAGTTTTTATCAGATGAAATTGATATGTAAATTTTTCTACTGAAAATTGCTCGAAGATCATGGAATAAAAATTACAAGTTCCGAAGTGCATGATTACATACGAACAGGAAATGCGATGCAGCAAAACGTACAATTTCTGATAGCGGATGCAACTTATTTCCTCGTTTTTCCTCAATTAAGTAAATTGATTGCATTTTTTATCGGTCGTACCCTCGTTAGACAAAACTGTTTTGCAACAATTTTGTGATGCAAGTTTATGAATGTGTGATTATCAAAACACGGAGTCTGACATAAGAGGTTAGAGGTGTTTAGAGGTTAGAGGTGTCCAGATCTACAGGTGTCTAGATATATCTAGAAGTAGATAAAGATATCTAAAAGTGTCTAAGAACATCTAACAGTATCTAGAGATATAGTGCAGATAGTAAGTATGTTAACCCCTTTCATTGAAAGAATAGCGTAAACGCTAAGTATGTACCAAGTGAATTAACGTATTATACTCACGGTAGTAGCGTGAACACGATAAATATACGAACGTATTTATAGTAGAGCGTCATAATTCTTGCGTGAATTATCTCGTGAAAATGTAACAGACAGATAATGTTCGAGCTGCCGCATTGATAGGAAGTCTTCTCAGCAAGGTCATCGCGAAAACCATAAGCTTTTATCGAACCCTTGACAATTCGTCATTGTACGAGCCGCCGCGACGAGGACGCCGCGAATCAACGTCTCGTTAACGATTCTTTTCGCGCCCAGCGTCGCGAACGGACTCGCAAACTTTTCCTTCGACATCGGCTTTTCGTCGCCAGTATTTCTCGCCTTGACTCCTTTAATTCTGGTTCCACGAGATAGTAATTTTGTAACGTTACCAAGGACACACGTTACAAGGTTACTCATTGTGCGTGTAATGCGAGCAAACCTGCCTTCTACTACGGGTGTACACTATGTTCAAGTGTAACGTACTAACGTTTCAGTATACCGGTCGCAAACGGTTAGTGTTATTTTTATGGATACAATTTTACGTCTCGACGCAATTCAATTAATTCACGTTTTAACTCGATATAATTTCATTCCACAGAATTCAGTGCGTTTGCAGTTCCTGACTTGGAGGATATTGAGACATTTTTTGCCCCCTTCTGTAGGTACAAGATCTGTCTGGAAAGTCGATGCGGATTCAAATAAATTTGTCAGTAATTTTATATTTATCAATAATAGTATATTTTACTCCTAATATTATTTGTAGTATATTGACTACTATTTACGCAATATAAATTCAGTTTCAGAATTAGACATTAGTGTCTCATGATTAAGTACAAGTTGATTGAACTTTGAGTGGAACTAGATGTGGCAAGTCAGGAGTCAAATTTGCTGAAACGTATCGAATCTAATGGTCGAAATAATCGTGTCGAGTGAAATTCGTCCGGTGAAACTGTATCAAATAGCTGTAATTAGAGTAGAGTGGAAATGTTTCTATTAAATTGAATCAAGTATTCGAAATTCGACTCCGAGAGCTCGTATTATCGCCCAAAGTAGTCGAAATTCGACTCCAAAAATGATTCCTTTCATCATCCATAGTTGCAGTAGAATTAGCTTTGTCTAACAAGTTCTTGAAACGGAAGTACAAAATGTGACTAGTCTGTATATGGAATTTTTTATGTATCTTTGTGTTTAAAATTTTTTTAAGGTAAAATTACCTTAATTACCTATGTTGTTTATAGATATCGACTCGAGTTTCTATTTCTTTTAATGAATGTTTTCCAACTTGCTCTTTTATACGACGATTATATCGAACGAGTATCGATAGAAATGCGTACCTTGCATTCCGGAATGCCGTGGTTGACGAGCAAGGCCAGTCCTTTCTCGGACAGCGCCCTTACCAGCTTCGAAGCCACTTGTTTCACGACACCCTTCTGAGGACATCTCTCAGTCCCTGGAATAAGAAGAACGGATAGAGTGAGAGAAGAGAGTCAAGAATAGTGGACAAAGAGATTTAAAGTTTCCATCAATTTGATCAAGTTCTTTATAACTTTTGTTTCTAATTGTTACAAGCTTAAATATTTTTATATTTGTAGTACTTTCATTATTTCATGTATTTTTTTTTATTTTATGATAATGTTTCTACAGTTTTTCAATTTATTTTATTATGCTATCAATTATTGTTAATTTAATTCAAATTAAATTTCTCATTTTTTATATTTATTTTTCAATTTGGATATACTTTATTTTTTATAATTTTGTAACTATTAATTTTTAATTATAGTAATAATATTTTTGATAATTGTTTTTGAATTTTTAATAGTTGTAATTCATTAAAAAATCTTTTTCATGAAAAACAAATTTTTTTTCTCTTCTCGCGGGGGATTCGAACTCGGGTCCTCAAGATTAGAAGTCAGCTGCACTACTCACACCACCACTGCATCCCTTGTAATTCTTTTTACTAAAATTTCTAATTCAAGGAATACAAAGATCCTACATCTTATATGTTCTAGTTTACTATTCTTAATTTATTACACTTCATGTCCAACATTTTCAATACAGTTCCATTTTCACATAAATGAAATTCGAATACAATAACATCGATCACTTACGACTTTACTATGAGCCTCGTAATATTACTACAGAATATCTCTCCCTCTAGCACATGTATCGATTATTCTTTCATTAAGCGAACATTCATTGATAGATACACGGTTATCGGACCATGGAATGCAACAAGACAAGAACGTTTCTTCCTCTTCGCTAAAAGAACTACTTTTGACGTCAATCGTGTTTCATCGTTTTGAAATGCGCATCCTCGTTCGAGGAAAAGCTTATTTTGATTCTTTATCACCGATTCGTAAAATGCGCGGATGTTTTCGTCCCACAATGAGTGTCTCGAAATTTTTAATGAATCATGAATTTCCATCCCTCCAACTTTCTCGAAACAGACTTCTCGAAGTTATTTAGAAATACGTAAACAATTCTACAATTCTTGAAAATATTAAAGTTTATACGCACGTTGGAAAAACTTTTAGATAGAGTGTTTGTCGTAAGTTTTGCAATCTTCATGGACAAGTTATTTACGCGCAAATTTAATTTTCATTAATGACGATGATTAAACGCCACAATAATTCTTCCGTTATAATTATTTATAGAGATCAAGTTTCCGCGCGATGACACCAATATTTACCCGCGCTCCGATACTTTTATTTCCAGCGTAAAATTGTTGTAATTAGCGCAGCGATGATTGAAAATAATTGTAAACAAATTAATTGATCAACAGCTCAGAAAATACACCGTTACAAGTTCGAAGAATTTTTTAGGAATTCATAAACCAGTTTGACTACTAGTTTTCCTGTTAATCCTGTTCTATAGGACGCAAAGCGAACATTACCTGTTGATAATATACGTTTACTTATCTTGCTTTCATTTATTATTTAAAATTATTTTTAAATATATTCAATTAATTTTTTTTTTATGATATAAAAATTTTCTTTCTGAAGAGAAATACAGAAAAAAATATTGTTTGTAATTTTTTGTAATAAGTAGTCATTTTTCTAAAAATAATATATAATATTCATTATGTAAGTTTTGTGATTTTTAACAGGATTTTTTATATGAGGAGAACGTTTGTTAATTTTTAAGTCGATTGTATGTTGAGTTTCCGAGGCGACGAAAAAGCTTGTGATAGGAGAAACGTGATCATTCCGCAGATTTTTCTGCGATCACACGTGTTGCGAGGTGAAATCACGTTCTCACGAAGCGAAGAAGTCCCGAGAAAGCAATCGTGTCGCCGCGTGGCGTTGTAACAAGATCTGCGCTATATTTTTCTTATCAACATCGCGCGAAAAACGAGAGCGAGCTTCTTATGTCTACATTTCTCGAAAAAATTGTTACACTCCTAACCGGAATATCAAATATAGTATTTTCATCAGAAAAACATGAATTTTTAAATTTACATATCTTTAGATTCTCATATTAAATCCTTGCATTTGCAAATGTACAAATTTTTAAATTTCTGAGATTCTAAATTAAAGAATATTCTAATCTCTATATTCACAAGTTAAAGTTCTAGATTTCTAAATTTTCTAATTTGTAAATTTCTAATTCCTCAAATGCCTACATCCTCAAATCTCTAAATTTGCAAATTTCTAATTCCTCAAATCCCAACATCAAATCTCTAAATTTTCAGATTTAAAGTTTTGTGATCTCAGCTTCCTAACTCGTACCGAGATGAAACACCCTATATGTGAACTCTGACGTCCACGTTCCAAAATGTCCCAACTCGTGTATTTCCTATTCAGTTCGCTATTTCTGCGACGTCTCGACGTTCGAGGGACAAAGAAATAGAACAGAGCATTATCAACGAGAGAACGAGAGAGAGCATTTCCTCTTCGCGTTTCTATGTCCTCGAGGATCGCTAATATCGCCAGGGCATTAGGCCAATTTTACAAAATTTCAAGTCGAAAAAGATGAAATATTGAGAAACTTGTACAAGAAATTACGATTGATCAATTTTGACGAATCTAAAGATGTGCAGATTCAAACGTTTTATAAGCATAAAATGTATAATAAACATTTACAATAAAATTACAATGTTCAGTATACATTCACAACATATTATAATACAATAAAAATGTATAATAAACATTTACAATAAAATTACAATGTTCAGTATACATTCACAACATATTATAATACAATAAAAATGTATAATAAACATTTACAATAAAATTACAATGTTCAGTATACATTCACAACATATTATAATACAATAAAAATGTATAATAAACATTTACAATAAAATTACAATGTTCAGTATACATTCACAACATATTATAATACAATAAAAATGTATAATAAACATTTACAATAAAATTACAATGTTCAGTATACATTCACAACATATTATAATACAATAAAAATGTATAATAAACATTTACAATAAAATTACAATGTTCAGTATACATTCACAACATATTATAATACAATAAAAATGTATAATAAACATTTACAATAAAATTACAATGTTCAGTATACATTCACAACATATTATAATACAATAAAAATGTATAATAAACATTTACAATAAAATTACAATGTTCACTATACATTCACACTATATTATAATACAATAAAAATGTAAAAATAAACCATAGACTCGGTTAAAAAAATTGAAAATTCTAATTAAAATTTTGTGAATAATTACGTTACACAACTAGAGTTTCATTTCATGAGAAGTGGAATTATATCGTTTCAATTACAGTAAAATACTCAATTGTTAAATCGATAAAAAGGTGCATCGATACGTCGCAATGGTTTTAATCGACGCTTTTTATCGAAGTTTTATCAGTTATCTGCGAAGGAAGTCGATTCGTTTGTTAAGAATAAATCCATGGATTTACGTCCAAAGATTTATTGTAATCCGCAACTACGTTGAAAATATTAAAACTTAACTTTTGTTAACAAAGCATTTTGTGCGCAGTAAGATAAGAAATTATTGAGACGTGTTATTAAGAAAGAACGAAATAATTTTAGCAAGTACGCCTCCTATGATCGATTTTTATGCGCATATCGGTGTTATCTTTGCACCATATGTTCCGTGTGTTATAATTTCTCCCCTCGAGCATACTTTAAACTTCTCCTGAAAACATAAATGGTTTTACTATACATTCACACTATATTATAATACAATAAAAATGTAAAAATAAACCATAGACTCGGTTAAAAAAATTGAAAATTCTAATTAAAATTTTGTGAATAATTACGTTACACAACTAGAGTTTCATTTCATGAGAAGTGGAATTATATCGTTTCAATTACAGTAAAATACTCAATTGTTAAATCGATAAAAAGGTGCATCGATACGTCGCAATGGTTTTAATCGACGCTTTTTATCGAAGTTTTATCAGTTATCTGCGAAGGAAGTCGATTCGTTTGTTAAGAATAAATCCATGGATTTACGTCCAAAGATTTATTGTAATCCGCAACTACGTTGAAAATATTAAAACTTAACTTTTGTTAACAAAGCATTTTGTGCGCAGTAAGATAAGAAATTATTGAGACGTGTTATTAAGAAAGAACGAAATAATTTTAGCAAGTACGCCTCCTATGATCGATTTTTATGCGCATATCGGTGTTATCTTTGCACCATATGTTCCGTGTGTTATAATTTCTCCCCTCGAGCATACTTTAAACTTCTCCTGAAAACATAAATGGTTTTACAAACATGTACTTGTACTTTACATCATGATAAATATCGTAGAATTAGTTGTACAGAGTATTGAAAGTAGAGAAATATTTGAAGTAGCGATACTTGAGCTTCGGGTTGCATTCGGAAAAGTTCGGGCAGGATCGGGCATGACTTCGCAACTTTTGAGAATCTCAGAAATTTAGAAATCCAGAATATTTGAAATTTAACATTAGAGTTTGGAAATTTGAAAATTTCTAATACGAGATAGCTAGTTATTCTCTGCACGTTGCGTCATAAATTTTACAGATCTGGGTCATGATTGACCCAGCTACGATTTGCAAATTCTAATCACGATGGTCTAAACCTTAACATAGTAGTTCGAGGATAACGAAAAATTTGCATGCGAAATGGTTCATTGGATCCTTGGTAAATGTTAAACAAGGCAGTGTGCTGTCTTCCGCGAAGCAGTTCGCCAAACACAACAGATGCTAATTGATCTGACCAGGTAATTCCGGTTGCAACACGTGGAATTTACACAATTTCCAACGTAACGGGACAAACGACCTGTGGAAATGGATACCTAATTGTTTCGAATTCTAATGAATTGACGAGAAGCTTTTGAACCTTTGATTCCATGGCACAGGAGAGCAACAAAAGAGACCGGAAGTAGGGTTCTTGATTTCTATTAACACGCTTCTCGTGTGTCCGATTTGCTTTAATTTGCATTTGGTACTTTCCATGACTCATTGCTTTTTTTA